GTGAGTTTCCCAACATTTGGTATGAAGAACAAAGATAGATGGACTATATAGCGAGATTAATGCCCGCTATTTGTCATTGGAATTGGCGCTCATCAATGCTGCTAATCAACAGTGTCATTTTGGACCAAAGAGGCAATCAACTGTTCAATCTTTTCACAATAAATCCAAGGGACCTCTCATTTTTTAGGATGTATTGTGTGTTCCTAAATTATAGGTCGTTATTCAAAATTGTTGAGCTGTAAAGGCCAATCGCACTGAATAAAATATAATACATCAGTCCAAGATGTACATTAAGCTAGGACTGGAGTGAAGTAAAGGCTCTTAAGGTTGGTTCTAGTGTGACAACTTTTTAACCTCTTCATAACTAACCAAAATCAGACTTCAATTACTGTATTTATGTACGAAATATTAACCAAAAAATAAAAGGTAAAAGAGACAAATTAAATATTTTTAAAGCATTTTTCATTTAGTTCTTTTTCTAATTTGATATATTAACACGATTCAATATTCAAAAATTAATTATTTTTGCTGCCCTTTCTAAAAAATTCGATTCCTGACTATTTAAATAATTTGGATGGGAGAATTTTGAAATCCCCTAACTTCTATGACCTTGGTAAGCCTGTCAGTAGCTTATACAAGGGCTAAGAAATTATTTATATTACTCAAAACTAAAATCTCAATATGTTGATCAAATAAAAAAAATATTGAATACTGTAAACTGAAAACTCTAGATGGGATTAATATTTGCCAAACTTTTCTCAAGGACTTCAGAAATATCCGTCGTAAAGAAAATGTTTTGATGAAATTATGACGAACATGGATAGTATCGGTAACTTACCCCAAACAACCCTTTAGTATGATTAATGGAAATATCAAGTCATGTATGACTAATATATAAGCTATATGAATATTTATAGAAAATAACAATGGCAAAACTACAGTTTTCAATTATCTATGTCTAATTAATTGTCAATATACGATAGCAGACATGTTATATGTTACAGATACCAACCAGAAACAATAAGCCTGTATAACCTAGACGTAATTGTTTTTCATTTTGATAAGATGTAATATTGTTGTTTCTAAAACAATGTATCAAAACAAAAATGACAAACATGAAGTGACAACTCTAGATATAATACTAATGACTCGGCCACATTTGATGTACGGCAACCGTACGGCGGAGCGGTCGTAGCTTCCCAAAATCCAGAGAAATATGCAGCAATGCGATGTAGATTTTCTATCGATTTTATGAAGCTACGGCCGACGTACGCCCGCCGCAGAGCGCATGTGACTGAGGCTTAAGAAAGCACAAAGGGCGATATTTGAAGTTAAAATACAGAAACACAACACAAACGCATTCAAACAATGATCATCGAACAAATATATATATATATATATACACTACCTGAATTCAGTTACCCTTGGTCAGAGCCGAGTGCACTAGATGTGGTTGAAGCTCTCTTTTAAAGAAGAAACCCATTGGAAGGGGCACTCATCAGTCAACCTTCACCTTTGACAAGACATTTTATTACATGTATTAATAGCAATAAACAACCAGATCTTAATCTATCATCTATACAAATGACATGAATGAGCCAACAAACGTTTAGCCAAACCTTTGACCAAACGTTTTTAGCCGCATCAGTTCTTCGACTGGATTGCAATGCATTGTTGTAGATAAGCTTCTACTTTAGCCTCAAAAACAACTCATCAGTCAGGGATTTAATTTTTTAAACAGGAAACATACTTTTTGATAAAATAAATACCATCATCATTATAATCATGACCGCCTACATTGTAATATGGCAACAATACAGTATTCACAGATGTTTTTAAAATGTATAAGAAGGATATAACGATTCTATATTTTTAAATTAAGTATATCAACGATTGTTAAAGTGATCAATGTTATAATGGGGCAGCAGAAGCGATAAACAATCAGTCATAACTATTGCTATTTGCTTATTGCTTTAGTGCATGCTTTAGCAATAGTTAGGTCTTGAAAGTGGTTCAGAGGGATGGTATATTCATTGCGGTTTCCTGGCAATTCTTGACACACACGTAACACCCAGAACTGATCTCTGTCAATCTATTTATTTATGTCAAAATACCAACTTTGGAATTTCCTCATAATAAAATCATCCATCAATTTCACAATTTCTTGTATTTATTTAAAATTTGTTAAACGGACGTTGCGGATATTGACAATAGTTATGAAATATTGTATTGAAATTAAGATTACCTTATTATGAAAAATCTAATATAAAAACAACTATGAGATATAAATAATAATACTGTAGCTTAGACACCAGTTTATTACATCACTGGATCATTTATGCATGACGTAATTGTTTGAAAAATGTTACACTGAAAAGAGATTCAGAATACCGACTGAATATATACCAGACACAGTGAGCGTGGGACCTCATTTAACTCCATTGAGCAAAATTAACAAGGTTCGTGAGACTCGATGGGGCAATTGGGCTTTTGCCCCATTGGTGTATGTTGGGCTTTAGAAATTAATACACCGGTAAATATCAATTGAGGTTAATCAAAATAGAATTTTATTAATTTTCAAGTTCACCTAAAATTATAACATGTAAATAAATATGTACATAAAAGTTTTAAAAAAGTATATCATGAGAAATCACTAGTTGAAAAACAGAAAGATGTATATCAGAATGAACGTTACGAGATTTATTGCCAGTAATATTAAAGTTTATATTTTTTATTGTACTTAAGTCTTCTTGACATTTCCGACTGGTAGAATCAATAAGGCAAATAATGTAACTTGTACTAATTAGAAAGCCATCGTTTGACATATATACTATATCTAGTACTTCATTATATCATACTTCAAACATAATATTAATCCCACAGATAGAAATAATGTAATTTATACAATCATACTATTACATACCGGTGAATAGCACAAGGGAATGTAACTCATATTGAATAATCCCTCTCCCAAACATCGTCCTCGTATTGGAATAGCATTCGCCTGGTCGTCCCCCAGTCCCCGTATTTTATTCCTAAACATTTTTTACTCATAAAATACTTTCCTTTTTCCCCAAAAAATCTTCACTTTATAAAAGGGTTTTATTTTTCTTGACAAAAACCCTTTATCTCAAGTTTCATTGTTTGAAAAGTGTTCACTTTTCATTTTTTCCAAAAAAACATTTAAAACGAAAACTTAGCAAACGACAGAGAAATCATATCAAAGTTGGTATTTAGAGAAGACGTAATAATTGGAAAGCTGAGACTTATACTGACACTTCTCAACATCAACATATATTACCCAAGAAAATGGATTTAAACAACAGTTACATGGAGTTTTTATTGGTCAAAAAATTGTTGATAGATGGACAAACAGAAGGACAGGCAGTGGGTGGGCGATTCCATAGGCTCACCCTGTGAGCAAAAATGCAAAACATAGGATTCAATTAGATCAATTACGTTAGCTATACATCATGCAGCAGCACAAATCATTTAACCTTTTTATTTTACTTAGCAGCCCACATATTGTGTTACATTTCTATGTATTATCATTTGAATAAATCATAATTTATAGCATTTATAGAGATATGATTATATGTCGACATCAGATCTGACCCCAACATTATGTGAACAATTCACGCATATGGAAAAACAGGGGATTCTCTTTAAAATACCTGGATACGAGAAGTTTATTTTAAAATGATGACACAATTTTGAAAAGCACATTTTTAAATCTCATACTGGATGATTACAGTTTTGCATCAAGCTATTTTACCCCTCTCCCTCCTTTTTTTCTCGGTAACACAAGCTGGATAGCTATATATATTGTGGAAGGAGGGGGGGGGCAAAGATTTGATGAAGTACTTTAAGGTTATACACTTTATAAAGAATAGATCGTCAAAAGATGGCAGCACTTATTGATAAAACTTTGATCATTTATTTGATTTGGAACATGGAAGTAATTAAAAAATTATTTTAACTCTTCTTATCATCTCTTCATAATATAATCTTACAAAACTTTATTGGTTTTGTTCCTGTTAATCATAATTAACACATATTGTAATAATGAACGTGCACCTGCATTGCATTAATTAATGCTAACAAAAAGTTAGCTATATCAGAGCATTTCAAATACATAATGCATATTAACACAGATGCCAGATATTAAAATCATATGTTTGTAGATACTAACCTGATCTTAATATGTGTGCGTAGTAGCTACTTCAGCCTTGGAGACCAGAGTTGAAACAATCCCCTCAGAACATAGCTGTCTCTTTTCAAATGTCATGCTACATCTGTCTTGAGTATACTACAATTTACATTTACATAGTACGAGTAGGGACAATTGTACAATTTACATATAAAAACTGAAAACAGATTCTGAATGCCAATAGAGGATATCACAACTATAGAAAAGTGAATAAATCTTACTTACATTTAAAACTGCATGCAGGTTTCTCTATCTCTGCTTAGTTAGTATCTTTCTAAAGCGTAATTGACATGTGCAGAGAAGGTAAATGCCCTTTTCTGCTCGACTGCCAGGTCTAATTTTGGGTCTAATTTTTGAAGTCATAGTTGTTTAATTGAAATACATGTATGAATGATGGAGTCTATGAATGTCAAAACATCTCAAAAGATATGTACCTGCTTGATTGAATGAGAGAAACTCCTGATGATGTTTTAATAACCAACATTTGCTTTACATTTTCAATACATGTATATTTGTTTATTTATGAAACTGTTTTTATGGCACATAATATTGCAAATAATTATATTCAGAAAGGTATTAGCAAAACAAATGGTATCTGTTTCTGTAGAAAAGCATAAATTAATTCCATGGCATGCAAAAGGATTTAAGGGGTTCCATGGGCATACCTGTGATGAAAAACAATTTGAAAGATATGAAACATTTGCTTTTACCACAAAGAAAATGCATGCTTATTATTGTTGTAGAATCAAAGAGAAAATTGTGGAAAAATGAGGGATGCTGCTTCAAATAAGATAATGAAATGAACTAAATATATTGGTAATGTGTACTTGTGAATCATGGGACTGAACTACGGAAGTATCTAATATGTATTGATGATTTCATTTAGTTCATTTTAACATTTTCATTAAATTGATTGTCCATATATTGTAATTTTTTAAATGTCCTTTTTTACTTATGATGTTGACATTTAATGATGGTATTAATATATTTGAATATTGATGATTATACAAATGTGTCATTTTTCTTTATTGTTTCCTCAATCCATCACTTCTGGACTGCGTCAATTGATTAAACCTTTAAAGTCAATCATATTGTCGATTTGACGAAGAGTTATTTCTTAATGTGACCTGATCCTATTTGAATATGTTTCCTTTGGCATTTCATCTGACTGAAATAAATAGAGTACCATATAGTTGTCAATAATGAGTTTACATTCACTGTTTGAACTTAGCCATGATGAGTTGAAATTGTAGTAGATGGACAAATGAATGACATGTGGCAAAAAGGTCCTTGAACTCTCAAGGTCTCAAGGTCTACTACTTTTTTTCTTGATGTAATACCAGCCCATAAAAAATTGGATAATGCAACTGGAACTTATTACATAAGAACACAATTTTGATGATGCAACTGAAACTTGTTTACAAGAAGTTTATTACACAAGAATTTAGAACTGAGAATCATGTACATGCAATAGCACCATTACATATGCATATTTATATAACATTTCTTTACTTATGAACAATGCCAAATAGAAAATACTGAATTTACAGAAAAAAACATATACAGTTAACAATCCTAGAATAATTACGTAATTAGGATTAACAAATTGTTCTCACTTAAATTGTTTTTTTTATTGAGTAAAAATAAAACGAACCTAGAACATCTTTTGTGCTATGTTAGAACATCCACCCCCATGTCTGTGATGAGGACAGTGTGTTCAAACTGTGCAGTTCGAGAATCATCATTCATGACTGCTGTCCAGCCATCCTCACATATAGAGATATATGGTTCTCCCCCTTCAGTCAGGATAGGCTCTAAAATGCAAAGTTTTATGTTATAATATACAACATATGTTAAAAGACACAAAGAAGTTATTAGACACATCTCTGTGTAGTTGTGACATCATTTTATAACCTTGCAGCCAAAAGTAATTCCATTCAATATAAAAAACAATCCCTTTGGTACAATTTATGCTATATCTTTTGTGAAACATGCTTCTTCAGCTGCATGGATAATTACTGTTAAGTTTAGCCAAACGATTGGGACAGATCCTCCAGTCCAACTCTTTCACAAAGTATCAAACCTAACATTAAGGTTACAATAAGTTGTCCAGATGGGTTTATTGCAAAACCAATTCTATGTCTAGAACTTTTCATAGGATCTCAATATCTCACCTATAGTAAAGGTCATCCCTGGTGACATGACAGCAGTACCTTCATCATCTGGAATAGTGTACAAATGGGGATTTTATAAATAATGGAGACCTACAGGGAATAAAACAACTTGGATACATTGGATATCCCTGTATAAAATTATATGATGGTTGTAAAGAAGGCACAACCATACAAAATGCCTTGTGTTATTTGGATATCCCTGTATCAAGTTATATGATGGTTGTAAAGAGGGCACCACCATACGGAATGCCTTGTGTTATTTGGATATCCCTGTATAAAGTTATATGATGGTTGTAAAGAGGGCACTACCATACGGAATGCCTTGTGTTATTTGGATATCCCTGTATAAAGTTATATGATGGTTGTAAAGAGGGCACCACCATACAGAATGCCCTGTGTTATTTGGATATCCCTGTATAAAGTTATATGATGTTTGTAAAGAGGGCACTACCATACGGAATGCCTTGTGTTATTTGGATATCCCTGTATAAAGTTATATGATGGTTGTAAAGAGGGCACCACCTTACGGAATGCTAGCAACCTTAACAGGTAAAAATTTAAATGTTATTTCGAGAAAGTGACTTCAAATACTGCTGTACTGTAGCCTTAGAATATACATGTTATCAATTAAAATTATTAACGTAGATACGCATGCAACACACATTTACAAGTACATTGTACGTGTTTAAATATATGCAAAAATGTCAAAATGGGACAGGGCACTATAAATTAACAAAAATATAATCTTTTGACCACAACATAATTCATTCATATCCCAACATGCTGATGTTTGTATACAAGCATACGAATAAATTATATTTTTTCTTGATTTTTGTTTTGGAAGTTGCAAGTCATTTTTGGAAAAGTCGGCTGTGCGTTTATTGGAGTGTGTGCGTCTGTTAGAGATAATATGGTATAAGGATACAATTCTGTTTGTTGAGCCTTGCATCAAGACGTTGTCACAACAGACCCCCGAATCACCTATTTTCCTGGCAAGTTCATCCTGTGTTAATAAGCAGCGGATGATATATTGTGTCAGCCCCCCAAAAATTAGCGATGACACAAAATTTGCCCCTCCCCAAACAATCAGAAGAAACATAGATTATATGACAAACTGACAATACAAGACGTTACCTTTTAATTTTAGGCCTAATGCTAAAGAAAGCAGGCCAGGATTTATATTTTTCAATTCAAATTATATACCCCTCTCCCCTTTTGATTTCCAGGACTATGAGGGGACGACATAGAGAGGTGCTTGATGCAAGATTATTGGCATGTGCTTTCAACTCTTACCCATTCAGGGTATAACATATGAGAGATTATGTGCTAAACTAGCATACCTGACATGTATTTACTGCAATGATTAACCTGAGGCAAGCCATGGAAGTACTCCCCTATACCGTGACCGCAGAAATATGGCACCACTTGATAGCCTGCACCATGGGCAATATCTCTGCAAAAAACAAATAAATGACGTGTACATGCACATTTAGCACTTTTAGATATTTTCTAGCTGGAATTGAATACAACAAAATAATTGTGAAAATTAGACTCTGGTAAGATTTTGAAAGGATTGGCCCTTAAAGCAAATCATCTATTTTGATGCTCCGCATATTTACAATCCTGCAAGAGCAAGCACTTCAAAATTTTCTGTAACTATAGGTAATTGTGACCTTGTATATCAACAATGAGGATCCTGTACTGTACATTGGCAGTTCCTGTTACAGTTGTTAAATTTCTTCTACAAACAGTAATATGAAAATACAATTCACATGAAGGCCTGAGATCAGAAATGTATAGGCTGGCTGAATCATTGGGCTCTTGAAACCCCATGGTTTGAATCACTGTGTTGGCATTGATATTGACATAGAACACAAAGAAGTAAGAAATGGATGAATAATACTCACTCTATGACTTGGCCTATCTCTGAGAAGGGAATCCCTGGTTTACATATATTGATAGCCTCATCGCGACACTTCTTTGTTGTTATTATGAGATCCATGGCAGCAGAATCTGTGTCACCAACCACATAAGTCTCGGATAAATCCCCATGGAAACCATTGTAAAATATCTATAAAAGATGAGAAAGTTAAATGTTAGGTGGATAAGGTATATCCGTAACATCAGAATAATCAATCATACAAAGCAACCACTTAAAAATGAGAACAATCCTTAAATAAATAGGCCATAATTAAAGAAATACGTACTTACAGTTATATCAATATTGATGATGTCAGAGTTTTCTAAAGGTCTGTCATCGGGAATACCATGGCAGGCCACATTGTTTATTGATGTACAGACTGACTTCGGGAAGTTTCGGTATAATAGCGTTGAAGGGTATGCATTATGGTCTATTACAGTTTTATGAACAAATCTATCTATTTCATCAGTAGTTATGCCAACCTAAAAGGGAATAGTTATGCAGAAAGGCAACAATGATAATACAGTAAAACCTCTCTTAGTTGAACAACTTTGGAAGTTGTACCACTTGGGAGGTGTTCCACTTACAAAGGTTCATTTAACATTAGGTCCGTTGGTCTTGGGACTCTGAAAAGTGTTCCACTAATAGAGATTTTCCACTAGAGATGTTCCACGTCTAGGTTTCACTGTTTATTTGAAAAAAGTTTTATAATGTACTGCTCATGAATTCAAACCATGGAAACACCCAACAAAATTGTAAAAAATCTAATACATAATATTTGTGTTTATCAAAGCAGTGGAAAAAATTATTCAATATTCTCTAGTCAATGTATGGTAAAAATATCATGTATTCACGTATCTATAGGATTGTTATAATCAAAGGTAAAAGATTTTTATACATTTGAATATAATTTGCAATTTGGCTCATACTTACTTTGACAATTTCTGCAGTCAAATCAAGAACTTTCCTGGCTAGCTTACAACTTTCTCTCATTCCAGCAATCTGTACTTCATTCTTAATTTCTATCACCTTTGGACTATCATACGCTTTCTCATCATCAGGATCCTGTGCATAGGGAGGTTTAACTATGTGCTTTGGAACATGAAGTAGACCACTCACTGATCCAGGTTTTACAACAGAGTACTTTGGTTTAGGTTTTCGAGTAAATCCAAATAGTGTCCTTACTTGCAAGTTCATTTGAAGTTGTTTCAATATCTTTCCCTGTATGTAACTGTAACTATGGTTACTCAAGCTCCTTGGTAGCTGTTGGGAGATCTTCCTGCACAGCGAACACAGCATCTGAATCAATAAAGTGTTATGGGAAATCAAACCAAGCATGCATTTATAGAAATGGCGATATTAGCTAAATAATGGCATGGAACTGATTTAATAGGGAGGGAGGGGTTATAGGATCGAGCGGTTATGTTTGATAGCATGTACATGTAAGTAGGTTCCAAGATATTCATATAAATATTATCACAAATGTCGTAACTTAGAAGTAAAAATAACTTAAAGAGAGCCAAAATGAATGCTATAAAAACAGTTACTTTAAAGTTACGTTAAATTTTCAGCTTCTGCTAGAAGGAAATGTAAGTAATATAACATTGGTTAAAATACATTGATGAAATATTAAGGGCAGGTTTAGTAATGAATAAGGTAATGTTGTTCAGTTTCAAATTGGTTCAGTATAGCGAATACGGTATGTTAGTATACTTTAAGGAAAAGAGAGCTTGAGCCACTTTCAATTATCATTTGGCATAAGCGTGTCTGATTTTGGCATACTCATGTCGCATTCTGGCATAATCGTTCATATCATAAGGAAAAGTAAGTTTGCTTCCACATGAGGTACTTGTTCCTTGTCTTGAATGTTATTGTACCCATGTAACTAACCATGTTTCATAAGAAGAATGATGGGATATGTCGGGCTCGTTCCAGACATTATGTAAACAATCTTCTCACAGAATCTCTTCCACATTGCATTCCAAAGGAGGTTGATCTATGCAATGTAATTCTTAGCAGTTTGTGTGTAATCTATTTTGGGAAACCTTCTACAGAAGTGGGAAAGTACCTCTTGTGGAATTCGGCTGTAAATGGTGAGGCAAAACGTCTTGAGAAACAGAATCTATTACCTTAGAGGCAAAGCGCAGTTTGAAAGTCAATGTCAGTGTAGTAGACTAAATGTCTGGGTATAAAATGTGTACAAATGAGACAGGAGCCACAGGAAGGACTGCGGGTTTTAGAAAAGATAAGAGCAGGTTAGAGAGGGCAAGATAGAAAAGCAAGATGGGTTTGGAAAGTGGAGGAATGTTTAAGATCTGTAGAAATGGAATTGTGTAGAACTATGTACGATTTGGAAACTAGAAAATAAAGTGAAGATGGAAATTATATAAAGTCTCGGCCTTTATGTTTAGGAACTTTAGATCCGTTTACCAATAAGGGACACCAATGACATTGATCATAAAAGACTTCAAGTAATAATGGACGTTAGTCAAGAAGAACATTGGTGCTCATTTTAAATTAACGGACATTGGTGGCAGCGGTGTCTTGCGAACTCACATAAAGTGAAGGACTATGGATACTTAGGAGAAGATTAAAATAATTCGACAATTTAGAATATTGATTAGACAGGTGTAAAACTTTAAATTTGGAAAGGATTTGGGACATACATAATATAATATGGATATATTCGACGGTAATTTTTGGATATTTCTTTCAAAGGAAATAAACATGGATTAATAATATGGAATTATCCTAGAAACTATACTATGGTAGGTGCAGTAATTGTAATTTACATTTGAACTTTTATTGACATTAGATGCTCTGAAAAGTATTGAAATTAGCATAATATAGATACACTAGCCTGTATTGAGAAACATTTCTTCTGACCTGTTTTTTAAAAAGAACATTAATGTTATTTGGACTGTAAGAGTGATACAGCTCGAATTTTGAAAATAACCATTTACAGAACATTGATTTCCCGTGAACTGTAAAATGTTAAAACGTTTAAAGATTGAATTATCAATTAATTTGGGACAAAAATGAACATTAACCAAAATATTCTTCACAACTTGGAAGGATCTAAATATTAACAATATAAAACATTGGAGTAAACCACATTAATTTCAACATGATCATCTCTGCGTAGACTATGTCTGTGTCATCACAACCTTTTGCAAAGAACTACAACGCTACCAGAACCAAGCTTAAAATTGTTTACTTGAAATATAAAATATGTTATTTGATATGCTGTTTATGTTAAAAGTCTACAGCACCTATTGTTCAGCATCCAGAAACTCAGTCTTGTGCAATGCCGCAAAACATTTAATAAACGCATACTTAGAACATTATATGGACAATTCTTCTTGAACTGTATGATCTAAATTGAAAACTGGTAATAGCATTGACAAAACATCGATAAAATGGATAACTATGAACCTGGGAATATTGTTGCCAAAATGATTGGTGATGCTAATAAAGAATTCAGACTATAAAAACACTCTCTGTGATTTACGTGGAAATTCGGAGGCAGTTGGATTTTGACATTTTAATATCACAATCTACTCAAAAAAGGCGTATTTGGGGATAATATTTCAATGTTTTTGGAACAAAGGATTTCCTGTATATCAGCAGTAACACAGCTAAACAGCAAAAACTTTCGCTAACTTTACTTCTTGATGAGGGGCATATATACAGACCTAAGACTTTCGTTTGAGGATATCAAGAAGTTGTTTCTGGTTGCAGGATAATAAGACAGTAAAGACCGAAGGACCTCAAGAGTCCGTATATTGAGAGAATCGTTGTGGACAGATTTCGAGACTGTAAAAGGAAACTATGATTGTTTACCAATAAGAGGATCTCCTTCAGAAGAGGAATGTTGAACTTATGAAGCCACTGGGGACAATTATGACCAAGATGTCCATAATGCCACATACAAAAGTGATCATGAACAAGCTGTTCCTTGTCATTGGGACTATTGAAGCCATTTAAGAACTGAATTTTGTTGACATAGAGAAGATGTGTATTAAATATGGAAGACAATATTTTATTAATGATCCAGGACAGGACACTCTGATCAAGTGCTACCCAGAGGATACTTTTGATGTCTGCATGAGTGCAGATACTGGGATACCTGGTTGTTCTGAGTGTTTGTTACCAGCCAGGGTAGTATGTCATGAGAACATATGTGGGGATGAGAAATTTCTGGTGGAACAGAAGATGAGTAAATGTATGGAGTACTTACTCATATCTTGTATATTGCTGGCCAGCGCGTTGATTTTAACAAGAGTTCCACATCGTGTACTGAACGTAGGAGAGGGCAGATGGCTATACAAAGGAACTGTCATGGAAGTGGCTTCTATTGATTTTCAAGGAGACGTCCTTGAGTCTGCTAGATTCATGGCTATGATGAACAGTACCTGTCCTATAGATCTGGAGGAGGTTCAGTACAAACGTGATAAAAGTGTCTAATTATATAAGTGAAAGTGATGAAGGACATCACAATTTAAGAGAAAACTGTGAAGAAATCAGACGAATCTGAGAAGGACATGGCTCATATTAATTTTATAACTAAGGAGGCTTCAAAGGAACTGTACGCGAGGAGAACTGTTGGAGAAAACATTGAGAATTCTTAGGGGAATTCAACAATGCAGTCTCAAAGACTAGAAAAGACATTGGATATACATTGACAAAAATTCTCCAGTATACCAGAATGGACAGAGAACATTGTTAATGTCGGGTTAGATCTATAATTATATGTTTACCAAATTTGTAATTATTTTCTGAACAAAATTGATAGGTCTGGATAGTTTATCAAAATTATTGTTTTCAGATAACATGATTTTTGATTGTACAAATCTGTAATTTTGAAAGTGATGTGCAGTGATGCGAGTGGTTATTTGCCCTCTGTAATATAATGTACATATATGTTACTCTCTATTATTACTCAATTATAATCTTATATCACTGTAAATTCAGTCATTTCAATAATAGTGTATTAGTGCTTTGCAATGGTTTTCATTTGTTTGTTAGCATGAAAATTGTTTTGGAATTTTCTATGTTTTTGTAAATGCGTTATTTAGGCTGAAGTTGAAATTGATGAAACTTTGTAATTTGTATCCTTAAAGCATTGCAATGCTAACTTGCTATGCTAGTCTTATGTATGTAGTCAAATATGTTATATGTTACTTACTCCATCTATATATCTCTCGTATATCAATTTTTCCAAAGAGCATGGACTGTAACAAATTTACTAATTATTTTGAGTGTGGTTAATATTTTTGACAAATTATACTGTTGGGTAGTTTTTACACAAAGGGTGCTATGTTGCACTGATTGAAATTGATATTATTTTGCAGACCAGGAGGTCTGAGGCTAAGAGGGGGGTAATGTAAGTAATATAACATTGGTTAAAATACATTGATGAAATATTAAGGGCAGGTTTAGTAATGAATAAGGTAATGTTGTTCAGTTTCAAATTGGTTCAGTATAGCGAATACGGTATGTTAGAATATACTTTAAGGAAAAGAGAGCTTGAGCGACTTTCAATTATCATTTGGCATAAGCGTGTCTGATTTTGGCATACTCATGTCGCATTCTGGCATAATCGTTCATATCATAAGGAAAAGTAAGTTTGCTTCCACACGAGGTACTTGTTCCTTGTCTTGAATGTTATTGTACCCATGTAACTAACCATGTTTCATAAGAAGAATGATGGGATATGTCGGGCTCGTTCCAGACATTATGTAAACAATCTTCTCACAGAATCTCTTCCACATTGCATTCCAAAGGAGGTTGATCTATGCAATGTAATTCTTAGCAGTTTGTGTGTAATCTATTTTGGGAAACCTTCTACAGAAGTGGGAAAGTACCTCTTGTGGAATTCGGCTGTAAATGGTGAGGCAAAACGTCTTGAGAAACAGAATCTATTACCTTAGAGGCAAAGCGCAGTTTGAAAGTCAATGTCAGTGTAGTAGACTAAATGTCTGGGTATAAAATGTGTACAAATGAGACAGGGGCCACAGGAAGGACTGCGGGTTTTAGAAAAGATAAGAGCAGGTTAGAGAGGGCAAGATAGAAAAGCAAGATGGGTTTGGAAAGTGGAGGAATGTTTAAGATCTGTAGAAATGGAATTGTGTAGAACTATGTACGACTTGGAAACTAGAAAATAAAGTGAAGATGGAAATTATATAAAGTCTCGGCCTTTATGTTTAGGAACTTTAGATCCGTTTACCAATAAGGGACACCAATGACATTGATCATAAAAGACTTCAAGTAATAATGGACGTTAGTCAAGAAGAACATTGGTGCTCATTTTAAATTAACGGACAGAAAGATAACAAGGAAGTTCAGCAAATTGTTTTAAAAGTTTTTAAAGAATGCCTTTGACAAGTGAACAAAAAAAATCTATAACCAGACCTATTCAAAGATGCTTAAATCGATGCAAGCAAAATTTCAAGACATTTAAACCTAAATTACCTGCACAAAAGACAGATTCATGGATGGGTCAATAAATTTATAGTAAAGGGAACTGTACTGTATATTGAATATGATTTGATGGAATTTCATTTGCCATGTATTTGCCCAGGAGACCAGCTTGTCAAGGTCATTCTGGAGTGTTAGTGCGTCCTGTTGGTTCTCGACAGACATGAAGAGGAGGCTGTCATCTGCAAATAGTTTGAGGCTGGTTGTTGGTGATAAGTCGCTGCCCATATCATTGAATATATAAGCGCAAATGCCAAAGGGAAGGGTGACTAAAAACTTTAAAGAAACCCAACAAGAAAAGCAAACTTTAAGTGTACCCTATCCCAAAACCATGATTTAACGTGAAAAGAAACAATATCTAACACCCCCCTCCCCCCTCCAATTAGCTCTAAATCCATGTTCTCGGTGGTTAGCGAGGATATTGTGGAGATCGAAGTGGTCCATAACATGGTGAAATATAATATGTTCCATTATCTTGCATGGGACTGATGTGAGAGACACAGGCCTGTAGTTTACTGCCTCATCTCTGCGTCCTTTCTTGTATATAGCCGAGACATTGGCATGTTTCCAGTCTAAGGGTACTGACCCTGCATCAATGGATTGCTGGAAGATGATTTGCAGGTATGGTGAAATAGTGTCACTGCATTCCTTGAGGACCCTAGTAGGTATGAGATCAGGTCCTGAGGCCTTCACAGAGTTGAGGCCTTTGAGTAGTTTGGTAATAGACATATTTGCGATAAAGAGTTCAGATGGTAATTTACATAAATATCTCCCATGATGCATCGCTTTGGAAGGCGATTACTCTGAACGAAATGTTGCAAAGTCAAAGGTCATGATCCGCTAATTTCATTGGTGGAGGATTACATCATAGCGTATAGCATCATATTGTCGGAAGATTGCTCGAACAAAATTTCAACAAATTCTGATAAAACTAGACTAAGTGTGAATCAATTGACAATCAGCCTCTGATATTCCACCAGCGCTCGAGTACAGTTACACAATCCAATCTATTCAATAATCAGAAAGATAATCGGAGATTCTGAAAATTACATTATTTATATTTTCGATCTTCAATGGAGTCTGGGCAATTTGTGGGAAATCAGTGACATCACTGGAATTGGAGGGCATTTCCAAATAAAGATTTCTTCAGATTTGGGAATTATAGTTCAAAAAGCCTTGTTGTATATCTTAATATCATACATATCTATCATTTGTGCGAATGCAACACTACATAAATGTAGAGATTGTGATAAATGTAGAGTGATTGTAGAGAGGGGGGGGGGGCTAGAGAGTCTTTGAGTCTGTCTGGTCCATTTGGCTCGCTTGTAGATGTCACAGCCAGCACCATCTATCTAATATAAGTCTAATATCGAATAATGAAGATTGATAGTGGTTGTGCACTTTGCGAGGCGGTGATCTAAAAACCCGGGAATTTTGAAATAAACTTTTGACCAGCAGTATTTTTGTCGCAGTGAATGCTAGGATTTCTAAAAGTATGTATATACGTCTTAATAAAATGACACGAACTTTTTATTACATTTATAGGATACATTTATGAGAATATTTAGTTTATTTGAAAAAATATAAAAAACTTACTTTGGTTTCTTGTGGATTTCCGGTTCCGGTCAGAAAAATTCAAATCGAGGTTGCCGCGAAAAATCCCAAGTTTATTTTGAAGAGGACGTTGAATGTTCTCTATATTTGCGGAAAGAATGGACAGGTATGTATCACAGGAACTTGTAGCACTAACTCTATGAGTTGCTTATGTCAGATCTGAGTCAATATGTATATGATAAGAAGGACGATAACGCTTCACCATTTCTGGGAACTGAAGTAAAAAACACTTGCTGGGCTAGATCTATCTACAGTTGGGGACATAAATAAATTTGCTGAAGTGAGGATTTCCCATGTTAAAAATAAGAGAATTTACAAGAGGCCATAAATCAGTGGATGAGATTATACAAAATGTAAAATATACAAATTTTAAGGGATATGTATCTAGACAATATTGGAAATTATGGGCTTTCAGACCACCATAATTAGGAAATGGTGATCGAAAATCGACCTGTCATTTATTTTTGTCCCCAACTGTACTGTTTTTTTCATGGCCTGAGTTCGTCGCTAACATGCTTAATATAAGAGTTAGCTGACGGTTGGGAGTCTGACTTACCTTCTAAAGGTTAGAACCCGGATCTTAATGAAACCATATCACCACAGTCAGAGAGAATGTTTCTGGCGAAAATTCTGGGATTTCAAACACTTTGAAGTTGGGAAACCGGAAGGGCTTACCTTTTTCAATTCCCGAATCTCACTGAATCTCTCCGAAATTAGCTCATCTTGGTGACTGTCAATTGCACAGCTGTATTCAATGGAGTCTTGTCATATTCGATCAGCCTCAATATTTTCAACGTGATTTTATCGTTTTTTGTCGACTGGTAAGAAAACGCCGGGCAAATGGCAAGATGGATGACTTTTGACCTGACCTTGACCGATGGTGATCACGTCATCAATATTACCAAGATGGCGGTTTCAAAATTTTCTAAAATTGCTTCAAATAATATTATGTTAATTCCTAGCGAGTAAAGATATCTCTTAGTTTGCTATTTCACAATAAGATAACGAAATGTGTAAGGAATTCGTATTTATCAATTAAAACATCACATCGACATTTGGTATTCGTAAACTAGACGATGAAGATAACGACCTCGAAAAAAAACAAAAGAGCGAGTACGGGATTCAAACCCGGGCCTCCAGCGTGCTAAGCGAGGATTCTCCCTCTAGACCACCGTTATATTACATATGGTGTTGGGAATTAAACGCTACTTATTTTGAATGCTAATTCGGAAGTGACGTCACGTTCTTCACGTTTTGTTTGAGAGCGAGAACGAGACATGCCAGAAGCCCGGCTTTTTTGTCAGTCGACCTGTTCAAAGTACATTTAGTGATAATTATCGCTTTTCAGAACAATTTAGGAAACAATATTTTCTATCTACGTCGATTACAAAGCATCTAAGGTACGTAAATTTATATGAACAACTGAGTCAATAGGGATAAATAGCCCAACGAGAGTCGGCGGTCTTGAAAAATACTTGGATCTGATGCCAGTCCTGTTATTGATATACTTCCAGGGCAGTTCGAAGAACGTATTAGATGTCCGTGCATATCACCTTTGTTCCGTCAACCATGGAGCATTTGCCACGACATCCAAGAGGTAAATCATAGACCGTGAAAATGAATGATTTCCTTGTAAGTTTTGGAAGTTTCAATACGAAAAATTACCGAACATATGTGAAAACCGAATATTTGTTCGTTGTTTTCACGATTTACAGGTTCGTTTGTTCTTCAATGTTTTGGTCTAAATTATAAAGCATCACCAACAGGTCTTACTCTATTAATCGACTTATACAGCAGACGGCTCATATTTCTACGTAGCATTTCGTTCAGACCAATAGTGGGAGTGTAGATCACGCAGTTTCGTTCGTTGCGTACTTCACTTGAAATTGGTAATTTTAAATATTGGCTACTTCACTTAGGTTGGCGGATGTAGAACATTGCTTAATATTCTTTTAATTTTCACACCAGACATGCTTGGTTGACACGTCAACAAAGTAAAGTTCAAGGGTCAATGCGTTATTTCGTGATAACTACAACCATGGGCTTTCATCTAGTTGAAAGCCCATGCTACAACGCCTTCCCGGAAGTCAACATTAATGAAAAATGAAAAAGTCGGAAAAGCATTTACACTAATTATTATCAAATGCTGTGTTTATGCATCATCAATGACGGAACAAAGGTGATATGGTTTCATTAAGATTCGGGTTCTAACCTTTAGAAGGTAAGTCAGACTCCCAAACGTCAGCTAACTCTTATATTTAGCATGTTAGCGACGGACTCAGGCCATGAAAAAAATAGTAGACCTATTGCAAGACTTACGCCTGCCACAACCGTCGCCATGTTAATCAGTGTTTTTAAGTAGCGCAAGGATCCTGCCATGACCGTGGTAGTGTTATCGTGTAAGCCTGGTATAACCGTGACAGGCTGGTATAACCGTGACAATGCTGTATTATATTGCAAGGCCTGTCATGACCCTCGAAGTGTTATCGTGGAAGCCTGACGCGACCGTAGCCTTTATTGTGGTTTATAAGCGAATGTGAATATTAATGTTTAGAAGTAATTTTGATTTTGACATGATTAAGGAAGTTAAACACCATGATCATAGTATTAAACTGTTTAATTGATATATATTCCATACACTTTTCTTTATCTTGATGTGAAATGAGAAGCTATGATATAGGTTAACACGCCAGAAATAATACTATTCGAACATAATATTATTCGAATGCATATTTGAAAATTTTGAAACTGCCATTGATGACGTCATTTGTTTGACGACTTTTGACCAATCAGAGATGTATGTCATCTCAATACTAGGTTTACATTATAAGCGTATGTCATCTTTGAACTCTGGTGTTATTCCCCCTCTGCGAAATCACTAGAAAAAAACATGCCACACATTATGCGCATTAAAGTTTAAACCAATCAGATTATTTGATTATTTTGCGCACATGAATTATTTGCTTCTAAGCACTTACTATTAAAGCTAATCATAATAAACAAACCTGACAGATATTACCCTTACTTCATTTTAGCGAAATTCAGCTCAAACTCGTGACAAATGCATTATGCATACGCTGGTATGAAGCCTTGGAGACACTCATTTTGGTGAATATGATTTACGGTGGATACTTTTCTGCAGTTTGTGAGAGTTTGGGACATTTAATGTTAAAATTCAAGAAAATATGCCAACTATATCACTTATCAATTAATTTATATCAGTACTGTATCTAATATTTAGTCTAATATTGAAGAATGAAGATTGATAGTGGTCACTGTGAAAAAAAGGTGTGTATATTGAATATTCGGACGTCTCCCCTACCGACAATATTGTCAGTACGGGAGACTGCCCAGTGAGTATTTGCTCCCGTATCGCAGTTGTCGGTACTGGAGACTGCCCAGGGAGTATTTGCTTGGGTACCGACAATTGTCGTCCCTCTATCGTCTCCTAGCAGGGCGAGATAGAGGACCGACATATTGTCAGTAAATGAGACTGCCCAGTGAGTATTTGTTCCCGCACCGACAGTGAGTATTTGTTCCTGTACCGACAATTGTCGGTACGGGAACAAATACTCATTGGGCAGTCTCCCGTACTGACAATTGTCGGTACTGGGTATTTTCAAAAATAAATACACTAATGACACCCTATGCAGACAGAGCCTGTGGGAAATATTGGGTGCGGAGCAAATGAGCGGAGGGTGCAGAGCTAATGGTCATTTTTGAATTTAAATTTGGGATATTTCTGAAACTAAGCCGTTTTGGGACTTCAAATATACCAAGATATGTGTATTTGACAGCAAATATCAATACAATTGTGAAAATAGTAACGCAATTCATTCTATAGCGACGCAGTGTGCCTTAAACCTTTCCCAGACCTATATATTTTGAAATTATCTGTTTAATACTAAGTCCCCAGCATTCATAAAAAATGGTGTTCAAGGTACACTATCTATACAAATTATTTTTGCATCTTGGAAGCCAGGCAGTATCTGTGTGATTTTATAAAAATTCGGAAATGTTTTTCAGATATGAGCCCCCTCTAAATATTGGGTGCGGAGGAGCTCCATAAACGTACCTCCGCACCCAATATTTAGAGGGGGCTCATATCTGAAGAACATTTCCGATTTTTTATAAAATCACACAGATACTGCCTGGCTTCCAAGATGCAAAAATAATTTGCATGGGTAGTGTATCTTGAACACCATTTTTTATGAATGCTGGGGACGCAGTATTAAAAGGATAGTCTCAAAATATATAGGTCTGGGAAATGTTTAAGGCATAATGCGTCGCTATAAAATGAATTGCACTACTATTTTCACAATTTTATTGATATTTGGTGTCAAATACACATATCTTGATATATTTGAAGTCCCAAAACGGCTTAGTTTCAGAAATATCCCAATTTTAAATTCAAAAATGACCGTTAGCTCCGCACCCGTCGCTCATTTGCGCCACACCCAATATTTCCCACAGGCTCTGTCTGCATAGGGTGAATGACGAAGTAACAGCATACGTCACAGTTCGACACATCTCCTCTACATCTATTTAACAAAATGGATGGACTTCCATCGGAGTAATTTTTTGTTATCCCATCGAACGAAGTTCGGAGGGATATAGGGAACGCCTCCGTCCGTCCGTCTGTCTGTACGTACGTCCATTTGTCCGTCCGGACCATAACTCAAATACCGTTGGCCCGATTTTGTTCATATTTTGTACACATATACCTTATGGGGGTAGAAGTTCTGCTCGAGAGCCGATTCTCAAAATGGCCGCTCATTTAAAAATGGCGGCCATTTTAGTGACGATTTTATAGTAATTTATGTGCAATATGTAAAACTGTAATAGCAATATGTTTTAAATGTAAAAAAATTATGTAGGACATTAATAAAACTAGAAATGTAGATATTAAAAAAGCAAATGGCAGCCATCTTGAAAAATGGCGGCCTTTACTCGTTATTTTACGATTTTTGCTGTAACTCGAAAAGTAGTGGAGCGATTTTGTTCATATTTGGTATGTGAATACTATAAGCATGGCACACTGTCAAATGACACTTTTGGTAGAAGGCGGCCTTTTTGAAAAATGGCGGACATTTTGAAAAATGGCCGCCATTTTAACTTATTTTAATATAACTTGAAAAGTGGTGGAGCGATTTTGTTCATATTTGGTATGTGAATACTATAAGCATGGCACACTGTCTAATGACACTTTTGGTAGAAGGCAGCCATTTTTTTAGAATGGCCGCCATTTTAACGTATTTTACTATTACTCGAAAAGTAGTAGAACGATTTTGTTCATATTTGGTATGTGAATATTATAAGCATGGCACACTGTCTAATGACGCTTTTGGTAGAAGTTGGCCATTTTGAAAAATGGCCGCCATTTTAACATATTTTACTATAACCCGAAAAGTAGGGAGTGATTTTGTTCATATTTGGTATGTGAATACTATAAGCATGGCACACTGTCGAATGATACTTTTGGTAGAAGGTGGCCATTTTGAAAAATGGCTGCCATTTTTGCTATATACTTTGTTTGTAAAAATGCCAGCCATGGCTGTTCGATGGGATTCGCTACGCTTTGGCGTTGCCGTTGTTCTGGTTTTCATCATTTTCACCAAGAAGGAGGTCAATTTGTATCCAAATATTTTACCTGTATGTTAATAGCGATATCTGGTTACTGAAAAACTAGTCAGTCATTTTTGTGACAGATTCACTTTTTAGTAACCGGATGTTACTTATAACATATGGGTACAATATTTGGAAATTAATCAACCTCCTTCAAATGAAAATAAAAATTACCTCTGACGGAAGTTCATCCATTTTGTTATAAAGACAATGCCATCTTTTTTATGATATATACATTTCTTACGATTTTTACCCGATCATGCAGATTTTACTGGATAGTGTTGTTTGATCCCTACCTGTGAATTATTATTCAATGCTTTATTGTACTAAAAATCCCTTTCGGGTGAGTGTACAGCAAATAAACACAATAAAATAAAAATACAACTATACATACAATTACAATAACATACAATGCAAATTTTACATGGCATATAATGACAATATAATGTGATTGACTGATCATTAGATGTATACCAACAACTACTATTAGCCTACATGTATATATTTATATTGATAATATATTTGATCTCTTTTCAATTATTTCATAAAGGTATTTTGCAAAGGTGATACACATGTTACCCTCAGCATTAAACATATAATAAGCCTTTTCTTCGGTAGTCAATACAGTTAGATTTGGGCAAATCGAGTTAAACGTATCAAAGTATTCATATCTCATTTTTTATCACACCATCGGTGGGATATAGTCGTCATACTGGTCGTGATCGTGGTCGTGGTCGTGATCGTGATCGTCCCGCTTTTTGTCATCGCCGTTTAAGGAAAACTGCTCATCAGATTTTCTCCAAATTTGCAGAGATGATAGAGCATATGAAGTACTAGAGCTGATTAACTTTTGGGTGGCCATCTTGTTTTCTGGCGGCCATTTTGAAGGTTTTTCGAAAAATCTTGTCATCGCCATTTCAGCAAAACCGCTCATTGGATTTCCTTCAAATTTACACAAATGATAGAGGATATCAAGTACTAGAGCTGATTAACTTTTGGGCGGCCATTTTGTTTTCTGGCAGCCATTTTGAAGATTTTTCGAAAAATCTTGTCATCGCCATTTCAGAAAATCTGCTCATCAGATTTCCTTCAAATTTACACACATGATAGAGGATATCAAGTACTAGAGCTGATTAACTTTTGGGTGGCCATCTTGTTTTCTGGTGGCCATTTTGAAGGTTTTTCGAAAAATCTTGTCATCGCCATTTTAGGAAAACCACTCATCGGATTTCCTTCAAATTTACACAAATGATAGAGGATATCAAGTACTAGAGCTGATTAACTTTTGGGCGGCCATCTTGTTTTCTGGTGGCCATTTTGAAGGTTTTTCGAAAAATCTTGTCATCGCCATTTTAGGAAAACCGCTCATCGGATTTCCTTCAAATTTACACAAATGATAGAGGATATCAAGTACTAGAGCTGATTAACTTTTGGGCGGCCATCTTTTTTTCTTGTTCTTGAAATTTGTAAACATAATAGGGGAACAGTTTTCCTGGTTCATAGTGTCTGCCTATTTGATGGTGTGATCTCGTTCACGTCCTGTGCCTTGTTCCAATTTTTGACACTCAAAAATAAAATGAGTTTCCGTACCAGTGTTGATTTTACATAATATGCATTTTCTTTGATCTCTCAGAATTATTGGTCTTATATATCTTCCTCGCTCTATTTCTAAATTGTGTGCACTTATTCTTAATCGCGTCATAGATTTCCTATGTTCAGCGTTCTTTATTAAATTCAAATATGGTTCTTTTCCCCATCGTTGTTTGATATTATTCAAAAATTCTAATTTCCCTTTAATTAATTTGAGATTTACTTTTGTGACTTTTGGAGAACCTAGAAAAAGAATATAAGAATCTATTGAGGTAATATATAGACGTCAAAATACCCAAGGGGAGACCATCCCCACTACTCTGTAAAGTAATAAATGAACCCAACTCTTTTGTAGACCACTAGATGAGATAGAGGCTCAGGTCATGAGTGATTTAAGGATGATTTTCGCACAGATTGATGAAAAATATCTGAAGAAAAGTGTGTTGCATTCCTCTAATCGTCAGTTGCCCTACAGCAAAAACATCTTACTCCAAAGATGCATCGATGATATCCTAGATGAGAGGACCAAAAACATGCCAGATGAGACTGTTGCAAAATTAGGAGCATCCCCAAATCATTCTTTTGTGAATGACAGACAAACTAATATGGGAACTGCTAACAGAAAAAATGATGAGGATAAAGGTAACTTATAAAAGATTTTATACAAAGATCCATACTTTACAGAGACATGCTTCAATTTATATCAAGTGAATAGGCTACAGTTATTTAGATCTTTTTCTGACTAAATCGAATTACTGGATCAATTACTGGGATCAAACAAATACAATTGCAGCAAACATTTTTCTTTGATTCTTGTTTCAGTTGCTGCTGCTCCTGATCTGCATATTGAGGCCGACATGTCGGATGACTCTGATTACTCATTGAGCTCTCAGCTGTCGGAGGACAAGAGTTCAAATCTCTCAGATGGTAAATGCAAGATATTGCTGTTATCTACTCTAGTTCTCATTGTTGCAATTTCAGGAAAAGTGCTTTGGATTTTCTACAAATATGTACCCAGTTGTTGGCTATTTCAGGAAAACTTCTCTTCAGATTTTCTTGAAATTAATGCATGTTATATCAATATTTTGGGTGGCTACATTATTGTTTGATTTCATTGTCATGTACCTTGTTCTGTTTTGAAGTTAACACCAAGCAAAGATTACATGTAAGTAAATTATTGGAAACTTTTTTTTTGATTTTATCGGTGATGTTATAGCCGATTATGATTTTAGAGGGGATATTGTTGGAGAGTATGATTTTAGAGAAAATCTTTGAGATGAATAGGATTTAAGAGGCAGTAATGTACACATAATTTATGTCTTCTTGTATTTTGCCTGTATTTAATGTAAATTACTTAATTCTTTTTTATTCTTGTAGATGAGGATCTGATTGATGCTTCACAAGTCACAGGCATTACTCCTAAACGATCCAAAGATATTGTATCTGGACGTATTATTGAAGGAGGTGTTGAGAAAGTCAGGTATGGAGTAATACAGTATCTAACTAATCCTGCTTTTAAGGCTTACTGTAGTAGAAAACTAAACACTACTATTTAAGTATAGGTAGTATAGGTATCAGATGGCATTATATTAGTGAATGTTATATTCAAGTATTTTGGCGATGTTCTGCGAACATGAACAAGCATTAAAATTGCTAAAATCAAATGCTTGTAGGTCATCATATTACACCAACACTAGGGGCTTCCTCATATTCAAGCAGTTCTAAGAGCTGTTGGTTAAGACCCTAAAACTCGTTCATGCGCTAATGATGAATTCTAAATATTCTTTTTCCAGGAGACAATCGGATGATAACCTGGAGAGAAGTGTGACAACATTAAACTCTACAATTTCACTGTTAGAAACACCTGAAGCTATCATTCACAGCCCAATGATAAAACCGCCAACACCCAAAGCTAACCATAGAACCACATTGATTAAGCCACCAGCAACATTTGGATCACCAATGACTTCAACTCCCAACTTTGATCAACATAGGCATAATAAACAGAACAGTAGTACTGACTTTGGTTCTAGTAGATATCACAAACCAAATAACAATAAAATGAATCATAGTCATAGCGATAGTGAGTTTACACGTAATAGTTCTCCACAAAACATTGTCACAAAGATTCCTAGTAGTGAACCCAGGATAAAAGCAAGCAGTTTTAAACCATTCCTAGATAAACAAAACAAGGTCGAAGATGAACTTCCTGAAATGTTAGGCCCTAGAGGTACAAAATTATCTCCACCTTCACTTCATAGAAAGTTCTCTGACTCTCTGTACACTCAGTCAGGGATTTCCATGCACAATAGACAAACTCCTTCCAGTTTCATATCATCAACGGAGAACCCCTTGAAACGATCATATAAAGACATTGACAATGACTCCCTACCAGACCTAACTAGGAAGCGTACAGTCTCTATAAGCCCTATAAAGCCTCCTAAGCTAACACTACCAAACAAGGCAACTAACCTGCAAGTCACATTCTCTCCAAATAAATCAGCGGCACCAGACATTGTTAAACCAGCGAAACTTAATTTTGGCAATGTTTCACCAAAAAAGGTGCCAAGTCCGAAGCGTCCTATCTTGAATCCTGCTACTTTTATTGGTCCACAGGGAGCTAGACAAAAAACGTTGACAAAGTTATCAAAAAGATTTGATAATATCAGTGACCCACCCTTTGATAACTCAGCTGAAGTTCACACACTAGGGTCATGTGTAAAAAAGTCATCCAATGGGCAAGAGGAAATAAAGGCAGACATTGAGCCTATTGATATTGGTTATGTACCTGGTTCTACAATAGACTTGACCAAAGCCCGAACTGAAAATACTATTGACTTAAGTATAGCACAAGGTCCTACAATTGATTTAACAAAACACACACAAGGGCCGACAATTGACTTAACGAAGCATAATCCAAATAATGCTATAGCCATTATTACAGAAGAAAAGTTAGTAAGTCCTGATAAACAATATAATCCAGGTAATGCCAGAGCCATTATTATGGAAGAAAAGTTAATAAGTCCCGATAGACAAGATCCAAAAAGAACCACAAAGATTCATTCAAAAAAATCTCTAAAAAATTCAATTCAATTCAATGCCAAGGTTGGAAAAAGTTGAAAAAACATTAGGACACATGCGGGCTGGATTGCGTGCAATAGAACAGATGATAGCAGAAGATGAGCCCCCAAATGCACATAAGCCCATTCTTGATCTGTATCCAAACATTCATAGTGGACTACCAAAGAAAAATCAAAGCAATGATATGAATCTGATACAGTCTCCTCCAAGGAATAAACCGCACACAGTTCCTGATCAGTTATATCAAGTCCCTAAGGTGGTCAACAGGCCTATTATAAGACTACCATATGGAAGGCCTGATCCATACATTGGGGTCAACATTCCTGCTCAACCAAACAGAGCTCCTGACCCTCTCTTGAGACTAGTCAATCCTGAATTAAAGAAAACACCTAACAACCCATTAGATAGGGATCTAATACCTCGCCTAGTTATAGACCCACCTGAGCAAACTAAAGAGACTCCAAAACTGCATAATAATAATAAGGTTGAAGCAATCCTACCTACTACTGAAAAAGTTCAGCAACAACCACATGCCACATTTGACAATGAAGGGTTTCAGCATTATGACGAGGAAGCTTTCGGCAGCTATGTTCTGCCACCACCGCCCCCTCCAGTCACCATAGAAACCACAAGGGATGAGGTCCGTAAACAAATTGTAAGTAGTATTCAGTTTAGTTCAAGTAAAATATATTTGTGATAGTACAAAAACCTGTAGACTGAATGGTAGATATAATGGAAAGTCAACAATGCTCTTCAATGTGTATTGCAATCTGTGCAGGTTCTTAATTAAAAGCTTCAAAATGAAGAGTTTGTGACAAAGTAGTGCTCAAATTGACTTGTATATTTATGAGGAGTCTTATTAAACATTAGCTAGTTTAATTAAGGGTGAACATAATACCTGGAACTTGCTTCCTTTGCAATTTCAATGTATCAGCATTCAGCTTTTTTTTCTGTATACTATTCTATCAACCAATGAATGAGGGGGTGCGCGAAGTTTAAATACTTTTCTGATAATCTCTATCACCCCCTGTGTGCATGATGACATAGAGCTAAATATGAATTTTGTTTTAATGGTAAACATACTGAGCCCCGTATGAAATAAGCCCTTGGCTTTAATGCAATGATTTACATTGTGGACTGCAGGTATATTACAGAAAATTTAAACAATTGACTTTAATGCTTGAAGTAACAAATTGGTGTATTTTAGACGATTTTTTTTCTACAACACATCACACAAATGTTCCATTTTTTGGACCACTCTGTAGTAAAGGTGATTGTATAGCTAGTACAGGTTAATTCAAAGTAATAACACAGGCTGGTATCGAAAGATTTGTCCGCTGTGACGGAGCATGCTATTTTTCATAAAAACACTAAGAATGCTTCACGATTTAATTTTTAACTCATATGTTTCGTTATATCAAAGATAATTACTTACTCCATGCAATGGATATATCATTTGCGTGTAACCTTCACTTCTGTTTGAAGTCCAATAACGCTAGGAGTAAAATCTATTGAAAACTGCGCCAGAGTATCAAACTCCATCCTTGCTGCAAGGGTATTTTACAAGTATTAGGCATAAATGAAGTCCTTTGAAGAAGGATGATCAAACTCTAAAATGTACCATCTCTTTTTTAACTTTTTAATGGCATGATATAGTGACACGCTAATATTAACATATGTTTTAAGCATAACTCTGTATGTATTAATGAGATATTAATGCATTGGGTCTTATTAATTTTTTTATAAAAAATAATATTAATATTTTTTGTCCGCTGTGACGGAGCATTTTCACAGTTCACATTTGCAACTGCTCCGTCACAGCGGACAAAAAAATTAAACATTATTTTTTATAAAAGAATTAAAAAGACCAAATACACCAACATCTCATTTATACCTTCATAGTTATGCTGAAACCATGTGTAAATATTATCGTATCACTATATCGTGCCATTAGAAAGTTAAACAAGAAATGGTACATTTTGAAGTATGATACTCCGGGGCCATTTTCAATAGCTTTTCTTCCCAGCGTAATTGGACTTCAAACAAAAGTGAAAGTTACCCGCAAATGATATATCCATTGCATGGAGTAAGTAATTTTGTATGGTATAACGAAACATATGAGTTAAAAAATAAATCGTGAAGTATTCTTAGTGTTTTTATGAAAAATAGCATGCTCCGTCACAGCGGACAAATATTTCGGTACCAGCCTGTGAATAAGTGATAACAAAAAATAATCATCTGATTTAATAAAATTTATTGACACATGTTAATGTTTTGAATTAAAAACATGCAATTTAAAAAGAAATGTTCAAAAGCTATACTGTACATCCAAAAACATTTTGGAATCCATAATTGTTTATCTTCTGTAAACTGACAAAAGTTGTATTCCTTAATGATTGTCAGTATTGTTTGTCAATATTGCTAATTAAATCAACTTCACTGGGGGGTATCGTATTGTTGCATCAAGATGGCCAGACTTCCGGTGATAGATTTTCGTACGATGTTTTGTTTTCCCAATTTACACCCATTTCTAGGACGAGTTGCTCAATAATCATACACGTGCAGTTAGCCCATGATCTATATTTTAAAAAACTGTCATTGGTATACATGTAGCATCATCAAGAAGCGATAAATTCGTGGTTTTAATTCCTCACTATTGATGCAACAACACCACTCTGTTTCTTATCGATGATGCAACAACACCAATGTGCTGATGCAAAAACGCCAATATAATGTATCATTGAACAACAAGAGAAACTGTTTTATGTTCTGTTTACGGGTGTAGGTCGGGACATGAATAAAACGCGTGAGTCAGTGGTCCATGAACGAAACGTATTTTGTTTGGATTCTTTGTCTATATCAAAGTTAAAAGGATATACTGCAAGGCAAACTAAATAAAGTACTGAATCCCCGAGAGGCAATCTCATTGATATTGTATCTGAAAAATAAAGATTATACATTTTCTAAATTAAATGCCCTTGATTTACCGTATGGAAATTGTTTACAAATAACTAATATAATTTTGGAAAGACAACAGATATCAGTCATTTTGTGTTGTTAGTACCTCAATTGAAATACTCAATTCTGATTGGCTGATGAGCGGTCAACAAAATGTATTGTTAGTACCTCAACTGAAATACTCGATTCTGATTGGTTGATTAGCGGTCAAAATTATGTACTGTTGACCGCTACTAGGTACTGTTGACCGCTACTTCTGAAAAAAAGTTTCATGACGTCACAAAAACATGGAAGACGGACACTGTGATGTGCCAAATACAGAGTAAAGCTACTTGTACTGTCTCCAGATTTTCTAAAAAAAATATTGCTAACGTGGTTCGGAGAAAAGGTTGTGAAATGAAGCCATGCCGATTGATGATTGTCGTCTATATGTGTATTATTAGCTTGCTCGGACTAACAAAACAATTGTAGACCTCTCCATTCGATCAACCGTCAAAATCATATACCTAGACTGTAAACCTTCGGTCTCTGTCAACAGTAGTTTTTCGGTTTACAGTCTCGGTAAACAATTTTGCCGGTTGACCTCTGGGGAGGTCAACAGTTTACAATTGTTGACCTCCCCAGAGGTCAACCGGCAAAATTGTATACCTTTGTACAATTGTAAACTGTTGACCACTTCTAGGTACTGTTGACCGCTATTTTTGAAAAATTGTTTTTTTAATGTTGATTTTTTTTAATTTTAAAAAAATAAGTTGTGTAAAAATTACAAGTATTCGACGGTTTGGGGATTTTTTGCTAAAATATGATACCTTTACTTATCAAATATGTTCACGTGATATTCGATTATATATTCGTCCAATTATTATATTATTTGGACTTACAGAACAATTGTTAACCTCTCTTTTCGGTCAACTGGCAAAAGTGTCCTCGACCTCTGGTCTTGATCAACAGTACTTTCAAGGTTTACAGTATCAGTATACAATTTTGCCAGTTGACCTTAAGAGAGGTCTACAATTGTATATTATATCCTTTAAATTATTATATTTTCGGACTACCAAACAATTGTTAACCTCTCTATTCGGTGAATTGGCCAAAGTGTATACCTCAACAGTAAACCCTGAGAGTACTGTTGACCTCGACCTCCGAACTTTCAAGGATTACAGTATCGGTATACAATTTTGCCAGTTGACCTCAAGAGAGGTCTACAATTGTATATTCTATATCCTTTGTTATCCCACCCAAAGTATGATGTCATATATCAAGTTGAAGAGTTGTATACGCTGCTCAGGAGTTTACGCTATCCAGGAGTTGTACATCGTTCTCAAGAGTTGTATAGGATGAGTGTTGGTTTAATGATATTGCAGTTATACAATGCTATTATATAAAGGTTATTTACTGAGAGGGATTCAATATTGGTTTTATTCGAAGAGACAATGTGATATTTCCCGAGGGCCCGGGATATCTGTACCCCTATCAATTTACCTTTTTGGGCCATTAATCGTATCACTTTTGTTTACCTTTTTACTCAGTCGGAGAAGGAATCCAAAGAGAGTAATAATTCTACATGTGCGTCATGCAAGATTTCCATTGAACGTGTTACTAAACGGCCTCTCTAATAAAGTCAATTAGACGTTTTTACACGTTGGCTCTCCAAATTGGAGGAAATAAATACAGAATATCCCATCATTTTGAGTGATATCATTTTTATCGCCGAGTTGATATCAAATATCAACACGAGTGAGCGAAGCGAATGAGTGTTGATATTTGATATCTACGAGGCGATAAAATGATATCACGAGAAATTATGTGATATTGGGTTTATCCCATGATTACAATTCGCCAATTCTTCGTCAGACGAATTTGCACCGGCCATTTTGATTTGTACTTTACTCACTGCGCAGTAATATGCACTAATTTCTGTACATGATATAGTTCGTCATAAATACCATTTTTAATCGTTATTAAGCAGCCTTCTAACTAAATTATATACACAATCGTAATTCAATACACCAATGAAACTTAAAGAGAATAAATTAACGGACCTATTTTCTCAAAAGAGAATAAATTATCTGACCTAATTCCCAACAATATTGTGGCGCGAAATGCAAATGTGATATCACACGGATATGCGTGAGATAAACGATATCACACGCATATGAGTTTGATAAACGATTTTCTGGAAAATATCACACGGATTTCAATAATATCGGAAATATCAATAGCTGTTATTGTACAGATAACACATTAATCGTGGGATAAAGAATCATATCATATTATATCATAGATAAAGCAATCATCCAATCAACATAAGCTCACGAATCTCCCAGTTAAACTGCTTTAGTTTTAATTTGGTAAACAGTGGTAACGTACATCTACTAGTTTATCACTGTTCCACAGATGGATGACAGATAATTTCCAATAGCTCGTCATGTTTACCGAGGACGAAAGATGTTTGTCCACCATTTTGAATGATACTAACTGGAGTCAGGGTCATCAAGCTATGGAACAGTGGTTTATGAAAATAGATTGGGTTACTAAAGCTTGCCATGTTAAAGGCGATTGAACTATGTTATAGAACAACGTCCAGTACATTATAATATTCAAAAGTATAAATTTTTGAAAATACATATAAAGGATCTTCGCCCGCAGGACGTGTATTTTGAATGCCTTGAGAAGAACGCAAATATGGGTAATGGGTAACGGTGTTGCAATAGTAGCATTTAAAAATCTGTTCATCTTTAGATTTATGGTCTTCTGAAATTATACTATTAATTGGTGTTGCTGCATCATTGCTCAAATCTAGAGGAGTGTTGTTGCATCTTCGGTTTGGTGTTGTTGCATCAATAGTGAGAAACTAAAACCGTGAACTTATTGCTTCTTGGTGATGGTACATGTATACTAATGACAGTTTCTTTAAATATAGATCGTGCGCTAACTGCACGTGTGTGGTTTTTGAGCAACTCGTCCTAGAAATGGGTTTAAATTGGGGAAACAAAATATCGTACGAAAATCGATCACCGGAAGTCTGGCCATCTTGATGCAACAACACGGTGTTGTTGCATCAAGATACTCCCCAGTGAACTTGTTCTAACATAATTTTTTTTTCATGTTATCGATTTATTTCAAATAATAACATAGATATACACAGTCAGCTGATTGCCAAAGTTTTACAACATTAGCGGCAATTAAATAACATATGTTCTAACATAATAATAAACAACTATTGTGACCTTTGAGACACATCTATCACTTTATTCACTTATTAATTCATTATATAACTTCAGCTTGAAATGTTCCCAGATGTTGAAGTTGACTTCTTAATCCGGTTGATAATGATGCGAGGCGAACCTCCTCCTGGTGTAGAAGCACAGGCTTTCCTCATGGAGTGGGCATGTAACCAGTTGCTAGAAAGGCCTTACCCTAAAACTAAACCTAAAGAGAGAGTGCCATCTTCTGCAACAGCTTCATACACTGCAAGTGTAGACTCTGTACAGGTAAGGGTTAATGATAACATCATCAACTTTTAATTTGCTTCTCAGATATTGTTGTGACACCAAATTTAATAATGTGCAAATGAAACAAGATTAAGTTAGCTTTCTAGCTTGGTGTATATTATTGAAATATTGTTTTGATCCAGCTCCTAGAAGAGAGTGATTTTTAGGTCTGAGTCTAAAACTGTATAGAATTCTGGTGAGCTTCCAACATTCCAAGATTAATAGAAAAAAGATAAATACTAAGTAGATAATAAACTAATTAGGGATAATATCACTCAAAAATAATTGTTGTACCGTGCCAGTCATGCTGTTGTAACCACTCACTCATTGTCAGTGCTGCGTACTATGTATAGCAATGGCGTATCAGCCTGTGGTAAAGTTTCTCAGGAAACTGGCTTAATTATGTACAAGCACCAATACCAAACTTTTTAAAAACTATAAAATATTCAACTTTCAATAGCCAAATCAGATAATGAAAATCAAATCTTACCCCATTCAGAAGTTACACTTTGCATTCGTTTGACTTTGAATTCACTTCTCAAGAGAGCTTCATCTTCACTCTTTCAGTTTTCAATAAATCTCTGAACTCACCGAGCCAATCAGAGATCGTCGTCGAAATACGGATGACTTTCTATGTAGGGTCACTTTCTCTGACGTAATCGCATAATTATTGTGCACACTTGTTCCTTCAAGCTCCCTGATTAGTTGAGAATAGGCTAGTGTGGTAGGTGTGAAATGATTTAAGACCCGGGCTTTCACAGGCATCGGTCGTGGGGGGTCGCTTCTGAGAGGGTAGTTTAAACTAGACCCTGCACGCAGGGTAAAAGTCACATTATCAAAGAAAATTAAACTCAAAGTTAACAATTTTTAAAACTATATTTCTATAAATGAAAATCTATATGTAGGCTAAATCACTTTGACTAAATTTTGAACATTTAAAGTCCCCGTCTAAAGTTTGAAAATATTTTTTTATCATTCATTTACTATTTGTCAGGACTTAAAAAGTGATTTTAGAGATTTTTGAACAAAACATTTTTTTTGAAAAAAAAGTTGTGAGCATTTCATTTCTCAAATATTCAAATTTCCCGCCATTTTTCCAAAAAAGTTGAAATTTCTTAATCATCAAATATTTCTTAATGCATTTCAAAAAAGATTATATTTTTAACACCAATGCAAAGATTGAACAAAAGACACACTATTTCAATAATAAAATGTCATATTTAATGGGCCACTTCAATGTTTTAGCTTATCAAAAATATTTTGAAACATTAGTGATGTCACTAAGGTAACAAAAACTTTTTGAAAAAAATTGAAATTTTTTTTTCGATGTCAATCTTTTCTAAATATGCTAGACTTTCATAAAAAACCAATGTTGATTGTCTAACCAGGTTAAAAGGAAGAATAAATTATGTTTTAGATATCATTGTTCCATTGGTTTCTATGAGAACTAAAATTTTGAAATGCATTTTTCTCAGAACCATTTTCATGCACTGATAAGTTCATTTCTCGCTTGTTTATCAACCGATTTTCTTAATTTTTCGGCAAAAAACATGGGAGGATGTATGCTATGCATTGGTATGAATTGTGGCTAATTAAAAGATATATAGTGACCTCTAAAAGTTGGTTTTAAATAAATTCACAAATTTTGGAACAAAAAGTCTATCAAAAACCACTTTTTGAAATTAAAAAAAAAGTTTCACATATCACACTTTGATAACATTGGGTAAGACTACAATATAAGCCAAAGTGGTTTAAACTTTACATGGGGCCTTTAAGGACTTCATTTTCTACTGCGACTCTAGTCCATGTGATCTAGGATTTGGTTGTGAATAGGGGAATGGGGGGAGGGAGTTATAATGAAGCACCCTGTAGGAAGTGGTTAATATCCACTGGTCAACATTATTGCATCATAGTTAAGCATATATAAAGACATTTTTGATGTCAATAGCTAATTGATACAGTTATTTTAAGAGTGTCCCCAGGGAATGAAACCAGCCATGTCAACATGTTTCTATACATTACCATGGCTGTTTGAAATAAGGATCAATCAGGAGTAATTTGATATCTCTCATCCTAGCTAAGGGTTAAATACTTCACTGTGAACTCAGGTGAATATGCAGCTTTATTAGTAAGAGTTCTGTGTTTTAATTTTTTGTGGTTTTATACATCAGATTTAAGGCTTTAATGAAACAAGAGAAAAGTATTCAGTTTGCTATCATTGATAGAGAAGTTATATACATGAATTAAGAAGTATGAAGAAAAGAAATAAAAACAGTTGCCTTTTGGTAAGTATAATGTAGCATTTACAACAATATTAAGGTTTATATGCTGCTACATATGGACATAGGAGAAATTTTCAAGATGGCAGCTGTATTTTAAAATGGCCACCATTTTTCATAACCAAAATGGTGGATGTATTTCAACTGTTTTTCGTAAAAAATGTTTTCTTTAATAACTCAATACCAGTGAACAGATTTGGTTTGAATTTTAGAAGCTGATATGCTCTGCTCAAGATGAAATTTTCAAGATGGCCACTAATTATCAAAATGTGTTTTGTTCTGTGGGATTTGCTACTCCATGGAGTTACCAGGTAATTTTACTAGAAAGGATTCTCAAATTTGTATAGTTTACATGGCCTTCTTTTGTATTGTTCAGAATATGATTTATTTTCAGGCTGCAGATGTGAACTACTATTCTGAAGATGCTGTAAAAACAGTTCTAAATCCCAACGCTCGTAAACAGGGACTTGATCTCATCTCAAATGAGTTCAGAAAGGTAAATCACAATAAGTTAGGAATTTTATATTTGCAAGTTAGAAACTAGTTATGTAGTTAAAAGTACAACAAACATTAAAGATGAGAGGAGAGTAACTTTCTAAAAAATTCTCAGAATTTTATGATTTTTGGTTCATTGCACTTAATGCGATGCCTTCTACAACATTTTTGCATTGATCACATAACAATCCTTTGATTGCTAAGGTTATGTAGCAATCAGTTAGAAGAGATGAATATCTACCTTGTAACTTCTGATTTTGGATATTTTTGCATCTCAAATCTTCAAATTATGACTTTCATTTATATATTTGATCATATACAATGAAGCTAAGAGATCTCACTGACGAATGTCTATGGATTTGTAAATTAATGTTCTGGTGTACAATGCAGTTCCTTAGTAAGCTAAGTTGATTGTGTTGAATCATCCATTGTTTGTCTCCATTTTGTTACAAGATGTCTGTCTGTCCAGCTCCTACCTTTGCCTCATTTTAGAGAAGTTAGGTTTTTGTCATCAATAAGCTGGCAAACAATTGTTGAAAGAATTTAAAAAGTTATTAAATTGTTTGTAACTATCTTGAGAATGAAAGCTTTGATTTTACCAGGGAATTCCACATGGTGCATTTCTTCAAACGATACCATTCTTGCCATGATTGAAATCTTAACACTGGTTTATCTTATTTGTGTGATAATGTAAGAAGTTTTTATTCCAGCTCTCACTGATGGGTCTGAGACAGATCTATGAGGCATTCAACAGTCATTATGCGGCCACACGTAAAGCTGTCATAGATGGGGTTGAGGCAGTTGGATACACATTTCTCAAAGGTACTTTTTTAGCAATTGGTCATGCTGCCTTAGGCCTCAATGGCTGAAATGGACCCTAGATTTAATCATCTTGGCCAATATGGGATACTTAGATTCTTTGGAATTTCTTTTGATTTAACTTAAAAGAAACTGTGATTTTGCTGATATTTTGTATGTTTATACTCAATTTCAATTTTGTTGGATTTGCTTCAAAAAGTTGTATATCATGTGTTTCACGTTATTATTTATTTATTTATTTAACTTTCTACTTATTTTATTACAGTGGACTTACGATATGGGAAATCAGATAAAATGAATGCATTTGATGTGTCTCAAGGTTACTTAGTATTAGTTAATGCTGAGACCAAGACTGAGGCACCAGCTGGAACAACATTGAAAATACGGATGCAAGCAGGTTAGTTGCCCACAATCATAAAAGTTACTATGTACTGTTTATTTTGCGTCTACATCCAAGCTTAGAGGTTTAACAAGTTAAAGACAAATGCCTTGTTAACCTAAGTACTTACTTCACCAATACTTAAGAATACTTTGCCACTTATTTTAAACCTCCATATTTTGAATAAAGGCAAATGATCATTCTTTGAAAATTACAAAAAGATATCTAAAAATTGCAAAAGTACTTTCCGTTTTTTTTTAATCAATGAATTAAATTGGGCAATCATATCTGGGAGTTACCAACTGTACTTTAGTGCATCCAATGCTGTTGATCTGCATCTTGCAGGGCTTTTGAATAAATCACAAGTATCGTCACAAATCAAGTATTAATGTACATTACAAAGGAAGATTGTTCATTTTGTACAAAAGTTATGTATTATGACCACATATTCATCTTTGGTATTCTAGGTTCCAATATATTTCTGGTACCAATAAAGTCCCTGAAATCAGGACGGCCACTTAAAACTATGAGTATGTTTGATGAACAGCTGCTCAGGGAGGTTAGATTTGTGAATGGTGCTATACAGAAGGAAGTTGAAGTATGTGAATTAATTTTCTTTCCATAAGATGTGACCTGTTGATTTTATAAAATTCTGTAATTTTATTTCATGAATATTGATGACTTCATGCATGAAAAAATTTCTAAATAACTCTTCAAAGGAGTGCAAAGAATATAAATATATATATCTTGAATAATCCTTAAGATTCTTTAAAAAGTCAAATCTTGAATAATCCTAAAGATTCTTTAAAAAGTCAAAATAAACGTAGTTATGAGGAATTTTCTGCATTTTTGATATTCTATAGTAAAGTTTAGAGCTTAGAAAGACAGGGAGTTCAAAATGTAAGTTGAATCAGAGATATATAAAAATATAGTTAGACTGTGTTAAACATAATATCTCACCATACTCTAAGAGCGAGGAGGAAAATTCTTAATAAATGGAGTATAGTTGGTTTGGCAGTATTTTCAGTTAGGGGGAAGTCTTGGATGAAAATTCTACATAGGTGATAGCTTCACAGAGTGGTACATAATTCTTTTTTTTCAGGGGTTAGCCCCCCACCCCCCAAAAACACCCCGCCCCGGTAAAATAATTTTTTCATTCTCAATAACTTTAGATATCTTGATGTTTGTAAGTTACATACATAGACATTATATATATGAATCATTTGAAAAATAAATAATGCCAATCACTCCTACAGAATTTGAATAATAGTACAAAGTGTGTACCGTAGGGGGCAAATTCGTGACCCATTTTCTTACTATTTAGAGCCTCACTTTTCATTTAGACACTGGAAGACATTGGAAAAATTCATGTGAAGTGCCCAGTTGCAGGCCTATGAGCCTTGAAAGGTTCAAAGTAATTGAATCAGTAGGAGCCGAGAAAAAAATTGTTGATTTTTTGAAACTTTTGACATTTTCGAGATGGGTGATTTTGTGTATGACTATAGCTGACACTTATAGTTTCTAGATCCATCCCTCTTTGATGTTAAATATGGTTTTAAAGTGTAGAACTAAGATGTAAAAAAGAATTAAAATGGGTTTTAAGGAAGCTTAAAGTTTTAAATAAGTCCAAAATTTGAAGAATTGTACAATATCAGGTCTGAATTTACGAATTTCAGGTATGACCTTGGATGACCCTTATGTTTTTTATATCTGTCCCTCTTTGATGATATTTATGGTTTTTTAGTAACAAACTAAGCTGTAAAATATAATTTAGATGGATTTTAAGAAGGTTTAAGGATTTTAACAAGTCAAAATTTGAAGAATTGTACTATATCAGGTCTGAATTTATGAATTTCAGGTAAGACCTTGGGTAAGCCTTATATTTTTTACATCAGTCCCTCTTTTAAGAAGGTTTTAGGATTTTCACAAGTTCAAAATTTGAAAAATTGTGCAATATTAGGTCTGCAATTAACACATTTCAAGTGTAACCTTGGTTAGTTCTCATGTTTTTTACACCTATCCCTTTTTCATGATATATTTGGTTTAGTAGTGTAGAAATAATATGTATAACATAATTTGGATGGGTTTTAAAAAAACTAAATGTTTTAAACAAGTTCAAAATCCTGGCGAATTGTACAATATCAGATCTGAAATTAACAGATTTCAAGTATAACCTTTGTTGGGCCTTATGTTTTTAACATCCCTTTTTGATGATATATATGGTTTAGCAGTGTGGAACTAAAAGGTAAAACATAATTAAAATGGGTTTTAAGGAGGTTTAAGGTTTTAAACAAGTTCAAAACTTGACAAATTGTACAATATCAGACCTGAAATAAACGAATTTTAGGTATAGGTTTAGATGAGCCTTATTGTTTTTTACATATATCTCTCTATGATAACATATATGGTTTTGTAATATGGAACTAAAGTGTAAATCATAATTTAGATGGGTTTTAAGGAAGTTTTAGGTTCTAAAGAGGTTCAAAACTTGACAAATTGTACAATATCGGGTTTGAATTATGTTATAAATTAACAAATTTCAGGTATAGATTTGAATGATCCTCATGCTCTTTACATTCTAAACCTCTTTGATGATTTTCATGGTTCTATAGTGTGGGACTAAAATGTAAAACATAATTTAGGAATTTTGGGTTTTAAGGAAGTTTAACCCTAATGTCTGCGGGGGATGGAGGGGGGGGGGGTCAAATTGACCTACCCCTCTGTTTTTTAAATGGTACTTTTTGCAAGTTTTTCTTGTGCCATCATTATTATTTTTAGCTTGAGCCACACACAAATGACACATTTTGGTGTAAAGATCAAGTTGATTGGGGGTAGAGGTGCAAAGTTATGATATTCCGAAGTTGATCCAAATAAAAATGAAATTTATGAAATATCGATGGTTACCCTGTTTTTAATACTATAAAAAATGCAAAATGTTGATAATTTCTAGATAATCATTTAGCAATAAGTAATAAATATAAACCTCCTTAAAACCCCAAATTCCTAAATTTTGTTTTACATTTTAGTTCCACACTACAAAACCATGTAAATCATCAAAGAGGTTAAGAATTTCAGACCTAATATTGTCCAATTTGTTTTGTTTTGAAAGAGAGAATCAGATCCAGCAAACAGCCAAACAAAATATTGTTTAAATTTTTGAATATTTCTGGCTTATGTCATTCCTTTTCATGTCTATTTGCTAAAAATCCCCAAAGTGCACACTTTAGTGTAGGAAAACTAAAGATTTATACAATAATGTATTATTTTGGGAGTATTTAAACACTTTTCCCCCATTTTTGCACTTTGAATCCATTATAACTTCATCAGTTTTTAACACATCATGAATCTTTTTAAAGATATTGTATTTTAGATTATAAGGAATAGATTGGTAGGTGAATTGTACATGTTGCTTGTAATTTTATCACCCCTATAGATCTGATTCTGCCTTTTAACTTCCTTAAAACCGATCGATCTAAATTATGTTTTACATCTTAGTTCCATACTACTAAACCATATATCATCATAGAGAGATATATACCTGAAATTCGTTAATGTCAGATATGATATTGTACAATTTGTCAAGTTTTGAACAGCTTTAAAACCTTAAACCTTCTCAAAACCCATCTAAATTATGTTTTACCTCTTAGTTCCACACTGCTTTATATTACCAACCATATGTTATATAATCATTGAGAGATAGATGTAAAAAACGAATAAGGGCCATCCACAGTTTACACAGTTTACAATTCTTCATATTTTAACTTGTTTAAAACCTGTCTAACTTATGTTTAATATCTTAGTTCAACACTACTAAACCATATATGTCATCAAAAAGAGATAGGTGTAAAAAACATGAGGCTCATCCAAGGTAATACCAAAAATTCATTTATATCAGCTCTGATATTGTACAATTCGTAAAAATTTGAACTTGTTGAAATCCTTAAACTTCTTTAAAACCCATCTTAATTATGTTTTACATATTAGCTCCACACTACTAAACAATATATACATATATCATCAAAAAGGGATAGATGTTAAAAATATAAGGGCCAAGCAAGATTATACTTTAAATTCGTTAATTTCTGATATTGTACAATACGCCAAGATTTTGAACTTGTTTAAAACGTTAAGCTTCTTTAAAACCTATCTAAATTATGTTTTACATATTTCCACACTACTAAACCAAATATATCATGAAAAGGGGATAGGGGATAGGACATATGGGCCAACCAAGGTTATACTTGAAATTTGTTAATTGCAGACTTGATATTATACAATTCTTCAAATTGTTTAAATCCTTAAACCTTCTTAAAATGCATTTTACATCATAGTTCCACACTACAAAACCATACATATCATCAAAGAGGGACAGATGTAGAAAATATAAGGCTCATCCAAGGTCTTACCTAAAATTTGCAAATTCAGACCTGATATTGTACAATTCTTCAAAACTTGTTCGAATCCTAAAACCCTCTCAAAATTCATCTAAATTATATTTTACATCTTAGTTCCATACCATAAAACCAGGAATATCATCAAAGGGGGATATAGATGTAAAATATAGATGTAAAAAACAAAAGGGTCGTCCACGGTCATACGTGAAATTCAAAAATACAGATCTGATATTATACAATTCTTCTTTTGGACTCATTAAAATCCTTAAACACTCTTCAAAACCATCTTAATCATTTTTGCATCTTAGATCCTCACTACAAAACAATACATATCATCAAAGAGTGACAGATGTAAAAATATAAGGCCCATCCAAGGTCACCTGAAATTCGTAAATTCAGACCTGATATTGTACAATTCTTCAAATTTTGAACTCATTAAGATCCTTAAACCTTCTTAAAATTCATCTACATTATATTTTACATCTTAGTTCCACACTATAAAACCATGAATATCATCAAAGAGGGAAGGATGTAAAAAACGTAAGGCTCGTCCAAGGTCATACCGGAAATTCATGAATTCAGACCTGATATTGTACAATTCTTCAAATTTTGGACTCATTTAAAATCCTTAAACCTTCAAATCCATCTAAATTATTTTTACTCATTAGTTTCACACTACAAAACTATACATATCATCAAAGAGGGACAGATGTATAAAATATAAGGCTCATCCAAGGTCTTACCTGAAATTCATAAATTCAGACCTTATATTGTACAATTCTTCAAATTTTGGATTTGTTAAAATCCTTAAACCATCTTAAAAACCATCTAAATTATTTTGTACATCTTAGTTCCATACTACAAAACCATAAATATCATCAAAAGGGGACAGATGTAAAAAATCTAAGGCACATCCAAGGTCTTACCTAAAATTCGTAAATTCAGACCTGATATTGTACAATTCTTTGAATTTTGAACTTGTTTAAAACTTTTAACTTCCTTAAAACCCATTTAAATTATTTTTTACATCTTAGTTCCATACTTCAAAACCATATTTATTATCAAAGAGGGATAGATCTAGAAACCATAGGCCTCAGCTATAGTCATACACAAAATCACGCCTCTCAAAAATGTCAAATTTTTCAAAAAATCAACAATTTTTTTCTCGGCTCATACTAATTCAATTAATTCGAACCTTTCAGGGCTTATAGGTCTGCTACTGGGCACTTCAGGTGAATTTTTCCAATGTCTTGCAGTGTCTTATTGAAAAGTAAGGCTCTAAATAGTAAGAAAATGGGTCACAAATTTGCCCCCTGGGGTACACACTTTGTACTATTATTCAAATTCTGTAGGAGTGATTAGCATTATTTATTTTTCAAATGATTCATATATATAATGTCTATGTATGTAACTTACAAACATCAAGATATCTAAAGTTATTGAGAATGAAAACATTATTTTACCGGGGTGGGGTTATTTTGGGGGGTGGGGGGCTAACCCCTGAAAAAAAAGAATTATGTACCACTCTGTGAAGCTATCACCTAGGTAGAATTTTCATCCAAGACTTCCCCCAAACTGAAAATGCTGCAAAACCAACTATACTCCATTTATTAAGAATTTTCCTCCTCGCTCTTAGAGTACCACACAATTTCCCATTTAATTTTCAGAAAAATGACCACATTGTTGCTGATAACTTGAACAAGGAGGAGTATGAGGAGGCAGGTCAGCTGATTGAGTGTGGCTGTTGCTATGGAGAGGTACCATTTGACACTATGGTCCAGTGTTACGATGGGCACCTTTTCTGTGAGGAGTGCCTCAGGAGATATGCTCAAGAAGCTGTGTTTGGTCAAGGCCAGGTATTACAAAATGTCCCTCTTCGTGTTCTGTTTGCATGTGGAAGTAGAACATTGAGATTATATATTAAACAGACTTCGTATTTTACGTATTTCGTATTTTACTGCTTACAATGAACCTTTCTTTGTATTTTAATGGATTCATTATTATTATCCTTCATTGTAACATGTACACATATTGTTTCAGTCCAAGTTGACATGTATGTCTGATGGTTGTGATATGACATTTCCAATGGCCCAGCTCAAAAAAACTCTACCTGATAAAACCCTTGCCAAATATGAGGAAAGATGTCAAGAGGAAGCCATTAATCTTGCAGATATGGAAAACCTAGTAAGGTATGTAGGGTGCAAACAAAATACACATCTCAAACTAGGTTGCATTATCTCTTAATTGTTGTTATATTGGATGACCCAAAAGAAGAGTTAATATATGTTTACACAAAATGTGTCCATCTTGTCCACATTCCAATGACATCATAAAAATACATCTTCAAAGTAGTAGGAGAACCATCTCTCATTTGATTTTGTAAAAGACACTTGAAAAATAAATTATGCAAAAACTATGTTTGACTGTTTTGATCCATCGTATTTTGTTCAAATCTTCGTCTGAAAATGAAACTTGCAACTGGTATAACCCAAAATTTGCACTTGCGCAAAATTCGTATTTCATTTACTCTTTCATGCTTAAAAAGAAGCTTTTGACCAAAATTAATTTACATTAAAAAATGGAAGCTTGATAAAATGTGAATATATCTTTGAACTACTTTGGCTTGCCTTATTGATCAAACCATTAATTTTTCATGTTCCTTTTGAAATGTTTCTATTTATGAATAATTCAGCATGTCCACATGTTGTAGGTGTCCTGCTCCTGAATGTGATTTTGCTGCACTTATGGATGAAGGTGACAAAGTATTCAAATGTCAGAATTCCAGCTGTATGAAGGTAAACCACTTTAAAATGGCCAACACTCTTGCTTATGAAAAAAAATTTAATTCAAATACCATTTTTTGAAAAGTATTGTAATAGAAATCGAACTGTGGGGTATTGTTTTGAAAGAGTGTCCTTGAAATAACAATACAATTAATTTTGTGTTTAAAAATCAGAATGCCTTGTTTTTTATAAAATCATATTTTCTTTAATTTAAGAGCTGTAAAATACATTAGAATGTCTTGCACATTTAATTTAAGATATAAAAAGTTTGAGTTAATTTTGATGTTTTTTATTTATGTAGTAACACCCAAATATATTCAATATAACAATATGTCTCAATTGTGTTGCAGGAGTGTTGCCGCTACTGTAAGACTGACTGGAAAGAGCATTTTGGAATTCCTTGCAATGAAATAGAGAAAACAGATGAAACCAAGATTAGGTTAAAGTTGTAAGTACTTAATATTTTCAAGTATCCACTAGACATATATTTCTGTAGATTTTCTAAAGATGGTCACACCTCGAGTTATTTAATGGACTTATTAAATCTGACGTACATTGTACTTACCATGCTGACCAATGTACCTTGGGTGCATTTTCCATTGTGCAGTCAGATTTCTTCTTCCATACTTTTATCATATACTCTTTGGAAGTAAGATTTGTGATTTGTTGTAGTGAGGAGCAGATGACAGCTGCTAAAGTTAGATCATGCCACAAGTGTAAAACGGGTATAACAAAGTCTGATGGGTGTAACAAGATGACATGCAGATGTGGTGCTAAGATGTGTTATATATGCAGGGCTCCTAATGTAAGTCTTCCTTCGTTGACAACTAGCATATCTTGCCAAAGTATGAGATTGACTTCCAAGCATTAAGTAATAAGTAATGGGACAATATAACACTCATTCCAGTTATAGTTCTATTTAGTGGATGGTTGATAAAATATGTGTTATAACCATGGGATACCAATATTATTGTTAACATATAATTGAATGCTGCTGTATTTCCAGATTGATTATAATCATTTCTGCCGACACATGAGGGAGCCTGGCAAGAAATGTGCTCAGTGTACCGCATGCTCTTTGTGGACAAATCCAGAAGTAAATACTCAATTATTTAACATTTTTGCAGAAATGTCTGTTTTTATGTCACCACCAAAAGTGGTGACATATTGTTATGGTCTCCGTTTTATGTCACCACCAAAAGTGGTGACATATTGTTATGGTCTCCGTTTTTTTGCGACGGCGTCCGGCGGTTGGTGGTTGGAGGTTGGCGTCCGGCGTCTGTAACAATTTCTTACAACTTCCTATAACTTAACAAATACTGTTTAGACTGACTTCAATTTTTTTCTAAATCATCTACATGTTCTCAGAAGTTCAAATCTGACTTTAGATTTGACATTTGACCTTCAATGACCTTCTCAAGGTCAAAAAGGTCTTTTTTCAACTTGCTTCACATTGACTAAATTTTTTTTCAAAATCATCTACATGTTCTCAGAAATTCAAATCTGACTTAAGATTTGACATTTGACCTTCAAATCTGACTTTAGATTTGACATTTGACCTTCAATGACCTTCTCAAGGTCAAAAAAGGTCAAAAAGGTCTGTTTTCAACTTGCTTCAAATTGACTAAATTTTTTTTTCAAAATCATCTAAGTGTTCTCAGAAATTCAAATCTGAGTTAAGATTTGACTTAAGATTTGACATCTGACCTTCAATGACCTTCTCAAGGTCAAAAAAGGTCAAAAATGTCTGTTTTCAACTTGCTTCAAATTGACTAAATTTTTTTTTCAAAATCATCTACGTGTTCTCAGAAATTCAAATCTGACTTAAGATTTGACATTTGACCTTCAATGACCTTCTCAAGGTCAAAAAAGGTCAAAAAGGTCTGTTTTCAACTTGCTTCAAATTGACTAAAAAAAAATTTCAAAATCATCTACATGTTCTCAGAAATTCAAATCTGACTTTAGATTTGACATTTGACCTTCAATGACCTTCTCAAAGTCAAAAAAGGTCAAAAAGGTCTTTTTTCAACTTGCTTCAAATTGACTAAATTTTTTTTTTTCAAAATCATCTACATGTTCTCAGAAATTCAAATCTGACTTTAGATTTGACATTTGACCTTCAATGACCTTCTCAAGGTCAAAAAAGGTCAAAAAGGTCTGTTTTCAACTTGCTTCAAATTGACTAAAAAAAATTTTCAAAATCATCTATGTGTTCTCAGAAATTCAAATCTGACTTTAGATTTGACTTAAGATTTGACATTTGACCTTCAATGACCTTCTCAAAGTCAAAAAAGGTCAAAAAGGTCTTTTTTCAACTTGCTTCAAATTGACTAAATTTTTTTTTCAAAATCATCTACATGTTCTCAGAAATTCAAATCTGACTTTAGATTTGACATTTGACCTTCAATGACCTTCTCAATGTCAAAAAAGGTCAAAAAGGTATTTTTTCATCTTGCTTCAAATTGACTAAATTTTTTTTCAAAATCATCTACATGTTCTCAGAAATTCAATAATGTCTTTAGATTTGACATTTGACCTTCAATGACCTTGTCAAGGTCAAAAAAGGTCAAAAAGGTCTTTTTTCAACTTGCTTCAAATTGACTAATTTTTTTTTTCAAAATCATCTACATGTTCTCAGAAATTCAAATCTGACTTTAGATTTGACATTTGACCTTCAATGACCTTCTCAATGTCAAAAAAGGTCAAAAAGGTATTTTTTCATCTTGCTTCAAATTGACTAAATTTTTTTTCAAAATCATCTACATGTTCTCAGAAATTCAAATATGACTTTAGATTTGACATTTGACCTTCAATGACCTTGTCAAGGTCAAAAAAGGTCAAAAAGGTCTTTTTTCAACTTGCTTCAAATTGACTAATTTTTTTTTTCAAAATCATCTACATGTTCTCAGAAATTCAAATCTGACTTTAGATTTGACATTTGACCTTTAATGACCTTCTCAAGGTCAAAAAAGGTCAAAAAGGTCTGTTTTCAACTTGCTTCAAATTGACCAAATTTTTTTTTCAAAATCATCTTCATCTTTTCAGAAGTTCAAAGGACGATTCTCGGTTTGGAGAACAGTCTCCTGGGCTAATAATTTTTTTCATGAAAAATATAGAAATATTACCCAAATTAAACTATGAATATTCAAAAGAGGACATTTAAATCTACAAGATGTAAAGATAACAAATTGGTCTGAAGCAGGGATAATGCTCAAATAGACCGATTCAATATAAATACAAGTCTCGATTCGGGGAAAGAAGTCCATCAGTGTACTGAGCTAATATTTTTTTGCGAAAAATCAAGAAATATTACCCAAATTAAATTATGACTATTCAAAAGAAGACATTCAAATCTTTATTATGTAAAAAAATCAAATTTGTCCGAAGCAGGGATAATGCTCATTCAGATTGATGAACTTCGTTCTCCAAACCGAGAATCGTCCTTTGACTTTACAAGTTCTCAGAAATTCAAATCTGACTTAAGTTTGAACTCATAATATTGTGAGCAACTAGGTGGTGACATTTTGTCATGTTAATGCCTTGTTTGACATTGGTGTTTGTGTCAATTGTAACATGAAATTATTTTCATTTTCTTTAATAAATTTTGAACTTAAGGAAATGTGTAGCATGATGTCATGTCACAAAAAGTTTATTATTAATTCTGAATGAACTTAACAAATTAATTTTGAATTTGTCAATACAAATCAAACAGTAATCCCTGCCTCATCTAGGATTAATCATGATTAACATGTATGGTGCTGACTGTAGTTATATTATTAATAAGTTTATTGGTCTCTTTAACATGTAATGTACATCGAGATAAGTCCAATAAAGCAAATAACAAATAAAACATTCATGTACATGCATGGCAAAACAATTCTTACAATCTAATTTTAACAATCACTAAGTACTTTACTAAACAGCATAAAATGATTTCACATCAGTTTTGTTTAACAACTCTTTGGTAATATTGTGAACTCTTGTAAAATAATCACCAATTATTTCATTAATTGCATCATCGTGCGCTAACAGGGAGTATAAAAATAGACTACTTGTATTAAAATGAGAAAAACTATTGTTTATACTTTTTATTTTACTGAGATATTGAGATCGAGCTAGTTTTAGTTCTGATTGAGAACAACAAAAAAGAACGTGTTCTTCATCACCTATTGTATTTTTTGAATTACAAAAGAAACAAAATCGTTTCGATTTTTCTACTTTGAAGTATCGACCTCTTTCAATTGGGAAGTTATGCATCGATAACCGTACCTTAGAAATAGATTGTCTATAGGTGGAGTTCTGTAAATTAAGATAACTTTCTCTTTTATATGCATGTTTTACTAGTTTATAGCTTCTGAATTTACCTGGAGCATCATTTGGTCTATTGATGTCTTGCATAAACGCGCTTTTGTATTCTTTTTCTAAATTTGTCATTGTAGATTTAATTAAATTATCAATTTTGACTTGATCACATGTATCGAATTTTTGTATATCAATATTTTTATTGGATATCGACAAAATCCGAGTGATAAATGAAAAGAAGCTCCAATGCCCTGCTTCATGTGAGTCTTCCTCATGTTTACTAAAAAATAAATGAATATGAATCAGTTGGTGACTTTTTCAAGTGAAACCAAAATTTTAGAGTACTAACTAATATATTAATGAGCAGCGGGTATCTGCCCAATTCAGCCTTAGCTGATACGTTACTGCAGTTATTATTGACGCGTAATACCTGTTTGCAATATCTATTGTGTAACTTCTCAAACGGAAATAAATTATTTAAAAGTACTTCCTTCAAGGATTTGTCTTTTAACTTTACAATATCTGTAGCCAAAACATCAGAAGCATAGAGTGCAATCGGTTTAACTAAAGTGTCAAATAATTTTATCTGAGATTTCACATTACTATTATAAAAAGCATTTTTGACTGCATATTGAGCCTTTAGTGCTTTTGAGTACAAAACATTGTATGCAGATTTAAAATTACCGTTTTGATGAAATGTTACACCCAAATAACAATAGTTTGCACACTGTGTAACTATGCTATTACCAAATTTAAAGATATTTTTCTTTTTAGTTTCATTAAATATCACCACTTTGGTTTTGTTAATGTTAACATTTAATTTCCATGTATTACAATATTTTTCAAATTTGTTCAGCATCAGCTGTAATCCTTTCGCTGTCTTACTAAACAATACTATATCATCGGCATACATCAATGTGTTGATTTTGTTTCCGTCTAGAATATAAGGATCAAAATTTACATCGTTAAACAGAGATGGAACATCATTAAGATATATATTAAATAACATCGGACTCAAGTTACAGCCTTGTCTAGTCCCTACATTACTGGGAAAGTGTTCTGTAAAACCACCTTTTAGCTTGACTCTGCATTCAGTATTCACATACATATGTTCGATAACACTAATAAAGCGACTACTTAAGCCTATTTTATGAAGTTTATAGAATAATCCTTGTCGCCATACTGTGTCAAATGCACGTTTAAGATCAACAAAACATGCAAATAACGGCTTTTTTATTGCTCTCATGGACTTAATATATATAATATATAATTGAATTACACAGAAGCTTTCTTTAATATTGAACTCTTATCCACAGGAGGATGATGAGCGTGCTGTGAAGCAGATAAAAGAAGATGCAGAAAAAGCCAGGAAGGCAGAAGGTACAAGATGTATTATTATTAAGGACATTGTACCCTTACATACTTGTATTACTGTCATGACTCATTACTGTTCAAAATTCAATATTTAACTCCTCCGTGCCACTTGTCTGACCTTACTTTATATCCACTTATATTATATTGTATTACATACCTAGCGAAGCATTTGTATGGAAGTCAATGGGAAAGTTAGCGAGCTATATCCACCGATATTGCCCGATTACCCCGATATAGCCCGCTTACCTCGTTTTGATATTAGATTTCTTTAATAACCATGATAATATCATGACGTCACGTCATTGACAAAGTAACCATGGGAACAAAGGCATGTAATACATCAGTTATGTCACTATGACGTGAAATATGCCTTCGTTCTTGCCCAAATATAGAGCCTCCCAAGGTCGGCCTATATTGGGAGAACTCAGGCATATTTCACGTCATAGTGACATAACCTCTAAATATACCAGGTATATAATCAACAATATATTTTTGATAGGTTATACAGATGACAAGTTGATAGGGGCTCCTGAAGAACCAGCTGCCAAGAAACGAAAGTCAAACGGGAATCGTGTAGGGTGAGGCTGTGTTACAGATTGCATTAGGACAATTCCAAATCACACCTGAATGATGGCTTGGAAAAGAGATGACTGGACTTACTGTTCAAATGCTTTGAACTGTGGTTCCTGAATGACATAAGAATGTCCTACTATATTAAGACCCCTCACGTCCTGATCTGCTATAATGGTGCTATAAAAAGACAATCAGACATTATGTTTCCAAGTTGTTATGTCACCACCAAAGAGTGGTGACATATTGTTATGGTATTGTTTTTTGTGACGGTGATCGGCGGTTGGCGATCAGCAATTGGCGGTTGACGATCGGGGGGTGGCGGTTGGCGTCTGTAACAAATTCTTAAAACTTCAAATAACTTAACAAATACTGTTTAGACTGACTTTAGTTTTTTTTAATTATCTACAAGTTTTCAGAAGTTCAAATCAGACTTAACATTTAAGATTTGACCTTCAATGACCTTTTCAAAGTCAAGAAAGATAAAGAAGGCCAAAAAGGTATTTTTTCAACTTGCTTCAAATTGACCAATTTTTTTTTCAAAATCATCTAGAAGTCCTCAAAAGTTCAAATCCAAAGATAATTTTGACCTTCAATGACATTCTCAAGGTCAAAAAGATCTTTTTTCAACTTGCTTCAAATTGACCATTTTTTTCAAAATCATCTACAAGTTCTCATAAGTTCAAATCTGACTTTAGATTTGAGATTTCACCTTCAATGACCTTCTCAGGGTCAAAAAGGTATTTTTTCAACTTGCTTCAAATTGACCAACTAGGTGGTGACATTTTGTCATGTTAATGCCATGTTTTATATGTTGTTATATTATCCTCACAGTATTCTGCTAAACTAGTCTTTATGTTTAAAATTCTAAAAGGATTATTAGAGCAGTCTCATCCCATTGGGCAACATGTTATACACATATTAGGTTTTGGTATATGAAATGTTCACTCAGTCACCAATAAGTTTGACAAAAGTATTAAACAAAACTGTTTTATAGGTGTTTTTACTCATGACATATTTATTCATTGCATCTTCTTACATTAATTCAGGCACATGTATTTCAGAGGGAAACAAGTTGTCTGAATTCAGACAGAAACATTCCTTAGCTAAACATATAGTGTATCTTATACTTGAATATTCTGTGTCTGAATTCAGGCAGCGGCTTTCTAATCTATAAGAAACCTAAATTTTCACTGTCTGAATTCAGACACAACTTGATAATAGTAAGATGAATTTGTTTATCTCTTGTGTCTGAATTCAGACACAGGCTTTTCCATATTAGAAAACAGAAGCTGATTTCAACTGTCTGAATTCAGACACAATTTGATAATAGTAAGATGAATTTGTTTATCTTATGTGTTGTGTCTGAATTCAGACAGTGGAAATCAGTATCAATTTTCTCAGATTGAAATCTTGTCTGAATTCAGACACATAAACAAATTCATCTCACTATAATGAGACTGTGTCTGAATTCAGACATAGGCTTTTCCATGTTAGAAAACTGATTCAACTGTCTGAATTCAGACATGGACTGGTCATAGTGAGGTGAACCCTAATTAAGTTATGCAATGTTGCATATGACCACATTATCCATACTTTTCTGACAGAAATGGACATAATATACTCTAATTCACATCAAAGTAATTAGAAAATAACAATTTCTTTTTATATATGGTTCTCAGTGACAGTTCTCATGGTTTAATCTACTGTATATCATTACAAAATGTATATGTTCAACCTTAAGTTCATCAAATTGTATGTCTGACTACTTTAATAATATATTTCAGCACATATTTTTGAGTACACTCAGTACATACAGAAAAAGTTGTCAAGTTATTCCATTCCATTTCATTTGATTTTTCATTTATTTGATCCTTTTAACTTAGAGATGTTAACGTACATTCTGCATCACATGATTGAAGCTGATTTAAAATTGATGAACTATTTACAATCAAATTCTTTTGTTAATAACTATTATGATACTAGTATAGTAACTATATAGTAAATATAAAAGGTATAATATACAATGTACAACCCAAGGGAAAAGTGAACCATGTCACTTTCACTTCATTTGATAGATCTTTGACAATTTGTAGCTGTCAAAATACTAGATTAATAGTATTTATCTGTGTGTCTCGAATTGTGGCGGGGGGGGGGGGGGGGGCGTCAATGTTTTTTTTAAATTTTGTAAGTTGATCTTATTTCTGATTTGTTGTGGGATTCAATTAATTGGACTGTGTTAAAGCGAATGCTTAACTTCAATTTTAAGTTCCCTGTCAATAGTCATGGTACAGTAGATGCCATTGGATATAAAGTTTGCCGTGTTCAATTGATATCCCGTTAAAAGTAAATTTTAATGTCCAATTTCCACAACCAAACCAATCTTCACTGCTTCACCAGGACTCATTCTATATCCTACTATGTATTCCATCTCAGACTTCTGTCTTATTTGAAGGGGTCTCTGGTTTCCCCCTGATTTAATGGACATTTGCTGGTTACAACCTGAAATAGTATAGATTAAACAGTTTTATCTATGTTATCATGAAGACTCAACTTGACGGATGGACAGACAAAAGCAGACAGACACTCCTAATAATAAAGAAAAATAACAAAATAAGCGGGAAAATAACACACTTCAAATTTCATATGGAGTGTAATGGAATATAATAATTTTAGTGGAATATACCTTTTTGACCATTATTGTGTTTTGATTCAATGTAATGCTCATACCTTTTTCTGCAGACCTTGACTTTGTTCGTTCAATAATGCTGTTAGGATTAATCACTTTCTTTTTTGACTCATGTGTATGTCCTTCTCATATAGCCATGAGAGTTTGACCGGATTTTCTGAAATATTAATTATCAGTCTATCAATGTCAAGTAAGAATAAGTTAATTAATTAAGTAGAATTTAAAGCAAACAAAATTTTTTTTAAAATTAAATATACATTTTGATGATGGTGTTACATACTTGCAGTGCAAATATAGATTCCTTCCAATATATGCAAACTCTCTTTGTTCACTGACTTTTGTCACTTTGTATAGCTCGGCAAGTCGATATTCAAATGATATCGGCCCTGTTTCAAATGTTGGTACCTTAGTTGCCATCTCATATTTTCCAAGTTAGTTTTGCATTGTGTTTTCAACCACAAGTAAATGCATCTAGGAGTGTTGTCTTCATAAGATCTACATCTAAAGCCTTCTCTTTTCTAGTATTAGCGGTTCTGCAAAATAAACAGTGCTAACATATTATTTGACCTCACAGACTTGACGTTTTTGTCTAATACAAGATTAAAAACCATAAGAGTCATTATAATATTTTGAATTCTCATATTAAGCTGTCACCCAAGGAGGATTGGAAGCCAGGGTTCCAACTCAATATTCTTTAATCTCCAATCGATGCGATAGTTTCTGATCCTGCCTGTATATTTCTACGGCTGCCAGGAGAATGGCTGATATTCTTGATTGAATTTTGTATTCATAACATGGCTATGTGATACCCATATATGAAACAGAATATTGATTGGCGTCACTGGGAGGAAATCCTCCTTGGCTGTCACATTAGTTATTTATGAAGAAATGTATATTATTTAGGGTCTGCCTAAAAAACAGATGACTGGGTAGCCGGTGACTCAGGGTACCTAATGTGTCTAGCAGGGTTACCAACTTTCAAAGTTGGACATTTTCCCCTAATATAGTAGCAAATTGACATGATAGCCCCAGCCTCCTAAGTGTAAACTATACTGTTCTATATTTAAATATTATATTTTTATCAAAAACCTACCAGAGACCAAGCACTTTTTGAATAATCAACTATTTTTTCAATATCAGAATACCTGGAAGGCATAAAATCAAATCCTAGCCCTGCTAAGAATGTTACCAAGTCACCTGGCAACCCGGTTATCCAGTTACCCCAATTTTACACAAAACCTTTAATTCTCCTCTCAAGCTTAACCCTCTTCTAAATTATTTTTACATCTTTCTATCCTACTCTGGACATAAAATTATGATAAATTGACTTACCAAATTCAAAATTCCCTGTTGATGTATCTGCCATACTGTACATAGCATGTTCCAATAATCCAGTGTTTAACTGTTTAATTCAGATCTCTTTCTTCAAAATGTTAATCATTTCTAATATTGTCTGTTAAACCTGTTTCCGCCAAAAATTTGAATGGGTGTAACTTAAATCCCTTCTTTCATTGGATAGTGTAAAGTTTAGGTGAGTCTAATATTTCAAAAAGGGTACACAGTGATTCAATGGACTGATCTGAAAGCTTATTCCCTAAGTGCTACTAACGGTATCTGTATGCAATATACACCACAAAAGTAACATTAAACATCTTCAAATAAAATAATTTCCATTGGACAATTGATAATACATTATACAAAAGGAAAATAACAAAAGCATGACAGTTGGAGAAATCCTAGGTGCTGGAAATTTGAAGAAGATTCTAGGATTTATTTCCAATATGTTGATGATAGCAGGGGTAAGTTATTTTTTATTAAGATAGTTTTAAATACTTTTTCAAAAATTAAAACTTTTTCAAAAATTACATTTAATTTAAGAAAATCCAACTAATCTTAAATATAAAAAGAGATATTGAAGATTAGAATTAATGCGGATTATGTGAGCTTCCCCCTTAAACCAACTAGAACTTTTAAACCAAGAATGAATCACAGCCCCTTCAATGAATGATATTGGTTTATTTAAAACTTATGAATTTGAGATGAATAAATCACTGGCCCTTTGGAGGGGAATAATAGTGCAATGATGGTGGTCTTTCATAACATGGACTCAACCACCAATGATAGGGTTAAATTACTGTTGCTGCAAAATGTTGATTATATAAAGCTATTTATAATTACATTATTTTTTGTAGGAACAAAGCCCTATATGCATACATAAAATATATTGATTGTGAAGAAGAGTCTGCTACCAACATATGGATAAAGGTGAGTAATTAATTCTAACATGTTTATTTGCCTTATGTTTTCTTTAAAACAATTTTTCCTGGAATTTTGAAACAATATTCAACATTTTTCCCTTTCGTTTGGGGCCCACATCTTTTGTATTAAAGGATAGTACCTTGTTGACTCCTTACTTTATATCCATTATAAGTTCTGGTTCAGTGTTCCATCTGTACTTTGTTGCATTAGGCCATATGATGTAGATACTTTGTTTTATGTCCTGCTTTTAAGTCCAAATTACACAATGGCATAAGGAAAACAAACATTAACACTTGTTTGCTGGGAAATGTATATGATAAATTGCTTGAAAAGGGTATGGTATTCTTATTTGCAGTGATTTCAAATACACATTTAACTAATCGTGTACATTGGTACATGTGGCATGCAGTATGTTTCAAAGATATTCATAGAAATAAAATGCTCAACTATTCAATTGATTATAATTAATCCAACCTTATTGATAATTAACAAATCAATTATATTTTAATATCAATCTCAGTGAGGTAATTTCCAAAAATTTTAAAGCAGGTAATTTTATGATGAAGTAAATGGGTCCTCACATGCAGTATTACTCTGAACAGATTTCTCATTAAAATTCAGAGTATACCCTCACAAAAAGATAAAAACAGATGATTTAAATAAAGGAAAAGGAAAGCAACACAAATTAACGAAACAGAATAATTACTTATAGTATGAACCTAAAAGTTAATTCATCACTTTTGTTTATTTTTTAGTGAATATTTGTTGAACATCTTTTAAGGGCAAATTCTTTGAAATTGAGATGCATATCTAATAACCACAAATTGCACAAGCATTTACACTGCCATATGATATCAACTACAATGTTTAACTCCTTGATATTATGACAAATTCCATCTGAAATTCACAAAACCACTTAGCGATTTCTTATATAATATAGCACAAACGAGATACTTATCCATTTCTATAGCATAACATCTTTACACAAAAGCTAGGCTTTTCAATAGGTTGAGATCACTCAGTTGTGAACCATATAATAAAATCAACTTCTAGATTGAGTTTCATGATTTAAGTTTGGAGAAATCTGATGAAGTTGAATTTGGTTTTATTGCTTCAAATGTTCATAAAAATGTGAGCATTACAAAGAGAATGCTGTGTTTGGAAATAAATATATCACAAAAATATGTTTTTTTAAATAAATGGTTACATCATTTCTCATTAAAATTCTCCCAGATTCTCCTATTCTGAAGTCCAATAAACATGACAGTTACCACTTAAATGGATCAAACTTTCCAATGACTGATTTTGACATTATCTATTGTAACGAGTTGATCTAATAGAATGGACTGTTGGTACTGTCTCCTAAAATAAATAAAATACCACCCTTTATTTACCAGTGATAGACCACTTCTTCAAAATGGGAATGTTAACCGTATAAAAACTAATTTGATTATGAATTTCTTTTTAATAAAATGTGTCAAATACAGAATCCAGGCTAGTTTAACCTTGTTAGAATACAGCATGTTTCAAATGCAATTCAGGGCCAAGCTTGATACTAATTAATTGATATTAATGAATATAGGCTAATAGGACCATCCTGATGCTAAAGTATTGCAAATATTAGAAATAATGTTCAAAAACATCAAAGAAGAAAATGGATAAACAACCAATAGGAAAAATAAATATGAAACACAGCAGATGCTCATCAAGTTTCAACCTCAATCTAAAGCATTGTTATATTCCTTGGCTATGAGGTAAGTTATGTGTTAGCATGCCACCAAGAGAATATTAATTGTCAATATTTGGGTGATAATTATTGATCAAAGTATCAAAGACAAGGTGTCAATTTTTCTAGGGAATACTAAGTGTTTCGATATGGGTGAAAGACTAAAAGATAGTAATTGAGATGCAACAAATATAATTGTAATCACAGATACTCTTATCAATTTGGCTCAAAATTATGTAATGCCATGCAAGTTCCTCAAATACAAAGTTAAATTAGAAAGTTGATCAAAGTTGAAGATACATTGTGTGACTATTATTAAATTGTGAAAATACTTAGTTACACCCAAATTCTTGAGTACATACATGTCACAGCTAAAATCCAGTTTTAAAGGAACACTTTTTATGTTATAATGTTAAAGCTTTAAAACAATGAAGCCACTATGTATTTGGTTTATAACAAGATTCAAGGACACGGCATATTTATGCTTCCTTGCAAATGCTGATACCAAAGTTCTGGTACCAGGGACATGTCAAATTAATCAACCTACTTCAGTGATGTGATCACCAACTTGTCACCACTAAACGTTTTCAATGACCTTAAATCATTAATCACGGAAACTTGAATTTGAATCAGGTCATTTATATTTTTAATAAAGGGAATATCTCAAACTTTTTAGAAAAGGAAGGATATTTCATATTGAAAAGGAAGCTTATTTAGATTAAACATATATGATACCACCCCTTTTAAAATATATCCCATGTTAGTTGTGTTACATCCACACCTCTAGCATCTGATACACCGATACAAGTGGGTTAATATTTCAAAATGTTAATTTTTGCCCTCCCCAAGTAAAATAAACATTAACATTATTTAATGTTGTGATAAGGGGGAGAGGGTTATATCATATTAAGTAAGCTTTAGAGAACTGATTGATCTATTTCATTGCATGGAAACCAGTGTTTCCTAAGTGACATTTTTGTGGTTTTGAGAAAATGGGTTTAAAGTTGAATATGAACCATTTATGGGTTTATGATACAAAGCTGATTTTATACTATCTCATGTCATTGTAAGGTTTGTGTATATGATTTCAAAACTATTATATTTGCAATGGTAAAATGTAGTTTTTTCAGAAAGGAAATTGTGGCAGAAGATTTTTCAGCTGTTTTGCACGTTTTGACATTTACGTTGACTCATTGTATCAAACTGATCAATTCATTGATTTTGCAGTTTGGAAAATAAAACTTATTGTAGGCCTATCATTGAATTCCCTTTCAAGTTTATAATGTTGAAGTTTTCAATCAACTGTTTTAATTGTAATTAATAATTTAATTAATGCCATATACCACAGTCATTGTTTTTTTAGTACATTGTTTTTGTCATTATACCATTACACTGTACATTAAACATTATTGCAATATTAGCATATACTGATTATTTGTTGAATGGGTTGACTCAGAATTTTAATGCAGAGTAGGCCCATTTGTAAGTTGTATGTGATGGAACCTTTGAATATATTATAATTACAACCTACATGCATCCTTCATTTCCAAAATACACTTATGTAATACATTAATTAAACAATTCCATTTACTTAAAAAGTAGAATCAATTTTGCATTGTTCCCCACCAAAGGAAAGTCTTTAATGCCCAATGGAAAGATATTCATTGTATATTTGTTTGTCCAGCTTGAACCAGTTTTGTATTTCAAACGTGAAATACAAAACTGCTCCCCCAAGCTGGACAAAAAAATAAACATTATTTTTTTATACAAAAAATTAAAAAGATCCAATACATCTAGATCTTATTAAAACCATCAGAGTTATGCTGAAAACATATGCTATCATCGTATGATCTGTAAAATAAAGCCTTCTGATTGGTCAGTTCCTGTGCTCTACCAATCTGTATTGCTACTGAGATTGTCCCCATTGATCATCTCCATCACAATACAGAAAATGTTGGTACGGAGGGAACAATTTCAGTAGCAATACAGAGGATCACACAATAAAAATGTTATTGAATGATTTGAAGTGCAATACATGATATATTCTGTCTCGATATTCTGTATTGGCACTTGACTTCGTCTCGTTCCAGTACAGAATTTCTCGAGCAGAATATATCCTTTATTGCACTTCAAATCATTCAATAACTTACATCATCGTATGATCTGTAAAATGAAGCCCTCTGATTGGTCAGTTCTTGTGCTGTACCTATCTGTATTGCTACTGAGAGTGTCCCCATTGATCATCTCTGTCGCAATACATAAAATATTTTTAACAAAGGGACAATCTCAGTAGCAATACAGAGGACCACACGATAAAAACATTATTGAATGATTTGAAATTGAAGTGCACAATCTGTATTATATATATTCTGATATATTCTGTCTCGATATCCTGTATTGGCACTCGGCTCCGTCTCTTGCCAATACAGAATTTCTCGAGCAGAATATATACTGTATTGGACTTCAAATCATTCAATAACTTATAATATTATCATTTCATTATATTGTGCCATCAAAAGAAATGGTACATTTTAGAGTGTGATACTCTGGTGCCATTTTCAATAGATCTTACTTTTAGTGTTATTGAACTTCAAAGAGAAGTGAAGGTTATCCGCAAATAATATACCCATTGCATGGGATAGGTTATTTTCTTTGGTATAGCAAAATATTTGAGCTAAAAAATAATTTGTGAAGTTTTCTAAATGTTTTTAAATGAAAAAATAGCATGCTCCCCTAAGCTGGACAAATCTTTGACCACCTGTGACTTACCAACCATATTTCATGACTACCAGCCTGATATAGTCACAATGTTACATGACTTTAAATATCAAGTAGTTATTTCCTAAAATGACAGGGTTGCAGCTTTTTTTGACCACCCTGTACAGCAATATTACTTAATATTATAATATTACTTAAATAATATTATAGTTTTCTTTTGTTTAATTCCAGGTGATGTTTGAGACCAAAAAAAACGGCGAGTGGTTTATGTTGGCTATTTCCAAAGCAACAACATGTATGCATGTCAATACAAGGATTGCCATTGCGCATGTTCATTTGTTGCACAATACAACACAGAAAAAGCAAGCAGGATCAAAGATTATTAATTGAGCCATAAGAGCCAAATACGACACCAATTTCGAAAAAAAGAAGCTTTAAGATGAAATTGGGGAAGATAGCATCTCTCTATATAGGAATGAACACTCTCACTGTTGAGTCAAAGCCAGTGATATGGTGGGATCAATTTATGTGGCAAATGTCAAAGCCATTGTAAATTCCTTGAAGATGAATCTGACAAAATGCGAAGATAGACTTGATGAATATGACCCTAATTTACTTCAGATTTTTTTTTTTGAAATCGTTAGATTAGAACTTGGGCTAGTATAATGATGAAGCTAACAGATTATAATGTATTATGAAAGAACTAGAGTATTACTCATATTTACACGCCTAACCATCGACAACGTAGTGATCAAAATATACCATTGCACAATTTATATTGTACAGTGTCACTAAAAACTGATGATGCAGGTGTGATGTAGGTTTTCAAAAATTAATTTTGGGAATACTTGAAAGATTTCAATTTCATCTTCAACTTTTAGCTTTCTGATTACATTAAAAGATTTAAAAGCAATGCTTGATTTTTTCCTATTTAGTCTATCAACAAAAATTGATCGGTTGGAAAATGTTGGGTTTTTATTCACATTTCCTTTGATCATTTTTTCTCCTGTCGCCTAAGAGTGTCATTTATTTTTATGAGAATATGTTTCTCTAAACTACACAATTTAAGATGAGTGAAGATTTGATAAATATTATGTATTGGGTGTAATTTTAATAAAAAATCAGAAGAGTAGTTGTCAACTCCACTGAAGGGTGTCAGTGTAAATGAAATTCACAAGATGTTATATTGAACAATGCAATAATTAAACAAGTTATGTTTAAGGAACATGTTCAATTATCCCCAATACAGATGTTCTAAAGTTAAGGTAAATTTGATTTTTAAATCTTGTTGAATGTTATTTCATTTTATAAAAGTGTTGGTGTGGTGATTAATATGTGACCATGGGGTGTTAGCCTCTTACCCCTTGATCACTTGACATCTGTACTTTAACGTAATAAGAAACACTTTTATGAATTTTAATTATCTTAAGAAGTTGATAGAGAGATTTATACCAGCTAGTCGAAGATGACTTTTTAAAATCCTCTTTATGCTATATCTGGAAAGTGTTGAGGTTCAATAGGTTCAATCAAGTTTAAGTAATACTGTGATTGTTAAGTTTCAGTTTTAAATCAATCTGATCCCCCTGCCCATTAGTGTTATTAAAAATATGTTGTCAGGGTTAACTGTGAATTCAGATATGTAAGTTCGTTGGGACAACGTACATCAAGATGACAAGGCACATTTGTAATTTTTTGATTTTTATTATTTTAACTAAAACATGAATATTTATTAAATTTTCAACCGACCTTAATTGTGTAACTTAACGTAATAAGAAACACTTTTATGAATTTTAATTATCTTAAGAAGTTGATAGAGAGATTTATACTAGCTAGTCGAAGATGACTTTTTAAAATCCTCTTTATGCTATATCTGGAAAGTGTTGAGGTTCAATAGGTTCAATCAAGTTTAAGTAATACTGTGATTGTTAAGTTTCAGTTTTAAATCAATCTGATCCCCCTGCCCATTAGTGTTATTAAAAATATGTTGTCAGGGTTAACTGTGAATTCAGATATGTAAGTTCGTTGGGACAACGTACATCAAGATGACAAGGCACATTTGTAATTTTTTGATTTTTATTATTTTAACTAAAACATGAATATTTATTAAATTTTCAACCGACCTTAATTGTGTAACTTAGGGAAACATATTCTCATAAAAATAATTGACACTCTTAGGCGACAGGGGGAAAAATGATCAAAGTAAATGTGAAAAACCCAACATTTTCCAACCGATTATTGTTTGTGGTTAGATTTACTATGAAAAAAATTGAGTACTGCTCGAAAATCTTTTAACGTAATCAGAAAGCTAATGGTTTTCCTAATCGAATACACACAAAATTAAACATGAAATTCTTTATGCATTCCTCAGATTAATTTTTAAAACCTACATCACACCTACATCATATCTTTTGCTTCATATCAGTTAGAATAGCGACACTGTACATCAAAAGTCTACGGGGGGTATATTTTGTCACTGTACTTTGTCGATGATCAGGTGTGATTTAAAATAAAAAAGTTAAAATGATCAATCTTCTGCCTGTTGTACCATCAATTACATTATTTTCTAATGAAGTATTTTCTGTAATGCTAAAGATTACTTGATCTGTACGTGATGAACTACTTTTTAAAAATATCTTGTCATAAAATTTAAAATTATACTTATATAGAATTGCAATTAAAACATTATATAAGACATGTTAATTGCAATCCGATGAATATTTCTGTTGCCAAACTTATGAATGGAATCGAAATTGCTTTTAACACACAAATGTTGACTTAATGAATTTGATTTCAAACATCAATTTCGATTAAAAAACAGAAGTGAAAACTATAATTTCTGAATCCTTACCTGTAATGTCAGTTTACTAGAATGTCTGAATTCAGACACCTTATTTCAGTTTTATAGATTGTTGTCTGAATTCAGGCACCTCATCCAAGCTTAGCAAGTTGTCTGAATTCAGACACTATATTTCAGTTTTATAGATTGCTGTCTGAATTCAGGCACCTCATTCAAGCTTAGTAAAGTGTCTGAATTCAGACACCATATTTCAGTTTTATAGATTGTTGTCTGAATTCTGGCACCTTATCCAAGCTTAGCAAAGTGTCTGAATTCAGACACCATATTTCAGTTTTATGGAATGTTGTCTGAATTCAGGCACCTCATCCAAGCTTAGCAAAGTGTCTGAATTCAGACACCTTATTTTAGTTTAAGAGAATCTTGTCTTTTTAAATTAAAAATGTGTGGGCATGTCTGAATTCAGACACATATTTTCCCATACTAAGAGTTGCATAGAGTAAAACATCTGCCTGAATTCAGACACTTCATTTATCTACACAAAAAGCTTGTAAATATGTTGCTGATGTCTGTACATAACATAGATATACAGTACCTAGAAATATATATCTTTATTTTTATACTTTGCTGGTTGTTTATAATCTTTTCTCATACAAAAAACTTCTCCAACACCTGAAGAATACATTAATTGTCAAATATATTTCTTAATTTATATTAATATTCAAACTTTTGTCACCTATGGAATTGCCAAACTACACTGGAACCTGTAAACGAATTATTGCCAGGCTTTCATTCGCAGCGGGCAACACACAATTCCCTGTTGTTTTTTTGCCAAAATTGCTTGATGCTTTAAGGAATTTTTCAGCTGCTTCCGATGGAACATAATAACTTTGAATATGCCTGTTTTCACTAATTTTATTTTGCCGGTTGTCAGAAATGAAAATGAAAACCTGATTATAATAGAGAATGACATATTGGGCAACTGGTGTCGTTCCCAAGATAACTCATCCCCAAGACAACTCGAACCCAAGACAACTCGGAACTCAAGTCAACTGGTCCCCACTTTTGTGTTTTGTTTTGAATCAAGTATTGGACAAGGAAGGGGTATAGATATACATATTATAATTGTTCCATATTCAGGTGTTTAAAGGAAGAGAAAGAGACCTACATGTATGTTTATTCCACATTTTGATTATCATTTTCTTCTCAAAACATCAGTGGTATTTTTGATTATGAGTGTTGGGAACAAGTGTCATTCATCTTAAAAGATGGAATTATACATATTGGGTAATATGGACTAAGAAACCTAATTTACTAAAACGCAATGCATGTTATTGGGTATTTAACATACAAAAAGAGATTAGGAAGTGTTGTTTAATGATAACCAGATCAAGAATTTTGTTTTCCTTTTTTCACCTCAACCTAATTAAAAAGGTGTTGTTTGTAAAGTAATGCAATGACAAAGAACTTCGAAGATTTATCAAAAGTTATGCTTAATTTCTTATCTTAAAACTGATGTGTCCTAAAACATATTATCTATTTGTTGTTTGGGAATTCCAGTCTTGGGGACCAGTTGTCTTAGGGACGAGTTTTCTTGAGAACTAGTTGTCTTGGTCACCAGTTGACTAGGAAGCACATCGTGTTATAGTCTCCCAACTTTTTCGTTTGTGATGGGGCGGTCGGAGTTCGGTGACTGTAACATTTTGCAATAGCATACATTGGCAGTGACATTTTGTCATGTAAATGCCTTGTTGATTGATACACTCAAGCAGGTTCCCTATATCTAACAATCTAACAGTATTATTGAACAGTTTGTTTGTTTAAAACAGCATGTTTTCATGCATATTTTATTGATAGTCATAGTTAGTGCAACCAAGATAGCAATTAATCAAATTGTTCATTGACAGCAATATTTTTATAGATAAGTAATTTAGTAGTTGTACAGTAGTCTCACACAAGTATCAGAGGCCTAATAACGCAGATGCGAGTAGGTGGTTACCAATTTCACCACCAGGTGGCTCGTTCGGGTCAGATAGCATGGCAGGTATGGTAGAAAGTTCCCTTTAACTTAAATTACATCTGTTTTGGTGGTTCAATTTTCATATAACCCTCATGTATCTAATAGTTATGCTAATTAAAAAATGTCCAGTGAAGGAAAATGATATTTGTCGATTACAAGAAAAGATATTTCACTTTTTGTGACTTTGTAACATGGGGTCTATGGGGATTCAACCCGAACTAGAAATCACATTTTCAAAATAAATTAAATTTTCAAAGTTGATAAACAATTTTCGAAACCATATTTCTAGATGTACTTTTACATGTAGATTTCAAATATGACATCACTTTGACTGAATTTTGAATATTTAATGACGTAAATCAAGGTTATTTCTACTCGCATCTAGTTTATTGCCTCACTGATAAAATACTCAAATTTATTTTTTAAATGTCTAAATGATCTGTACAAGGTAACCTAGATAGACAATGTTTCAATACAACTAGATTTGCGATTATAAAGTCTTGTCATCTTATAGCGAGATCAATAGTGCAAAAATAGTTCATTCAGGGAACGAAGCGTGAAACTTTCCACATATCATCAGAATACCATTCCCTTTGATTTAAGAGCCAGAGCCATTTTTGTGGTCCACTAGAAATATCAAAAAATAGTAAGTACCCCCTCCCACCAAATCCCATGGGGGTGGGGAGATATCGAAATATTTTTTTCATAAAAAAAATTCTTTGAATATGGTCATACTACAGTTTTAGAGTGATATTTTCATGGTAAAGAAATTTTGCAAACAACAAGATGATTTATCATCAATTTACATCATTGTTAAAGACTAATCATGGGCGACGCCCACTTTTCATACCTTGAACATTTAGGTTATTAAATCTCTATCATGGGTTGAACAAATGAATGTAATTCAGTTTCCTGGATAACACCAGATACCTTTTTGATGTAAGGTGCTATAATAAATCTTTGCATTTGACTTCTTAAAGGCTTATACCATATCACACCCCTGTTTAGAAGAAGAAAGCAAGCAACAAATGTCCCAGATCTATTACATGTATCCACTATTCTATGTACATGTATGAGTCTCTATACTCTCCTGAAGAGAACCTATGCTACAGACACAACTGTCCAGAATTTAGATGATGATGTGCTTAAACAGTTTGATGAATGGTGTGCTGACCAAGTGCCTAAATAGTTTGATGAATGCCGTGCTGACCAACAGGATGTACCAGTCTTCAAGCTTTGGTTTCTGCTTATTCAAATTAAAATACTGTGCCTTGACTATGTGAGGGCTATAGGACAGGAGAATTTTCCTCTTTATTTCCAGATGGTTTCTCTTTGATTTTCATAGTTGTTAAAGACTAGTCATGGGCGACGCCCACTTTTCATATGCTGAACATTTAGGCTATTAAACCTCTTCATGGTTTGAACCGGAACCAGAAGGGCCGCCACAGTCACAGCCTGCAGTCTCTAAATTCTCAAGAGAGCCTTTACTACATATACAGCTGTCCAGAATCTAGATAATGAAGTGATAAACAGTTTGATGAAAGGTGTGCTGACCAACAGAATGAACCAGTCTTTAAGTTTTGGTTTCAGATTATTTGAATCGAAATACTGTGCTAAGTGTAGGCTATTAGAGAGGGAAATTTCCCTCTTTATCTCCAGTCAATTAGCAAGCTTGTCACCTGGTTTTTCGTTTTTTGACCTTGTCAATATGCTGGCTGAGTACCAGTTCAGTATATCATCAGAACTCAAAGTTCAAAAATGGATAGCTTTTGGAAAAAAAAATTAGAAATATCTCACTTCCCATGAAATTCCAGCTGCCCTCTGACATGGTAGGACTATGTTCTCCCCTTATCTTATGCTCCCACAGGTTCAGACACTACACCAGCAAAGGCTGGGAAAATGATTTGGGTGCCAGTGTAGAAGACATTGCCCCAAGCTTCAGATGCAAGTCAAACGCTAGTAAAATGCAGGGATTGTAGTGGACATGACACATAGCTCAGTGATAATGATAATAGAGTGTTGAAGTGCTTAAATGCACAAAATAGGATATTTGAACTGCAGTTAAGATACCTAATAAGGTAACTTGTATCAATTAGTCAAAGTGCTCTGATTAAAAGCCAAAATAATGTATCATTAATTATGAATTATATATTATTATATCTTTATATCTAAAAGGGATGTGGCCTTTCAATTGACTTACTTAAAGAATTTATCATCTTAACATAAATAACAGACTTAATCTTATCAATTTTATTCAGCCTTATTAGGTAATTTTCCTATTCATAATAGAATGATAGAAGACTCATTAACTTGTATATTAACATGTTGATAAAGTGGGCGTCGCCCTTGCTCAGGCTTTAATAATGAATATCCATGAGAAATACGGATGCAATCTTGAAAATTGTTCTTATTCACTGAAAATAACATGCTAAAAATGAATATAGATCATATTCAAAAAAAATACTCTCCTCCTCAATTGCAATTTTTCAGATATCATCAGGACACCATTCCCTTTGATTTAAGAGCCAGAGCCATTTTTGTGGTTCACTAGAATGACAAAAAAGCACTTGCATCTTTTTGTTGAGCACTGTTGTTTGCAGCTGCATTTTACTAGCATTTGGCATGCATATGGAGCTTGGGCAATGTTTTCCATACTGGCACCCAAATTATTTTCCCAGCCTTTGTGGTAATGGATTCCCAACTCAATTGTGAGGGTGAAGCGAGGACTGACAAAGGTATACTTGTCTGGAACCAACTTATGCAACTTATGGTGGGATGTTCTTATGGTGGGATGAGACACATAGTCCTATCATGTCAAAGGGCAGCTGCAATTTCATGGGAAGTGAGATATCTCTAATTTTTTACTTTTCCAAAAGCTATCCATTTTTGAACTTAGATTTCTGATAATATACTGAACTGGTACTCAGCAAACATATTGACAAGGTCAAAAAAAAACAAAAAAAAACAGGTGATAAGATTGCTCATTGACTGGAGATAAAGAGGGAAATTTCCCTCTCTGATAGCCCACACTTAGTTAAGGCACAGTATTTCATTTCAAATAATCTGAAACCAAAACTTAAGTACTGGTACATTCTGTTGGTCAGCACACCATTCATCAAACTCTTTATCACTTTATCATCTAGATTCTGGATAGTGTGTATGTAGTATAGGCTCTCTTTAGAATTTAGAGACTGCAGGCTGTGACTGTGGCGGCCCTTCTGGTTCCGGTTCAAACCATGAAAGAGGTTAAATAGCCTAAATGTTCACTGGTACTGGTATATTCTGTTGGTCAGCACACCATTCATCAAACTGTTTAGGCACTGGGTCAGCACACCATTCATCAAACTGTTTAAGCACATCATCATCTAAATTCTGGAAACTTGTATCTGTAGCATAGGTTCTCTTCAGGAGAAAATAGAGACTCGACATACATGTACATAGAATAGTGGATACATGTTGTAGATCTGGGACATTTGTTGCTTGCTTTCTTCTTCTAAACAGGGTTGTGATATGGTGTAAGCCTTTAAAAAGTCAAATGCAAAGATTAATTTTAGCACCTAACATCAAAAAGATATCTGGTGTTATCCAGAAAACTGAATTACATTCATTTGTTCAACCCATGATAGAGATTTAATAAGCTAAATGTTCAAGGTACAAAAAGTGGGCGTCGCCTATGATTAGTCTTTAACAATGATGGAAATCAATGATAAATCATCTTGTTATGTTTGCAAAATTTCTTTACCTTGAAAATAGCACTCTAAAACTGTAGTATGACCATATTCAAAGAAATTTAAAAAAAAATTCCTATATCTCCCCACCCCCATGGGATTTGGTGGGAGGGGGTTCTTACTATTTTTTGATCATTCTAGTGGACCACAAAAATGGCTCTGGCTCTTAAATCAAAGGGAATGGTATTCTGATGATATGTGGAAAGTTTCATGCTTCGTTCCATGAATGAACTGTTTGCCTGTTTTCTTGCACTATTGATCTCACTATTACCCTTGAAAACAAGTGAGTTATATTCTCTGCAGGGTTGCCTTGGACTTAAGCTTTAGTCTTTAGGACCTTCTTTTACATTTTTCACATTCGTTACATTAATATTCCTATATTTGATAAGAATTACAATAAACCCATTTTAATAGGAAAGTAGTTGTTATTGTTCAATCTTTTTTGGCAATGGTATCGTGCTAAATGGATACTGGACTGAATCGACATGATGTCAATGATTTGGGTCAAAATTATCAATTTGATTTTCATGTAGACGTGATTTTACCTTTTTATGGGCAAGGAAGATTTTTTCAACGAGAGATTACTCAAATTCGATTAAAATTTATATGTTAAGTTGCCTAAGAGTATCTTCTCAAGCAAGTAAAATGAATATGAAAGGGACCGCTACATATCATGTTTTTCAGTTCACTTTTTTGGGACACTCGATATATTGTTCGAGTTTATGATTAAATAGCAAACTTTGATATTTGTCATCATTAAAGTAACCAATATTTTCGATACATACATCATGGTCATGATTGATTGTTGGCAACAAAATTAAACACATTAATTGTCGTTGATATCAACAAATATGTCGCAGGCTTTAGAGTAAAGTAAAGGCCCAAGTCGGTATTTTTTACTTATCTGATCTTGAATTATTACCGGCGGTCAAGATAAGTAAAAGAGACCGACTTGGGCAAGGCTAGCTTTAGAGGAATAACAGAATTTGAATTCGGACGGAATTGGTTCAATTTTTATGCTGATGCCTTCGGGACATGTTTATTTGCTGAAGAAGCGATTTCAAAAACAACCGCTGAATTCAAAATGGCTGTCTTGTTTAAAAAAAAATTTGGTCAGATTCTATGTGCCAGCGCCTGATTGGCATTGGGCTCTGATCGGGGCTATTGTCAAGAAGGAATGCTGAATTCAAAATGGCACCATTTATCAGTAAAAACCAAATTTTCTGATAACACAAACTAAATTTTATATACTAATGCCCTGTGGTCTTCAGACTACTCCAAAATTGATTTATAACACGAAAAAATCGATCCACTTGTATTTGATGATTTTGCTTGTACACAGGTGGATTCACTGACAACTCTTGGCTTTCACTTTACCTCACTTCTCACTTTTTGTTTGCAATACCAATGAATAAATAAGTTGCATTGACATGGACTATCCACCACATCTGTTTACACAATTAATCGTATTAAGCTCACTGAATATTAATATTGATTCCATGAAGCCTTTCAAATAACAAATCTATTATATCAACAAGTATATATCTGATTATTGGAAGCTAATCTCTAAGGGATTCGCCTGCGAAGAGGGGAGAAAAGTGAATGGCGGGGTTGATGAATACCATTCAAGTTGGTCTATTTCTCGTGAGCTGTCTCCAAGTCATATCCGGCAATCACCAACATGGTAAATACATGTACAGTACTAAACTCAATTGTTATATGTTATTAATGAAAGATATTACGTACTTGCCGTTGTACATAATTATGGAATATTTGTTACTTTACCAATGATTTATCAGATTTTGATTTGACAGCACTTTGTTAAGGTCATGACATTGTGCATTAATTCTTCCGACGAATGAAAATAATACAAGCACTTTATTGTTTAGACAATATGCTAATTTTGTGAAATACCCAATATGTTCCATATATATGAGCAACATTGTACTATACCTAAGTTGTTACTGTCAATAACGATGATAAAGTAAGTGCTGCATATAATGTCTGCACAACTGGAAACCAATGATGTGAAACTAATATCCTATGTTAAGACACTAATTCAATAATTCAGTATATGTTTACAATGGTACGCTGTGAGTATATAATTAATATGTGTGTATCCATCTCATAATTTTATACATGTAGATGCAATGTATACGATGTTTCGAAGTAAAATATATCAAAACCTTTTGAAACAATAATCATACGCTGATAGTGTGCGCCGAATAGTCCCGATGACAATAGGGAGTTTAAAGAGAGAATCAGATATAGCAAGCAGGCTAAACAAAAAATTGTCTCAATTTTAGAATATTTTTGTCTCATGTCATCATTCCTTGTCATGTCTATTTTCTAAAGATGACAAAAGTGCATACTTTATTCAAGGAAAACTAAAGATTTTTACAATAATGTATTATTTTTCACCCATTTTTGCACTTTGAATAATTAATAACTTCACCAATTCATAACATATTGTGAATCTTTTGGGAGATATTGTATTTGATATTGTAAGGAATAGATTGGTAGGTCAATTATAAAAGTTGCTTTTAATTTTGTCACCCCCTATAGATGTGATTCTGCCTTTAAGCTTGCAAATATAATCGAAACGCCAACCTATACGTATGACAAATAGTTAAATAGTTTAGTTAAAAACACTGCAAGAATAAACTCCCTAATGTCAGGAATGAAGTACTTCATGTACGTACTTTTAATGGGGTCTTAGTAGGGTGGGGGAAAATGAGTGACACTGAAATTTATTCACAGCTGACACCTTAAAACAAATTACTTCAGATTAACAATATCCCAGCAAATTATAAGGGATCACTTACATTTCTTTTATAATCATATTGGTGTCAATGTTGTTCATTGTTTTGTATTATCAACTGTTTTTTCTAAAAGTAAAAAGTATATTTGTTCATAGAGACCACATCCTCGTTCGACGATTGCTAATCACCACGGATCAACTGGTGTATCAATGAAATGCATACTCTCCTCTGTCAAACAGTTTAATGAAATCAATTGGACGTGTTCATCTTCTACATGCATCCACAAACATGTATTCTGTTTTATTTTATCACACCTGAACACATAGCTAAAGGTATGCCTAGTTGTGGCCAATCAAAACACAGCATTTTATATAATTGCAAGTGGAAAGTTATCAATCACGCTATTTTTAGATTCCTGTGAAACTGATTACATCAATTTTATAGTTGTTTCGATTTTTATTTTATGTTTTTTAAATTGATATGCTGACCTATATAATATAGTAGCCCCGACAGAATTGTTCAATGGTCACTTTTTCTTTAATAACTTTTTAAATTTTCAGTATTATCAAAATATATTTGAAAACTAGAGTAAAATTCTGACATACAAAAAAAATATTTCAGGAACGTCTCTTAATTTATTGATATTATAGGCGTTCATAGTATGAGTGACGCAAATACATAATTCACCAATTTGTCTCATATTTGTTCAAAATGGCGGCATATTTTGTGGTTTGAATGTTCAGTTAAAATTAATATTTAAGAAATGGCATAGGCCTATGAAGTCATGCAGACTGCTGCTTTGGTATGAGGTAATGACTGCATTTATAACCTGCATATATATGACTTGTATGTATACCAGTACTTAACAAGGTTTGTACATTGTATGTCCAGTATATTGGTAAGGTCGCAGGACTTACGTTTTTTGGCCATTCCATTGTTACTCGTAGTGGATTAGCAACCCTAGTTTGTTTAACCTGTGCAACTATGCGGTCATACTGCCTGATGATGATGAATTATGTATTTGCGTCACCCATACTATGAACGCCTACAATATCAATAAATTAAGAGAAATTCCTTAAATATGTTTTTTTTGTATGTCAGAATTTTAGTCTAGTTTTCAATAATGTAGTCAGATTTTGATAATACTGAAAATTAAAAAAGTTATCAAAGAAAAAGTGACCATTGAACAATTCTGTCCGGGCTACTATATATACAAAAACAAGTGAACTCTCGCAAAAAAATTCCTTGTATGCTTAAAGCACTTGACTCAATGAATAAGTGGATTGAATCATTATCAATGTCTTTAGTCATAGTATGGGAGCAAAAAATTGAAAAAAAAGGTCATTCCGTTTCCTTTTTAGAGGCGAGCTAAGCGACATATATTTTCATGAACTATACGTGATACTTACCAAGAAAAATGATGTTGGCAATTCTGAATCCGCGACGGCGTTGCTATGGTAACCAAGTAAATATGCCACGCCCACTTTTAGGGGCTCTTTTCAGTGTATGGCCCCTATCTCTGTCATTTTTGTTCAGATTTAGATGAAATTCACACCAAATGGAAGCTGGATAATGCAATCAGGAAATATTAAGTTGGCAATTCTGGATCCGATATGGCGTTGCTATGGTAACAAAGTAAATATGCCACACCCACTTTTCGGAGCTATTTTCAGTGTTTGGCCCATAACTTAGTCATTATTGCTCAGATTAAGATGAAATTTGCACCAAATGAAAGGTAATAGATAGAGCAATCGGACAGTTTTTAATATATGCAAATATGGTGATTTGCATATCAATTATGACGTCATAACTGTTTGTTCTTGCATAATTTATTTTAATCATAATGTATAGATCTGGTAAATTATTGTCTTTAAAATGGTCCGGTCCGTATAATGTTTTTAACTATTCTTGTTTGTTTCTTTTAGTTGAGTTTATTAGTTTATTCCATTCACACATGTATGATCATAATATTTGAATAAATATTATGGAAGTGTCCAATTCATACTGTTGCTTTGGTGACAGCATGCAACAAAACCACCTGCTGTAAACAAGAATTCTTTAGGAAATGTTACATTTTGACCAGTTGACTGACATGTATTCTTTTTAAAATCTGATGACAGAAAATAATCTAATAACCATAGTTATTAAATTTGGATTGTGTTATATTATGATGTCATAATGGCAATTTTTAATTAGGGGCGCAGCCAGCTTTCAGTCAGAAGAGGGCCTGCGATCGTGGCACAGGCAACCAAAAAGTATTTATAAGATAGGTTTTGAATTTTACAAAAATTGAACCAACATCCTTCAAAATTTAGCAAAAAGCTTCAAGTCGAAAGCCTTCTTTTATGTAATGGTTCTATTTTTATCGGATATGAGGGGGTAGGTGAACCCAGCGCACCCCCCCCCCCTAAGCACTGTCTATGTTAATCCAACTTGATGTTGCTATGGTAACCATTAGGTGAATATGCTAGGTGAATTAGACAATACATGAATAATGTAGATTGGCTGACTGACAAACTAAGTACCTGTCATGGTATCATAGCTGATTTTTGTGATTATTTTCTTGAAATAAGGTAAAATTGCTCAAAATGATTCCTCTGTAACAGACATTGGTACTAACTATCCCATTAATCGCCTAAAACACTTGACAAACATTTTACAAAACACAAATTGTAATACTTAATTTCAGAAATCCCCGCGACAATTTCGCAAAGATTAATTTTTGCTTTTTTATCAAGCACGAAACTAAATCGCGTGAAAAATACCAGGAGTACAGTACCTGTTATGGTATCATAGCTGCTTTTTGTGATTATCTCTTGAAATAAGGTAAAATTGCTCAAAATGATTCCAAATTGGAACCTTGTCCTTTGACATTCACCATAAAATGAGGTCAAAGCTGAAAACTATGATTGATTCCATTTCTTTATGGAGTATGGAGTATGGAAGCCCCTGATTTAAGATATGCTTTTGGTTTTGAAATCCAACATCCAACCATTCGGTTCAAAATTGGTACAGTTATGTCTACATGACCTAAAAAGATGAAATAGACTAAAGTACTATACCATAAAATGATATTATTTTTTATGTAAATTGACGTTGAACATATTTTTCGGATTTCAAAACCATTAGCAGCTATTAATGCCACGATGGGTATGCCAGTCAGTCAATATACATAATCCATGCATTGTCTGATTCTTTAGCTTCAATTTGGTGAATATTTCATACACACTCAAGCTGTAATCATGACAAAGATAGAAGCGAAACTTTGAAAAAGCCCTGAACAGCGGGGATGGCATATTCACCTTGTTACCATAGCAACATCATATTGGATTAACAAAGGCATTGCAAGAGGGTGCGATGGGTGCGCCCCCATAAACAAAAAAATAGAACCATTAAATAAAAGAAGAGCTTTAAAATCATTTTGACCTGAAGCTTCTAGCTCAGTTTTGAAGGAAGGTGCATCAATTTTGTAAAATTCAAAACAAATCTTCCCCCTCTCCTGACTGAACGCTGGCTGCACCCTGATTAATAATTGCCATTATGACATCAAAACATAACACAATCCAAATTAAATAATTTTCTATAGTTATAAGATTATTTTCTGTCATCATATTTTAAAAAGAATACACGTGTCAGTCAGCTAGTCAAAATGTAAAATTTCCCAAAGAATTCTTTTTACATCAGATAGTTTTGCTACATGCTGTAACCATAGCAACAGCATAAATTGGACACTTTCATTATATTTTTGATTCCATCAGTTTTTATGACCATGCAAGTATGAATGAAATAAAATTATAAACTCAACTTAAAGAAATAAACTAATTAATTAGGTAAAAACATTACTGACTATTTTAAAGACAATAATATCACAGATTAATACATCATGATTAAGATAAAATATGCAAGAACAAACATTTATGACGTCATAATCAATATGCAAATCATCCTATTTGCATAGTTTACTAACTGTCTGATTGCTTTATCTATTACCTTTGATTTGGTGCAAATTTCATCTAAATCTGATCAATAATGAAGAAAATAAGGGCCAAACACTGAAAAGAGCCCCTTAAAGTGGGTGGGGCATATTTACTTTGTTACCATAGCAACGCCATCGTTTATTCAGAATTGTCAACTTAATATATCCTGATTGCATTATCTATTACTTTCAATTTGGTCTGAATTTCATCAAAATCTGAGCAATAATGGTGGAGATGGGGGCCAAACACTGAAAAGAGCCCCTAAAAACGGGCGTGGCATATTTACTTTGTTACCATAGCAACGGCATCGCAGATTCAGAATTGCCCATAATATTTCTTGATCATACTTTATACGTGTAAAGAAATAGAATGTAAATCAATCATTGTTTTCAGCTTTGACCTACTTTTATGGTGAATGTCAAAGGACAAGATACCAATTTGGAATCATCTTGAGCAATTTTACCTTATTTCAAGAAAATAATTTCGAAAACAGCTATGGTAGTCATACCATAACAGGTATATCAGTCTGTCAATCTACATTCCCCATGCATCGTCTGATTCTTTAGTTTCCATTCGATGAAAATTGCATATACACCAGAGCTATCATCATGACAACTGATAGAATCAAGACTTTGGAAAAGACCTGAAAAGTGGGGATGGCATATTCACCTGAATACAACAGCTAACATAGGGATAGCCAGGTGGTGTGATTGGGGCACCCCCACCCCCCCCCCATTTAGCAATAAAAAATAGAACCATTACAGCAGGAGATCCAAGACGTCATTTCCATTGTTCTTTCGGCAGAAGAGCTTTAAAAATGCTTTTGACTTGAAGCTTCTAGCTCAATTTTGAAGGAATTTTTGTAAAATTCAAGTCAAATTAAACTTTTTTGAGTTGCTTGTGCCGATATCGCACCCCCTCCCCCCTGATTGAAAGCTGGTTGTGCCCCTGATTAATAATTGCCATTATGACATCATGATATAACACAATCCAAATTAGATAATTTTCTATCGTTATTAGGTTATTTTCTGCCAGCCATCAAATTTTAAAAGGAATACATGTCAGTCAACTAGTCAAAATGTTTTCACAGCAGATAGTTTTGCAACATACTGTTACCATAGCAACAGCTTGAATTGGATATTTTCATTACATTTTTTCAATTTTTATGACCATACATGTATGAATGAAATAAACTAATAAACTCATCGAAAAGAAATGAACTAATTAACTACTGAGGAGCATTACTGACCATTTTAAAGACAATAATTTCCCAGATTTATACATCCTGATTAAAATAAAATATGCAATAACAAACGGTTATGACGTCATAATTAATATGCATATCACCTTATTTGCATATTTTATAAACCATTTGATTGCTCTTTCCATGACCTTTCATTTGGTACAAATGTCACCTAAATCTGAGCAATATTGACGAAGATAGGGACCAAACACTGAAAAGAGCCTCTAAAAGTGGGTGTGGGATATTTACTTTGCTACCATAGCAACGCCATATCGGATTCAGAATTGCCAACTTAATATTTCCTGATTGCATTATCCATTATCTTCCTTTTGGTGTGAATTTCATCTAAATCTGAGCAATAATGACAGAGATAGGGGCCATACACTGAAAAGAGCCCCTAAAAGTGGGCGTGGCATATTTACTTGGTTACCATAGCAACGCCGTCGCGGAATCAGAATTGCCAACATCATTTTTCTTGATCAGTATCATTTCTAGTTCATGAAAACATATGTCGCTTAGCTCGCCTCTAAAAAGGACACGGAACCTCTTATTTGGACTTTTGCTCCCACACTATCATGGGCTTTAATCGTCTAATTGTGATTTCCAGAATGTGTGAAAACTGCAGAAGAATTTTTGGAAACCGAGGTTGACAAGGCTATCGAATTTACCGCTTCTGTTGGCGCAGCTGCATCATGTGTTGTTCTCAGAGATGACCACAAGTGTGCGGCAAGCGCACCTATTACAGGAAACGTGAAGGTTCAACGAATAGACACATTAGAGCCGTTTAAAATATTGAAATCGCAATGCTATAACCCAACGCATCATTGGCTTTGGCATTATACACCACTAGGCTTCCCAACTAACGACGTGTTTGCTTTGGTGTCAGAGCAGTTTCACCACAGAGTCCGATACAATGTCAGTGTTGGTACGTTAAATTGCCTTGTCGAAATCATCATTTCTCTTAACTAATTCTTCAAACTACCAAATAGGGGATTTGAGAGTTGAGAGTAATCGGAAGTTATAGGATTTGGATCTTATTTTATCAACCTGCCTGCTTGTAATCCAAGGGCACTTCAGTAAATACTTTATTTTGACACATTTAAAATATAGTTATGTGCGAGACATAAATCTTGAGTTTTTAGCTCACTTGGTAAACTACTGCAATCTTTCATGTCTGTCATTTTGTTCTTTTGTCCGTCTGTTCACAATAGTGGCACATCGTAGCAGTTCAAAAATATCTCGGAAAATTCAAAATGGTCACCGTTTGTCATATCTGGTATTATATCCAAAATTATTATTCTCTTGCAAAATGCATTAATTTTCTTGAAATCGTATTTGGTTTTGTTTATAAGTAAGCAATACGGTGAAGAAGAAACAAAATATCTACTTTCAACATGTCCACATAACATCAACATGATAAAAAAGAGCATTCATGGGACTCTTTGAATGCCTCTCGACGCAATAGACCCCCTCTTGGAATACAAAAAACCAATCGTATAAATATTGTTTAGATTCTTCGTGCGGTACGTTTCACTTAAATTTTCAGTATGTCGTAAAAACGAGACTTTCACATTTGATGTGATGGCAGGCGAGAGTAAAGATTTCACACACCTTGTGGATATTGCGCACTCATGTGTGCAAAGCGGACATGGGGCCAAGGATTGTGCCTGGAGACGACCTTCTAAGGGAACAGTGGATGTCAAGGCTGGTGACTTACCCCCAGTTAACCCATTTGGAAGAACAGAATGCTATAATCCAAAATTGTTTAATTGGACATACCGGGCTGATGCCACTTCCTCGGGCATTGACGAATTTTCACTTATATACCCACAAATATATAGCGAGAGGATATATAAAGTCAGAATAATTACCCCCAGTAAGTTTTTTATCTTACTTTCAAAATTTTGTTTCTATTTTATGTACTTAAAGATGAGTGCTTTATAAGATAATTTTAATGGATCTGTTATTTTCGCTTCTTGGTCTTGTATTAGTTTCGATAAAAATGATAATATAAAAAACAAAAAATAGTCCTCTTTACATGATAGAGTCTTAGTGCGCTGGGCGTCAACGTGTTTCACGTCTGCTTTTGAATGTTAATCTTAATGTGAATGTTTTTCAAAATTCAATGTGGATATTCACAAGTCATTGAAAACACATGGTTCGAATTAAGGTCTCTATGTAACTTAACCTTTGGTACCAATTGCAATGAGCAATCGTTCCTAATCGTATGTGTTCATACCGTACTGCATTCATATACTATATACCTCTAGTATTTTCTTGCATTTATGATATAGTGAAGCAATGTGTAGCTGAGACAGATAAAGAAATAGTAAACGATGCAAAAGCTGGCAGCCGATTGAACATCTCTGGAATTGTATCCGAAAGTGAATCGTGTACATACATGTATCGGGGATGCACTGCGTCAAAGCCAACATATGGAAAAGTGTTTGTAACTAGTCTCGAAGATGGTAAAGGTCATGTTGACTTCGACCCATTTCAAAATGAAACCCAGGGCTGTTACAACCCCAGGTTTTATACTTGGGAGTATGAGGGATCTGCAGATGAGACCGAAAGAGAATTGCCGGATGGATTCTCAGTTGCGTCAGTACATGCACGGACGAGGAGTAATTTCAAATTTAATCCAGGTAACTCAACAACATTTGGCGTCGTTTCAGTCGACATACAATTATATTCATTTAATCTGATAGTTGAAGATATTTAAATTCATTTATGGTTACAGTCTGTGCAGAGGTTGTAAAGCAACTTGAGGTCGATTTGGATGAAGAACTAGATCTAACTCAGTTTATAAAGACTCCTTCAAATACTTTCTCATGTGGAGCGGGGCTTGGTAATTGCAATGCAAATGAACCTTCAAAGGGAAATGTTTATATTGAAAGCAATGGTGATGATACTGATAGAAAAGATGTATACTCAATTGATGGATGTCACCCACCACCAGAATATAAATGGACCTTTGTACCAACCAAAGCTGGACTAGATGTATTTGCTCTTGTCGACCACCATTCGACTAAACCGAAACGACTGGTTTTTGAAGTAAAAATTATTCCCTCAGGTATATTGAAATTGATTAAGTGCTTTATAACTACTAAATTAGGTTTGAAAATTCTTAATATTAATATTGTACGTGTGGCTATTGAATATACCATAGCGATAGCCTATAAGTTACTAATATTTATCATGCGCATTTCGTTTAAAGCGTGCAAACGAGCTGGGGCTGCTCTACCAGACAGTACACGTACTTGTGACAGATACAGAAATGAATGTCCAAATACCTATCAGTGCTTGAAGAAACAGGCTTGCTGCCGTTACAACAATGTTCCAAAATGCACGACCATATTGAATCCATCGTTTGACCCCACATGGGAGGTGCCTCACAAATGTCGAGGTGGGGGTAGTATTCGATGTCCCGAGGGATTTCTGTGTCACTCGGAAGCAGCCAATCGATACTCCATGTGCTGCAAAAATGGTAATGGACGAAATATTAATTAGTTTAGTCTCACGACGTGATAACCTCAAATAATCAGAACCTGAAATCTCTCGATAAGTACCCTGTCTGAAAAATACACACTTAATCATCGTACTGATCAGATTTCCTCTGGAACACATTTTAGCGTTATATCCTGCACATAGTTATGTATGTGGCGAGTACATATTCTTGAATAGCTCAGCGTGCGTCAGGGATCTTTTCCTTATCATTCATGGGAATAATTCGCTTAATTCCTGGTACTTTAGTTAACAAAAAACTACCTTATGCCAGACATACTGTTATTCAATATCTTAAATCAATATCTTGCATTCGATGTATTGAACACATCATTTTTAATTGTTTCATTTGTTTTATTGAGCCTACGATTGGTTGGGGTTCTGCCTTTAGTGAACATTTATTCTAGAACTTCAACATCATATGTTTCAACGTCATCCTTAAGCCTCACAAAACAACGTGCAGAAAATGTATTGAATGCATTTTATATTCCGTATCTTAATCGAAGTAGCTGAGTAATCCCTGGGAGTTTAAGTATGTACGTTAAAATCAATCATGTCTGTGCTTTGTTTACTATCGTTGCTTTTTTGTTCAAGGTTTATTAAAGCGTGATAGAAGTTGCGTCGTATCATACAGTATCTGACGTCGTATCAGATCTCACATAGTTAAGATGTAATGCTCTTTTAATAGTGACATGCATCGATGAGGTAGGACAACCACACCGGCCAGAGGGTGGAAATTGGGTTAACCCCATTGACAAGTGCAACGTATGTTCATGTCTTGCGAGTGGTACAATAGAGTGCACAAACAAAACAAAGTGTAGAACGTGCAACGTCCCCAAACACGGCCTCCAGCAAAGATATTTTAACTACACCAGGAATGATGGATGTGAACAATGCCAGTGTATTTCTAAAGATGTCACCAACTGCGAGGGACCATGCCGTAAATAAGTAGTATTGCCTGAACGAAACATCTTTTAATGAACGTGATATACTGATGTATAACAAATGACAAGAAGCCAGTCATTCTTTGAGAGCAATATTATCAGAAAAACATCCATTCCACGTGCTAATCAACTCATAGATGGCACAATATTCAACGTATTCTATATTATTATTTTATTTATGTAGATTTAGAAAATGGTGACGTTGGCCCATGGAGCGGCTTCACTCCATGTTCTGATGTGTATGGATTTCGAGTAAGAATTAGGCAATGTTCCCATAAAAATCTTGAAAATTCCAGTCAAACGTGTTCCGAGATCGGTAAAGAACAAGAAGTGTGCAATCCAGAACTCAAGCCAAGTTAGTCTGAAAGTCAGATTTATAATAATATTTATGCTATCGGGATAAAATGTCATTTTCCTCAGTTTGACGTAACCTTTATAAAGTCATCGACTATCTGTTTAATGCAATAATTTAACCGCTGCAATTAACCGACATTATAAGTCAAAACGATATTTCGATCGATCAGGAAAACATGATTTATAGTGGTGGGGGAGCGTCTTACTGAAGCAGCACCTCTTGTCACCAGTGGAACGGAAGTCTGGCCTAAAGGCAACTTCCGGTGGATGGCCAGACTGTCAGAACCCGATCTTCCTTTTGGTTTAACGTGTGGAGGGTCCCTCATATCCGAGTCTCATATACTCACAGCCGCCCATTGTGTCTGTTTGTTCTGCAAATGCGACAAAGACAACAACCTGATTATAAAAGGGTACGTACCTATGACGACGTGCTAGTTTATTGTTTCTCAATTCTACATAATACTAAGTGTTGCACGTTTAAAGATGGTCCCTTAAGATATAAACATTTTGAAATAGTATTCACTTATTTGTGTTTTCTCATCGAATCATAGTACCAGCACATGTATAACAGACTGGCATGATGGTGATATGTATAGAAGATTCTAGAATTATACGTCTTGGAAAAGTCACATTCGTTTTTAATGCTCACCCTGAATGTTCTGAAAGTACTCGACTGTTCAATTAACAACATTTTACTGGATTGCATCGGCTCTAAACAGCGTGTACATCCATAGTCCGATTCACACGAAATCCATGACGTATGACGTATGCTGCACGGTTTTCATTGTGAGTTGCTGTGTTCTTTTATATTTTCTATAGTTGCGAATCCCGAATCCTTGTCACATTGGGGGATCACAACAGGAAAGCTGTTGAACAGACTGAACAAACTGTATTAACAAAGACAGTAACATTGCACCCTAACTTCAATGCCACCACAATGGACAGTGACATTGCGATTCTGACACTCGAGAGACGCGTGGAGTTTAACGAATATGTTCAAGCGGTCAATTTACCGAATCAGGGAACAGAAGATTTAAGACTCTTTCGCAAGTACTGTTCCATAACGGGTTGGGGGCTAAGTGGCAGAAAAGAGAAACTGGAATTAAGTAAGCAATACGTGAGGACTTTTAATTTATTGGATGCGAATTATGTTTTCTTATTTCTTTTGTTATATCGAAGGAATTCAGTCGCAATTTGACACTCGATTTGTTTTGTTGAGTAAGACACGAGTAAGACACGCATATACCGCCAGGCGCCAATCCAATGTTTGGTAAACTACATCTCATAGGAAAATGGACAATAAAGGTAATATTGGACCTCTATCAATTCCCTTGGATTGTTAGAATCGTTACTAAGATGTTCTAACAGGCAGAATTGGCTTAGAATTATAGTTGAAATATATTTTTATGTACAAATTAAGAGATAAGTAAAACGTATAATGGTTTTCGGTTTGTTTTCTCATTCATATTTGCTTAAATTGATAACGAGACATACATAAGACATACCTGGGTCGGTAAATGCATGTCATATGCATAATATATTAAAGGGTTCCGATTAGCATCCCGTATAAAAACAATATGGCGGCTCCAGGCGAATTAACTGGATCAGTCCATTTTTAAGAAATAAGGGGAGTTCAGTAAAATCCAGTTTATTGAAATTGTCTTTGAGATAAAGTAATCCGTTTATAATGATTTTGAAAACGTTGTCCAAAGAGTGATTGCGTTCAAAGAATACATGTACAACAGCCAATATAAATCCTTGTATTAGAAACCGGTTTGTCTTGCTTTGTTTCATTTGTAGGATATTTCATATGCCAAGCTGTGTGCTATTACGTTATGGGGAAATTTAGATGCCAATTTTTCCTTATTATGCACAAATAGAAGATCCTGAAACTTCACCCATAAATGTGGAATTGGTTTGTCAAAATAAAAATCACCCTTTTATAAATGTGTGACGATCTACAATATACTTATGCTATATAACAGTTAGAGGTGTTGACACAACGACCTCGAACCTGTGAACCCTTGAGTATTATTCCGGGATCGGGCCTTTTATACTAAACGGTGAGCAACACCAGAAACGAGCGTTCGATTTGCTAAACGATATGCGTCACCCTTTAAGTGTCAAACTGTTAGGTCAAAATAGCACTTTTGAACAGCAAAATCTTCACATAAACTTTGTCCTAAAAGATGCGGACCCGATGCGATCGAAGAGTAATATAATAAAGATCCGAAAATATCTTGAGTAAATGATCTCAGAATTCGAACATTACTTGAGTAAAATCTGTTGAGATCCGATGACATCGTCGAGTTTATGACGTGCTGATGATGAAATACTGTTAGGGTTACTTTTTGGAGTTTTCGAACCTTGATTTAATTGCCTTTATTAGCAGGGTTCCTTGTTATTAATACTATTGTAACATTTTGACCCAGACTGACACAACAGAAATTAGGCTATCAATACTGGAGGATAGGAATAGCGCGAAATTGCATTTAAATCAATTATTATCCATATTTATGGATTAAAATGAATATGTTTCAAGTTCATAATCTCTACTGGTCAATCTTTTTTCATTTTAGTAGCCGTTCTACTGATATTTTATCTTATTCAAAATTGAGAGCGAATGAGCATAACGGGTCTTTTAACTTTGCACATTTTAGATCAATCAAAATATATAACTTTTTCATATGTTTACCGTCTTGGTAGATAAAAAATAACACGTACCAAAGTCATTGGATTATGAGCATAGTCAAATAGAAGTGATGATATTATCAACAATGAAACTTATGGTGATTCGAGTGAAAGCATGAATTCACTGCGGGACACATGCGTTGACGTTTAGTGCTGCGGGAATTGTATCATATTAACAGGAATTTTTGTGATACACTTCATGTTATTATATGATCATCCGAAAGCTTACTCACTACCTTATCGGGTTTTACTCACGGTATAATCGGAATACTCAGGCGGTAGCATCGGGTCCTATAGAATCGTACTCGTGGTATATTTGGGTCTTTCATTTTCAACTTTCACCGGTGATTTCAATGATATGCAACGTATGGCAGTAAAACAAATGTGATATATTTGCACCTATTGTATCTTTGAATCAAATGGAGTAAACACAGCCATGGTTCTTACTTATTTAAGATGTAAAACATTATTCTAATATTTAGAAGTTGAATTTAGCGATTTGATAGTAAAAATTGCATAAAGTGCTCATTATTCTGCAAACATGAGTGCCTGGAACAACTTGTATATCTGTTACAAATAATTCTGTGTTTTATCTATTTCTCATATTAAGAAATTCAATATGTAAACTTATCCCCTACATTTTCAGACATCTTCGGGTCTTTGCTCGGCGGTAGGTTGTGTATACGCGGGTAGACTTTCCCCTCGTGTATGATATCAAAGTGCATTCAATAATAATATAATAATATTTCAGGAGATGTTTTGATTACTGCTGTCGCACTATTGCATCGTGATGGATGTGCCAATGTGACTTCTTTAAAGACCACAGAGAATATGTTGTGTGCGGGCAGACCTGATGTCGATGCTTGCTATGTAAGACAAATATTCCAATTCACAATAATGCAATCTTGCATCAAGTGCAAACCTTTTTGACATCCCATTCATACACACCCGGTGCCACCACAATCCGGGGGAAAATTAGTGAGAGATTTGTGTAATGGACATGCTACACTTATATGTCATAAAATATATTATCGTATGATCTTTAAAATGAAGCCTTTTGATTGGTCAGTTCTTGTGCTGTACCAATCTGTATTGCTGAGATTGTCCCCGTTGATCATCTCCGTCGCAAAGAACATATCGAACATATTCACCAGTCAAGACTTAGTTCAGTGTAATTTTAATTCTATATATCCCCGGGAGAACATTGCTATGATTAATTATACATCAACATTTTGTTGTTCCATTACTGTGAGTAAGAAATATAACAAATTTTTAATTCTATTTTCGGTGAATACCTGTGGCACTTTCACAAGATGATATTCCACTAGCCCTTTGGGCTTCGTGGGATATCACTTGTGAAAGATGTGAATAATAATGCTATTCATTATGCTATTCATATTCAAGCTAGTTTACAAATTAAACCAAATACCACGGCTTTCATTTATTAATCTGAATCTTAGATATGGCAGATAAGAAATAAGGCCCAGACTAGGTTTAACTTGTTGAACTAAAGACAAGTCAGCATCTCATGTCTTAATCAACACAAAACGCATTGTATGCAGGCTTCTTATACGACCCCCTCCCAGCTAATACCCCTCTACCCCAAATCGTTATTTAGTGTCAAGGGTGGACCAAGAAATGCTTGAAAATGGGTTTTTGAGTCGCCTAAGTTGGACCGGTAGAGAACATCGTCCTTCCTTTGAGCACCCATATTCGATACTAAGTGGTTTAGACGGCAGCCAAAATATATTTGTATTTGTTTGTTTCCATAGGGAGATTCAGGTGGACCATTGTCATGCAGGTTGAGTGGACCCAATCATCCGTGGACAATATTTGGTATCATCAGCTTTGGTAGAAGGCAATGTGGTATTGAAGCAGGGGTTTATACTAACGTTCAGAATTTCTACAAATGGATAAACGAACAGATAGCATGTACGTTGACAGTTGATTTGTACAGAAAAACCAACAAAAAGTTCTAAAAAGCAAGCACAATGTCCTGTTTAAGAACCCTATTCTAACTATTGGAATGGATTCAAGCAATACTCACCAACATCAACTTGAGTTCCCCTGAGAAAATGAGTATTTCAGCAAGGTTGTAATTGAATTACGTGGGGATGCAATTGATTTCATCCTGATGGACTGTAGATATACAGGATGAAATCAATTGGATCCCCATTATAAGTCAATGGCTAGAACTTTTCAAAAGGAACAAAATAATATATAACATGACAGGGTGGCAATGCTACATGTATGAGTTCATGGGGGGCGCACACATATGAAACACCCTGTATATGCAGAGCGTTTGGGTATAATTTCCAACACCTAGACTAATACATAAGTACCTACTTTGCAAAATATCAATGATTCATTAATAGTTTTTCACACAAGATCGTTTTCCTCAATTTATACAGTTTTCCTTATAAACCATATAAATGATGATGCTTGCCTAGGTTTGTGTGAAAATGCATTTGCGGCATGCAATGACTGATACATAAATGTGCTCATCATGTGCAATTTTTCGCTATTATACGTTTCTCAATTTGTATATGGCCGTGAATATCCATGCTGTTTTTCTGTCATTTCTAGCTGAAGGAGGCTGGGGAGAATGGGGACCGTACACGGAATGTTCCAAACCATGCGGTGATGGAACAAGGTTACGAGCACGAGCCTGCACAAATCCATTACCTATTACCTCTGGGAAATGTCCAGGTGCAGAAACAAGTGGTCAAGCTGTTCAGGTTGAGGAAGAAAGTTGCTCAAATGAACCTTGTTTATGAGTATTGCATGATGAATTGCTATGATATCTTTCAATACAAAATAACTCATCATTCTCAAATATTAATGTTTCTTCACTAGTTGGATTTTCTTCCTATTTTATACCTATTTCTATGCATGCAAACGGTTTGTATTTAGATGTTACATGTAGCTACATGTCATCAATCAAACTGGGTACTATGCAAGGTCAATGCCGGATTGAGAGGTCAAGTCCACCTGAATATCTGTTCATTCGAAAGGAAGATCGACAACTCAATAGAATACGTTTTAAATGTCTCAGAATATATGAATTTTTGCCAAACTAAGAACTACGTTTTTTGACCACGCTAGTCCTGGAAACTGATCAGGGATGTTGGACTGACTATTCTCAGGCTGACAATAATTGTTATCATTTCAAGGATAATGTGAAAAGTTCCGATGCATATATTATCATACGTTTAGGCAATCCGTACCATAGCAAAAGGGCATTAGGAATCAAAGATTGACTGAATTGTTTTGGTGACCTTATAAGGATTTGAAATATGTCTTTGTTACTAGCTTTAACATAAAAATGCTTCTAAAATAAGACCCAATCAGTCATGTTCCCATCACCTGTCATGTTATCGCTCTATACACATTGTATCGTTTAAGTCTATTGTACATTATCGTTCTACCTTGTATCATAGTAACGTTAATCACTCATAGATATGCCATTAATGAACCACTTTGCTTAAAAAAACTAGATAGAAATGTGTAAGAGTTTGCATGTATTTTTGAAGAGCTCCTGTTTTCGTTTGAAAAAAAGTGAAGTACCTCTCTGTATCAATAGGTCGAGTAGGATGAGTGCATATTAAACGCCTACAGCTTGCAGTATACCGTTACTCATAATTATGGGTTTCTGGTCACACCATCACTCAGATAAATATATAGAATAATATTTTTGCAGAAAATGTTCTTGAATATGATTTTCAAATAAATAATCTTTTTAGTATGGTCTAATATGTTTTGAATATTTCTGAGACTTCGCAAGTTGCGAATATGTATTTTTTTGTGAAATTCCCATCATCCCATAATTTTGAGCAACCGTGTATATTGTTTGAACAAAAAATGATTAATGTGTAACGAAATGATATGCTGGGATATAAAACAGAGTTTATAATTAATAAGAGTACTTTTTAAACACCAAAACACCTATTGGGAAACAAGTGAGAATACTGTATAACCTGATCCGATTCAAATATAACATCTGCATTACCTGTCGAGGTGTACGTTGGCTCCAATGTACCAAGAGGAGGCCATCTGATGGTAAAGCACTAAAATGTCATGGAACGTAGCAAGATATACATTAGCCTGGAAATTTCAGTAAGTACATTTTGAGAAATATCAAATATTTACTGTGCAGTGTTGATGTTTCAAATTTTATAAAGTATGATAGACATGAATATATATTGTTTTATTGTTGAATGTCACTTGTAATGGCAATACACATATACTATTTTTGACGTACTTAGTGAATGCAATACACACACATACAGATACGAACAAATAATCTATTGTTTGAACTTTGAACATTTATCAATTTGCCGGTTGTATTTTAATATTTGCAAGATGAAAATCAACATTCGAGATTACACATGTACAAGGTGTGTCAAAAATCGTCCTAAACCTTTAATTGGCACCACAAGTTCTAAGACAAAGTTCAAACTCTACTGTGAATGAGTTAAATGCGAGAATCATTTTTTGATGCGATTAATAAGTATCTGGAAGCTCAAATTATCTTAATAAAAAGTCGCACATTATACACTATCACAAAATAAGCACCAAATTGTTCATGTCAGATATGTTTCAGGAGCACAATATATTCTTATGAAAAGTCACCGACATTCATAAAATAAGTACCAAATTGTTCATGTCAGAGATGTTTCAGGAGCACAATATATCCTTGCGAAAAGTCACCCACATTTACAAAATAAGTACCAAATTGTTCATGTCAGAGATGTTTCAGGAGCACAATATACATGACATCTTAATGGAAGTCATATATACATGTACATTCAGTTTACATACACATTGACAGAATTAGTACCAACTTGTTTATGCTAGATATGTTTCAGGAGCATGAAAGTAAATCTTTTTTACTTTATCATTTAATAAATGATGAGACCAAAACTATAGGCGAATGTGTTTTCCGTGAGTATTTTGCGTGAACAATTATCATTTCTTTTATTATTGACTTTTATTCAAAAATCGTTCAAGTCTGTGATCGAAGACCTTGCATCGTTCAGTTGTTGAGTATACAGGTATAGGGGAATACATACTCAGTCATTGTCATTGCTTACATAATCATCATCATTCCAACTTATACATTCGCACTATTTTGTATTTTACGAGCTCGGTCAGATTTATGTATTCAGTAAGTTTTATGGTTCACAACAACGTTAAATTATTGATAGCGTATTCAAAGAATTAAGGAAGATTTATAGACTGTAAGCAGGTCTGGGAAAAGTCATGTTCATGGCAAAAAGGTGTAGAATATAGGCACCTATATCATTTTAATCTATGTTAGAATGGCTTCAAATGCTGGTGGTTGAGGGTCCCACAGATACATAACAAGATTACTTCAGGTATTAAGGGCATACTTGCTTTAAACAAATATAACAATAAACAAAACATGAACGGAATGTTATGGTCTGGAAAAATGACATGCTATTACCTAGCAACCACATAACAACCACCTAGTGACAGCATTAAATATTTTTTTGCAGAAAAATCAATGTTTTTGGTGCATTATTTAATTGCTGTTGGTAGTAAACACGCCCGGTGATCGTACAAAATGGATGGAGGGGGGATTGGGCGATTTCTGCAAGAAAACTCAACAAAGGAAGAGTATTTTTTCAAGAGAAAATTTACAACTGAATTGCCAAATGAATAGGCGCAGTGCATTGTAAAATATGTCAGATCATCTAGTATTTTTTGAACTGATACCCTTCTAAGATATGAGATCTATTAAAAAAGGCGCACAATCACCAACGTGCGAAAGTCAATGTTTTTGCTATAAATCGGGCAACAATGGTCTACGACTCTACACCTACGACCTCTAATAAATAGGTATAAGGGACGTTATTATCACAATACTAATGACATTGCTCACTTTTTAAAGTTAGCTTCCATGTGTTATACAAAAATAATCGAAATCAATTAATATTGGATGGAGTCTACCATTTTAATATCTGACTTGAAATGCAAGTGGGTGAAGGCCAGACAGGAGTGGTGGATCAGAGATATGTGTTGTTATAGTAACCTAATATATAGAATATTCAGTACTTTTTTTACATAACAAAATTTTTGGAAGAAGTATAACCATGTTCTTCAATTTTTATGAGTATATGCGACAACCTTGCCCTAAAATGCTCATATTGTAGATATGGTGGTTTTAAAGCTCTTGTGTCCTAATTATTCCCGTTGCTAGGTAGTCGCTACGTAAAAATAATGTGACCAATAATATAATACAGTACCATCTCTGCCAAAATTGTCTGTTTTAAATAAATTATTAAAGAGGAAAGTTAAATTGTACATCTAATTAGAGGGTATATTGTTACTAGGCTCTAACTAGTTACGCCAAGGGCTTAAAAATATGTATAACTTGTCCTAAAGGAAAGACAATATCTAGTTAGTACAATAAACATACCAGTTCACCAATATCTAATCCAAATTATAAATAAAATAAAACATAACTCGTGCCCCTTCCATTTTTGAATATTTTAACCATAAAGCTCCATTTATTTCATCTTTTATTGACGTAACCATGGCAACAACATAACAATGCTTGGTCTAATTTTAATGAAAGAAGGGTTACGTCATAAGCACTCAATCCTGTAGGAATGGCATTTTATTTTTATTGACCGTAACTTGCTTTACTTGGTTGCTATAACATATATCTCTGCCCCACCTACCCTACCAGACTCTCAACCACTACACGTTACAGCCTTTCAGTCAAACGCCGTGATTGGTAAATTTATGAAGCCATTCCAAGACCTTTTTACAGTCTATTAGTCAAAATCGATACCATTCAAACGCATAGCAAAGAATAAATTAGGAAACAGAACTAAAGATGTCGTGTTGAATTAAAGAGAATACCTCATGAGTACCGAAAAATCACAAGATTCTTCGTAAAAATAAATATTGCTTTGTTAAGCGAACATGACTCAGTGATATGGATATGTGTACATACCAATCATGAGCAACACATGAAAAGCATTTTCTTTTGTGATTAATCAAATTTTCATCGAAGGACTTGATCTAAATACACAATATCATATTAACTGTTCAATGCATCGACAATCCTTTATTTGAACACATTTGACACATTTCTTGAATTCACTTCTCCTCATGAGATTTAAAAATCAAAACCCATGGGGACCTGTTAAATATGTGCCTCTTTACCCTCAGTGAAATAAGGTGAATTTGGTTTAATGAACTTTTCAACTTCCATCAAACCAATGGATCATTAGAAAAATGCAAACACTGAAATACTGGATGGCTATTTCTAAAATTGGTCAACTCGGGGAGTGTTGTTTTCAAAATTGTAGAGGGGAGCGTACATATAAGTAGAATACGTAGAACCGGCATCATGAGCGTTTAGCGATGAGAAACCGCTAAGCTAAGCTAAGCTGAGATGTCATTGTTTAGTTAATGGATGGTGTTCTCAATTACATTTAACAATGGAAGATAGAGTAGCGACAATGGAATATAAGTTACACCAAGATCTCAATTTACGATAATATTAGAAGCTACGAAGCTCGTATATGGTACATGTTATACTTCCTATGTCCCCTCTAAGTCTTACATCAAGGTACCTCCTTTATTTTTCCTCAAATAAAGTATACACTTTAGGGATTTTGGAAAACATACATGACGCCAAGGAATGATATGAGCCCAAAATATGAGATTCATTGTTACCAGTTTGATTATACAGGGGCTTAATGCATGGTGTAAAACAGAAACCATGAAAATAAAGTCTAATGATACTATTAAACTGCCACATTAACTCAATTTTTGCCTTACTTTTCAAATTTGCCTCGCTTATTTCGTTATCCAGGCGTTGCCCCTGATTACTTCAATCCCAAACTTCAACCAATGTTTACTCTTCTGACTAAATGAATTAAAGGGGTAGCATAAATATGAACAGTATTTTATAGAATGTGAACTATTTATATTGTCATTCGACCTTAAGCTCATAAATGTATTTTTTGTGTTTAGCTGTACTCAGCGGTACTTTTTAGAATGGAATACTAGTCTGTGACCATGGGTAATAAATTACCATAGATATGCGCTCTAGCGCTAATACACATTTAGTAACCTCGTATCAGTTACCGCAGTATTTAACATAGGAAAGGGAAGTACAAGTAGGCATTTTTTATCGATCAGCATTTACAAGCAACGGATGTATTCTTGGCTGTACAGCTATTATATGCTACTTTAGAAGTGAAAGTATTTTTAGGATTAATAATAAATATATGCCAGCATGCAAGTTAGTATAGGTGCTCACGAAATTGGAACTTTTTATCTCCACAGGGACTTACGACCAGGAGCCTCACTTCCTGATGTCTCAACTTTGGAGCAGATACGAGATGGTGAAGTTGGGCCTCCTCACCCAAGGGAGTTGGATACTGTCAGAGATGAGATCAAGGCTGACCAACCAATGCTCAAAAAGGATCATGAGGAAGCCGAAATTCCTCCACCAGAGCCTGTGGTTATACGAAAGAGAGAGGAAACTAAGGGTTCATGTTTTGCAAACATTAACTCTTATGTAACAATCCTATCCATAATGGGATTCCTTATCACAACGGACACAATGCACAGATTCGCAGTGTTGACAACACTGCAGAAACGGTTCAATTTTGCAACAATGGAATCTGGTATCATAATCAGTAGTTATGACATTGGTCATGTTATATTATTGGTTCTTCTTGGTTATTTCGGGGGTAATATACACAAGCCCAGGTGGCTTGCAATAGGGGGTATCATGGTTGCGATAGCAGGAGTGTTATGGTCACTGCCTCATTTCTTATTCGGACCTGGGCCGAAACCCATTGAAATTGATTCTCTAAATAACACAGAACTGGAGACCATGGTGTGTCATCCAAATGGAACCGCCGGACTAAACAGTGGGGAGTCGTTCTGCCCAGATATAGGAAATGCAACAACTAAAGGTGATTCAGATGCGCTAGAAAGCACTATAGCATTCTGGATATTGTTTACATCACAATGCTTCATCGGGGGAGGATTAGCTCCCTTTCTTACACTTGGGATCTCTTATATTGATGATAACACCGATCCCCAGTCATCAGCATTATATGTTGGTAAGTAGTTCAATAAATCACACATTTTATGAATTACATCCACTATAGTCGTGTGAACCTTACACTCCCCCTCAAGAGTATGGCAATCCTGACTCAACATGAATAGTCAAATCCCCCAGAATGAAGTCGGAAATAAGGTTCACTTGTGGAAAATGTAATGGTATCGTCGATATAGTAAACTTTGCAAAATAGCTCTATGGTTATATACGATACATATCTGGAGATTTATTACAAAGAATAATCACATGCTCTTATATTTCAGGTATTGTATACAGTATAGGAACGTTAGGTATGGTGATGGGCTTTCTTCTTGGTGCTATTCTTACCGGAACATACGTTGACTTAAGTGGTGAGTACAGTGGTTGCTATTAATATTAAGTGAATATATTACTTGTCACGGACGGTACCATATCAGCTCAAATAATTAATTAATTATTACAACTGACTCGATCAAGTACTACATATTAAAGTAACGTGTTCTTTCCTGGTTATTATAATCTGTTATTTTCCCTATTCGAAATTCAATTCAGTATGGGTTCTCTCATGGGATTTATACATTTTACCCACTTTTCCTGACTTACACGGCTTTTATATTATCTTACATTTCTTCGCCTATTACTTTTTACCTAACATCGGTTCTTCTTACTTTATGGAAGCAATGACTAAATTAGTGTCGCTATTGTAGATACCCATCTGGATCCCCAAGACCCCCAGTGGCTTGGGGCCTGGTGGCTTGGCTCTATTTGTATAGCTGGAGGATGTCTCCTCTTCTCCATTCCAATGGGTCTCTTCCCCAGATCTCTACCAAAACCAGGTAAAAAGAAACACAAAGGCCATCAACGGCATTCCAAAGGGAGCAGGCTTGGAAGCGTGTATGGTAGTATAAGAGGGAAAGGAGGATTCATGCCCAAAGAGTACAGTAAGTATGCAGATTAAAACTAGTTGAAACATTACTTTATATCATTTTACATAGTATTTTCTTCGGTAAAATATTTCTAGGTCTTTTTATTCTTCACAAAATTTCATGCACGTGGCAATGCTTTATTCAACCACTTTTATGGATGTATATTCAATATAACAAGCTTCTCTTATATCATTTCTTTGCCGCCTTTCTGTTCTAACTGTACATAAAGGGGCTTGACAATTATTTTTTAGGTTTCCCAGTAGCCTTAAAGATGCTCTGCACAAACGTGGTATTCCAGACAACTACAATTGGCCTCTGTGCCATGACCTACCTCGCTGGGGGAGTATTCACCTTTCTCCCCAAATATATCGAAACCCAATTCGGTCAGCTCTCATGGGTCGCTAATGTTATCACAGGTATCCTAAAATAACAATCTCTCGGTGATTTATTTTAGCTAACTCTGGTGGACGACACCCTACTAGTGGGTTATTCATAGTGATATATATATATATATAAATAGAAATAATAAATGTAATTTGTGTCTCATATAATTGCACCATCTTCTTTATTTACAGCCGGAATATCTGCAGGTGCAATGGCATCTGGAACGTTCTTTGGAGGTTGGTTGGCTGCTAGATTACGGTTAACCCCACCTGGCTCCATAAAGCTTATTACTATTTCATGTGCACTTGGACTCGGTGTCCTTGTCTCATTGATGTTCGTCGGATGTCAACAAGTCGAAATAGCAGGTGTAACAAATCCAGATGATGGGTAATTGTCACACATTTTAGAATCATGTTTAAAATACGATAAAGTATGAAACAATACGAAATTAAAACGATTAAAGGGCTTAAAGGAACTATGTATTCCTATCGAAACCAAAGTTCTCATTTCATGATGTTCTCATTATTTGCATTATTTTTTGCATGCTTCAGGTTAATAACAATAGACACCCCATGCAACTTGGATTGTGGATGTGACCTAGGATTTTCACCTGTGTGTGGAAGTGATGGGGTCACATATTATTCCGCTTGTTACGCTGGATGCAATAATTTCTCCAACTACATAACGGATGAAATTGCTGTGAGTATCACTATCGTATCACCATGTGTCACTATTTATATTTAACATGATCTCTTGAACTCATGGAGTCATCTTCATTTATAAACATTAATAACTAACCACGTTAGTACTACGTTTTATGTTCGAGAGACGCATCTTTTTTTAGGTAAAATACAGTTTACGTTGCGATCATATAATACATTCTTATTAGTAATTCTAATTTATGTGGATGTTAAGATTAAATTGTAAGGACGTCTTGCAATGAGCGTTAAAATGCAGTTATATCCTACTTAAAGTTAGCGCCAGAGGTAGAAACTGGGCCCTTTAATCAACATGAAAGTTGACAATTTGGTTTTGTAACGAATTTTATCAATACTGGTAGGGTTATAACAATGCTTGCCTCTTTTTCATAAGTTGTCGGTATTCTCCAGAATTATACAAACTGTGGCTGTGTCGAGACTTCAATGACTGGTGTTCCTGGAGGAGGTAATGCCAAGACCGGATGGTGTGCTACTAATTGCATTACGCTGGTTCCATATGCTATACTATTTTTCTTCATGGTGTTTGGTGTTACAACTGGAATGGCTCCAATTCTCTCCATTACATTGAGGTAAATTCAAAGTTCTATGTAATGTAGCTTTTTTTTATTTAGAGACAGAAATGGATTGACAAAGTATGCACAAAATCACAAAATTTCTTTGCATTTGACATGTAGTCTTTAAGTTCTGATTCATCATTAATTTTACCATCGTTATATAGGTGTGTTGAACCTGAGCTTAAACCGTTGGCATTGTCTATCAATAACATCTTAACAAGCGTTTTGGGTGAGTACTAGGTAGCCTATATATGATAGTATCATGGGTACTGGACCCACGTGCTGAAAGTGCATCCGAAACACCATGTTGAACCTTTAGAAGCCATGTAGCTGAGAGTCGAATCAGTCAACTATAATACAGGGTACAGGGCGGCCCAAAACAGAACCTTTAAATATTTCAACAAAGGCTCTGAGTTCTGCTTTCTTGGGTTCCTCTGTGCATGTGGAATTTCAAACAAATTGAGGAACACTTCTGGACATTTTTTACCATGGACCAAGAACATGTTTTTTGGGCAATAAAACATTGGCAATTTTGAAATTTTGCTAAATATTTTTCCAAAACCTACCTATACAATTTAAAGCAAATCTATTTATTACACTTTGATTTATAACAAAAAAATATTTTGACAAAAGTGGCGGCCATTTTAAATCTTCGGTACATATTTTGTCGAAATTCGTCTTGACATTGTTAACTAATTATAAGGTACTGTACTTGTACAATTTCAAGCACATTCTATTAACAATAAAGTGATGCCCATTTTGAATCTTTGCGACACATTTTACTGAAACATGGAGACAGTAAATTGTTAATTCTATAAATAAGTCACCTCTATACTGAGTGATGTCAAAATAATTGACACCTGCTTTTTCGGGAATATCTAAATGGCGGCCTTTTTAAAATGATGGATGATTACAAAGTTGCCATCAATATGTTGACAGACGGACATACAAGTTGATGGGTCACCGTGTGAATTAGAATACCCAGTATCGAAAATTTTATTTTGTGACAAATCTCCCTTTTTGTAACGAAATAAGGCAATTTTAAAAATTATTTCCAGCTTCCATTCCTGGTCCAATGTTGTATGGAATGATGATTGATTCAACTTGTAAATTCTGGGAAAGCACGTGTGAAGGAGGGCAATTTTGTCTTCTTTACGACTTCCGATTATTCCGACTTTTGCTCCATGGTGTGACTGTTGGAGTACTGGGGGTTGGTCTCATTTGTTTTGTAATCGCATGGCTGAAGTTACGGACTATGAAATTTACTGAAGAGGGAGAAATGATAACAGATGAACATGATCATGAAATAAATATGGTCAATAGAAGGCATTACACCGTCAGCACCAGTAGTCAATAAAGGATTGGATCTTCTCTACAGACAGTAATATTCCAAAGCATACGCCAGGTGTGGTGATTCTTGATACACTGATCTTACACTACGAATTGAAACATGATAAACATCATAATTCTAAAAAACTGTAGATGTTAGTCCCCTCCAAAAGTTTCGCCGGTGGCCAGACTTCCCATGAATAACAGGTCAAACTGATTAGAAAATTCAAAGTTTGATGATTCTTTAAACATTTACGAACTTCACCTATCAGCAAAGACATGGCCAAACGGGGAAAATGGTGCAAAATCTTTGGAGGGGAGTGCAAATTGCGCATAGTGTATGTCAAGGTGAACGTAAAACCAACAGTTGAGATAAAAAAAAATCATTTATCATAAATCATTGCATGTAAGGCCTATGCGAACTTAGTTCAGTATATGCTTGAAAAATGTAAATCGTAGTTTTAGTTTTTTAGTTTTTTACATAAGATATATTGAAGTGAAAGAGATCTCAGCGAAACCTGTAAACTGAAACATTCCTGTGTACACAACATCTTCAAAGTGGAACACTATTATAGTACATGCGGAACATGTCTTTACAGGTTTTGCTGTATTTAAATTATATGATAGGCCTAGTTCATAAGCTTGGTCACATTTGAGAGATTTCGCAACTCATGTTTATTATCATATTCCCGTATAACGTAAAGCGTTTAATTACGTCACCATTTATTGCGCAACTTTATACGTGTGGCATTCTTACGTATAGACGTATATGACGATTTGTAAGAACATCTTACTCATGAACGTAGGCTATAGAGACAAGCGCAATAAAATGTTGACGTAATCAAACGCTTCATAAGTTATACGTCATACGGGAATAATAAACATGCTATAAGTGAGTTGCGAAATCTCAATAATGTTAGTAAAGTCCCCGATATATAATTCTAACATAGATAAATTATTTATACCATAAAAAGATGAAATAAACGTCTACAAGGGAGTAAATATATTGTATCTGCATAAAATTAACATGTTAATCAGTTGCATTTATAATTGTTTTGCAGCAGTAAATAAGTAAACGATGACAATTGAATTGTAATACATTTATTTGTACATATGCACATGTAAAACAAGAACTTTGTGCAGCCAGTGCATTGGTAAAATATGTTGTAAACTATGTTATGAAAAAATACACAGAACAAGTGTGCCAATAATTGCTCAAATAACTGCCATAAAAATAATTGATTTACCGAAAATGAATTAAATTATAACTTTTAATAAATATTTACATTTAGTTATATTTTGTGATCCAGAATTGTGTAAAGTCGTAAAGTGATGATGAGATAAATGAATTGCAGTAAGCACCATTGTCTTTTATACCAGCCTGTTTATACATGTACGTCTCAATCAGAGCACGTGCTTGCGCCAAATATATGCCTTGTAATGTTTTAACGTGAGGAATTTCGAAATGTTTTGTTACACCTTAATGGAAAAAAGAATTATGCTTCAACAGATGCTAACGACAAATACTTTTCCTCTAAAGGTGCATCAAACAATTATATTTCAGTAAAAACCTGTATACCTGTTAGCAGTTATGCTAGACGTGAAATAGAGTTTAAACGATTTTTGATCCAATTCTGGTTCGTCAAGTGTTGAAATAATTTCATTATAAAAAAGTTCTTTCACATTTAATTAAATAGCAAAAATATCATCTCATAATCGTGATAAGTTATAATACACTGATTAACACACAATTATATGATACTAAATGCTGGCTATCTTCTTATTTATATAAATCTGGCAATTTGAGCAAAATTCTATCGTGCAATGTTCAGCATATTATTTTATAGCTATAAATCTGGCCGCGGTGAGAGCACAACTGAATGTTTTTGAGGAATCTCCTGTTTAATAAGGAAGCTTCAAAGCATTACGTCAAAATATCGAAATCGACACTTCCAGCCCACAATCATGCGAAGGTGACGGCCGCAACCTTTGTTCGATACTAACCAGTGATATCTGCCAGATGTCAAAATGGCCAGCATGCCTGAATTTGAAGAATTCTTTTTCATTTTAAAAAATTGTTTTGTGTGAAAAAGAAGTAGTAACACTGTTTTCTTATACACGTATAGAATGAGCAAGATTTTAACACATCGAAAAGTTAAAATATGGGATCTCTTGGATTGCTTATCGAGGAGTATGATGAACTCAGTGAGAGACGCGTATCATTAACAGAAAACATGGTTTCGTTGAGTGTACTTTCGACGGGATTATCCAAACCACGTGCGAGTTCACCAAAGGATGGAGCAAACCGTCTGGAACAACTATGTGTATCATTTATAGGCGAGAGATCTAATGTGTCAGCAATGGTGAGAAATTCTGGCAAATGATCAGATCTGGCAAATGATAAGGGGTCATCAGTAGTCGGATCGCCTTGTGAGGAAGTGCCGAATACATTATCTGTGTTACGGTCATTAGTATGACTAGGAAATCGTTTGTCCTTTTTCATTTCGTCTATATCTTTAAAACAAAGAACACATATATTGGGCGATTCTTTTCTTTCTTTCTTTTTTCCTCTATGAACTGGAGGTTTGGCTGGCTCGTTTAGATTTCCGCCAAGGATATTAACATCATTTAAAGCCATGGTTTTCCTCCTGACGGCAGTCCAAATTGATATAGCTTCGTCAACAAGGGGTAAGATAATGATAACAACACCTGCCAAATAACCACATATCTTCGAGATATTAATCTGAAAGATGAGAAGTTTATCATTTATATACAAACAGTATAATATTTTGAACATTTATTGCAGTCCATGTTTATCAAAAAGGTTATCAATTGATTTATGTTCATTCAATGAGGTACAGGTTTACATAGTTACTCGAGTCGACCCTAATGTCAGAAGGGGGGGGGGGGGGTCAAGAGTTTTTTGCGTCTCTGTTATTTTTTTAACCTTAAGCCACAGATATAAGACACTTTTTGGCATAAAAGCCAACGTGATTGGGGGTAGAAATATATATCTTGAAATATACCCTGTATATGCTAAAGACAAAAACATGCTGACTATTCCATTTCACGTTACATTGATTTCAACGGGATTTCTTTGAAAGTGTCTAACTTCAGTTCTAGAAACGCGTTTACCATGATTTTAGTTTTATTCGAAATATAATTGATTGTTCTTTAAGACAGCGAATTCGAAGCATTTTTGGCACACAAAATATTGTATAAGAAAAGACAGACAAGTTATGAGAAATCGCAGGGGAGGGGGGGCAAATGACTCCATCCCTGCGACTTAGTGTTATAAAAAAGTTTGCAGACATTAGGGTTAACTCTGCTACAAATGTCAACACAAACAAATGAGATTCACGAACTAAATGTTCTCACACATACGTACGTTAACGTAGGCCTAATTTTTTATTTTGAGACAAGACACGATACCCATACTGATGAGTATGTGAAGTGTTTTAGACTCTGGTTGACCATTCTTAATCAGAAACCTCTGATGATTTGTCAATCCCATTACAAAAGTATTTCCCGCATCACCATCAAATTATTTTCAAACTCTTTGTATTATAAAAAGTAATCGCCAAATAAAAATATGGACGTTTTTATAAATCACAATTTTCTTAACTAAATGTTATTTAAGGCAAAATAAATTAAAATACACACTGTTGCATATTTTTGAAAATAATGAGAATGACACTGACACCCTTTATATACAAATCTTACGTTCTATATTATAGTGTATCTATTACATGGAAGGAGTGTTGTTAAGTACCTACCCAAATTATGAATTCACTGAGATTCATCACACCCGATGACATTGCACTTAAAGGCCATATCACTAGCAGACAAACAGTTAAAAAAGTCGCACCAAATATTGCAATCAGTTTGGCCGATTTGAACACCTTCTTAATTTCTGATAAGGATGGGCGTCTGTCCAACAGATGCGCTCCCGAAATACCAAGTTCTCTGTTAATCATATAAGGAATAAGATTCAAGACAAACATACAAAAACATGTTATTAAAGTTTTTACATTAACTGTAAAACAATTGACTTAAGTTTTATTGTTTGTCCTAACTAAACGTCAATCGTCAGATTCATTATGGCTGTAAAGAGTCGTTTATGTACATGTACCTTTAGCTTGGTAAAAACTAGATTATTTTATGATGTGTTTGAAGTACACCCCCACTATAAGTTTCCAACCTTAACTCCGCCATTAAATTACGTTTTAAAGGCCATTTATGTTTGAAATTTAATTAACATAATATGGAAATAAAAAACTACTTTTAGGACTGGAAATACAAAATGAAAATGGCATTGTGAAATCTGATTTACCCCGAGCGCATCATTTCCCCTTGGTGGTATAGGAAATCAGGACTAACTTCAGTTTTTCAGAAACAATAAATTACAATCAAGAGCTACACCAGAAGACGTTCATGGCCTCACTCGACAGCGCTAAATCTTTCGACAAGGTATGTTACGCAGTGTTGTTCATTAAGCTATACGGATACGCTATAATGGAATAAGGGGAGCGCTATCAATAATATTCAAGGGCAACATGTCAAACTTGTTCCCAATCGTTCAATCTGTCCGGCAGGGAGGGGTCCTTTCCGGATGGCTGTACAACATATTCATTGATGGTCTCCTGTATTAGCTTGAAACTTCAAACTTTGGGTCAGTCGTGTGCGGAGTTACCTGTACTGTACCTACCTATGCAGACGACATCTGTCTCTTTGCAAATTCAAAAGAAAATCAGGAATCACTCATAGACATCGCAATAAGATACTCCCGGAAATGGAGATTCTTATAAACATGTCAAAATCCACTGTCATTACCTTTGGTGAAACAAAGGGAACTAATAATACCATGACTTACAAACATATTGTTTTAATAAAAACCACTGTATCTATGCCCAGAAAGTACTAATGTTGAAAGATGACCGCCTAAAATCACTTGCCATACTGCACGTGGTGTTTTCAAACGTAACGATCGAGACTTGTATTTATCACTGACATAGTTCAATGGGGGAGTTAGAGTTACTAAACGTGGAATATAGCCTTTCCAAAGTATGTGTCTTCTTTTATTTTATTTTTACATCACCGTAATAATTGAAGATCAAGATAAGTAAAAGAAAATACCGTCTTTGGCAAGGTTAAACGTGGAGCGGAGTGTATATTTTCTGATCAATTTCAGATCAATTGGTTGAGGATATTAAACCCTTGTTAAAGATCATACTCATAAAAATTGTATTACTAGGAGTCGAAAAATTATATTATTGTGTATACGTAAATTGTTAATATAATGTAAAACATCGAGTGGAAATAACTAAAATTGAATACGAATAGTACTCGATTTAGAAGCTTTATCTAAAAATAAATCCATGACCCATTTTCAATATTCATCTCTCAACAAAATGTTTGCATCTAGCTATTTACTTCAGGTTTATTTAAGCAACGAAAAAGTTTTGACTATTTTAATTCGAGAATAGAATGACTTACCTAGCGTACATTTCAGGCCAGGGAGATAAAGGATTGTCAATGTCTCTAGTGTTTTCCCATATCTCTGTAGTGTCAATTACAGAATGATTGAGCAAACTGCATATCCAGGTTATAAGTCCTCCTGATGCGATAGCGGAAAGATTGCCCCATAACATGCTACTTTCTGAACCTATTGAAACAAAATAGATTAAAAGACATAAACTTATCTATTGATACTGACTTACGATTAGTATACACTCCCCTCCATAAGTTTGGCAACCTTTTTTCCCCCATTGAACTACGTGTTAAAGCCTCTTTACCTTTGAATTTTTATTTACTTAACCAGCGATGAAAATACTTATACTATTGATGAAAACGTAATTTGACTTTAATTCCGATAGCTCCAAATTTTCTCAATTTTTTTCCTCAATTACAATAGGTCTAAAATTGATGATAAATTTGATGATTTTTTGAAAATCGACATTCCCATGTTAACCAATGGGAAATGGTAGGTTTGCCGCAAGTCATATGACAGAATATCCATCCATCCGAGTCCTTGCAAAAAATACGAGTTAGGCAGGCAATTGAATTTGCTAACTTTATTTAACAAAAAATTGATATGTTTCTTCAGGTTCAACAAAGTTATAGGGCTTTAAAGTCAAAATTGTTTTTCAAAAAACCTCTCCCATTGAAATAACACAGGAGGCGAAAAATTATTGTCAAAAATGACTTTGAAGCGCTGTAACTTTAATATTCATCAAATAAACTAAACTCTTAGTGTTCAAAAAAGTTAGACAAGTCAATTTTCTATATAAAAATATTTTTTGCTGAATCTTTTACTGAAAATATATCCTGATTTCTGATTTGCCCTGAACCCTTCATTTCCCATTGGATTACATGGGAATGACGACTTTCAAAAATTCATCAAATTTATCATCAATTTTCGACCTATTGTAATTGAGGAAAAAATTGAGAAAATTTGGACGTATTGGAAATAAAGTTAAGTTAAGTTTCCATCAATATTATAAGTTATTTCATCGCCGGTTAAGTAAATAAAAATTCAAACGTAAAGAGGCTTTAACACGTAGTTCAATGGGGAAAAAGGTTGCCAAACTTATGGAGGGGAGTGTACATCATGTCACAAGGGTTATACCTGGGGGGGGGGGGTATATTTGGGTTATCAAAAGGAATGATATGATATCTTGATATATAACTATCCCGAAGGATAAACCCGATATACAATCCCGACTAGTGGATGACCTTTTTATTATACCATGATAATTTATAAACAAGTGACAAAATTACAAGAGACGAAACGCAATGCATCACCTTGCCTTTTACGCCAAAAAGTTTCTAATACCCTTGGCTCAAGCTTAGAAATAACGTAGAAACAAAACGTAGATCGAGTCAGACACGAAACGCTCTAAATCAAAAAATACATTTTCCAAACAAAGGTGAAAATAGAGAGTAAGTAGTGTCATGTCTTGTAATTCTATCATCAAGCTCTGACAACAAAGTCGAAGTTAACAGACGTCTGAGCAATAAGCTTAATGTGTTTGGTTCCGGCCCTGTAAGAAAAACTGCGTACCGTGTTGCAATTTAATGTGTTCAGTATTGTTGAATGTCTTGATTTTAATGTGTTGATGTTAAAAGACATATTTCCAAATGTCACATTTTTGTGGATTAGAAACAAATTCTGGTTTTGTATCCGATACAAAATCAGATATTGATTGTGAACTAATATAATTTAATAAAAAGGTCATGAATATATATGAGACAAAGCGCTTATTTACTGGTCGGGATTGAATATGGTTATCCTATGCAAAGAAGAGTTTTAGGGAGATAAGATCCAGTATCCTGAATTTGAGGTGTCCATATCCAGAAACTCCCTATCTCCCGCCATATCTCCCGCTCCAGCGCATATATATCCGCTTTAAATAGTTGAAAAAATGAAAACTAGAAAAAATTGTAAAAACTGTGAAAAACATTAGATTTTTTAGAAACTCCACTGGGTATAGGATAAAGCAGTTATGTATGGTCCGTTTGAATATGGGATTTATCCCTCGTGAGATATACACATCTACATTCGGTCCCTACGATCCCTCAGGTAGATATGCATATATTCCTCTGGATAAACCCCATATCCAAAACTCCCAGTACACAACCCTTATTTATTCCTCGTATCAATATGATATTCCCTCTGCCCCCCGTGCCCTCATATTGCCACTCGAAATAAATTAATATTAAATCTCTCCTAGTAAATAATCTCCAACGTATACGGGGTACAGGATTTGGCAAAAAATTCAATGTCATTTTATCAAAGTGCTATATACACCAAATATCACAGTGATCAGGGTATAAATCATTATGCAGAGAACTATGACAAAGAATTGGAAAATGAACTCGCGTCCTTTTACTCGAAGCTGGGTTGAAATCTTTTTAATGGCAACTTTGAATATTGTTCAGTCGCACTCAGAACAAACCTGTATTTTCGAAAAAATAATTTGGACCGAGCCCTCCTTTGTGTGAAGCTGCGACTGAGAGCCAGACAGTAAGGCCAATAGTAACGCCTCCCATCGTGCCTGCGACCATTGCCTTCCCCGTTAGTCGAGCCCAAAACATACACAGTGATACAGGGACCACTGCTGGACCAATCAATATCCCCATGAAGAGGTAAACCCAACTAAGGCTCACCTGCAATATAATGAATGCTCACAAGATGTTCGTCTACTACAGCTATTTTGGTTGTACGGGGTGTGCAGCTAAATTCTTTATAAGGCTCTTCCTGAGAAATTATTACCGCTCATTTCATCTTTGTTTTCACTGTGATGGGTTATCCTGTTTTGTCCGTTGTTAATTTTTAATTTTACATCCGAATCGGATGATCTTTCAAATTCAAGAGTAGTATTTTGAGGATGGAGCATTATTTTCTGAAGATTCAAAGCAATACAAACTATTCCAGAATTATTCTACCTTTAATGCACTTAGTCCATACGTTATCGGCAGAATCGCTACACAACACCAAACAATGCACCAGTTCTTCAAACTCGCAAGATAGGCGTAATAAGCCCGGAAATCCCCATGAACAGAACATCTGAACCCAGGTTTAACAGCTCTTCTGCATTCCATTCTCAATCTTTTAAAAAGATAGAAAAAAATCAAACAGCTTTGTTACAAAACATTAAGAATCTCTTTGGCTAATATATATATTATATATATAGAATATCACATCATTTTGAGTGATATCATTTTTATCGCCGAGTTGATATCTACGAGGCGATAAAATGATATCACGAGAAATTATGTGATATTGGGTTTATCCCATGATTACAATCACCTTGTGATGTTCTGATCCAATTTCCAGGACATTGGCAGACAATATAAACTAGAAATTAGAATATCAATTGAATATTTGAAACACTTTATTTTAACAATTAAAAGTAAGTAACATGATATATACTATATAGTTCGTCATAAATACCATTTTTTAATCGTTAGTTAGCAGCCTTTTAATCAAATTATATACACAATAGTAATTCAATACACCAATGAAACTTAAAGCTCAGGAATAAATAAACGGACCTATTTTCTCAAAAGGGAATAAAATATCTGACCTAATTTCCAACAATATTGTGGCGCTAAATGCAAATGTGATATCACACGGATATGCGTGAGATAAACGATATCACACGCATATGAGTTTGATAAACGATTTTCTGGAAAATATCACACGGATTTCAATAATATCAGAAATATCAATAGCTGTTATTGTACAGATAACACATTAATCGTGGGATAAATACAGAATATCACATCATTTTGAGTGATATCATTTTTATCACCGAGTTGATATCAAATATCAACACGAGTGAGCGAAGCGAATGAGTGTTGATATTTGCTATCCACGAGGCTATAAAATGATATCACGAGAAATTATGTGATATTGGGTTTATCCCGTGATTACAATCACCTTGTGATGTTCTGATCCAATATCCAGGACATTGACAGACAATATAAACTAGAAATTAGAATATCTGTACATGATCCAGTTCGTCATAAATACCATTTTTTAATCATTATTTAGCAGCCTTCTAATCAAATTATATACACAATCGTAATTCAATACACCAATGAAACTTAAAGAGAATAAATTAACGGACCTATTTTCTCAAAAGAGAATAAATTATCTGACCTAATTTCCAACAATATTGTGGCGCGAAATGCAAATGTGATACCACACGGATATGCGTGAGATAAACGATATCACACGCATATGAGTTTGATAAACGATTTTCTGGAAAATATCACACGGATTTCAATAATATCAGAAATATCAGTAGCTGTTATTGTACAGATAACACATTAATCGTGGGATAAATATATTTATTATATCACTATCTAGCTAGCGACAGTATGATTGGTCAAAACCGGGTCACATGTCGTGGGATATCTGGCGATATTCAATGGCAATGCTAATCAGATAAGACAACCGTGAGATATCTAGCGATATCCCACGCTCCCGGGAATTTTCAAAGAATTTGTTTTCGTATAGTGTAAATAATTTAGTTCAGTTTAAGTCAAAATGGCAGACGAACCGAGTAGATTCGTAAAAATAGCTGAAGACTAATGACTTAATAATATTAGGGTTGTTTAGCTAGACAGTGATATAATAAAACAAATATTCCACTCTATTTTCGGTGAATACCTGTAGCACTTTCACAAGGTGATATTCCACTTGCCCTTTCGGGCTTCGTGGAATATCACTTGTGAAAGATGTACAGGTATTCACCTCAATAGAGTGAAATATTTGTTCATTATCCCACGATTAATGTGTGATATTTTCCTGAAAATCGTTTATCAAACTCATATGCGTATGATATAGTTTATCTCACGCATATCCGTGTGATATCACATTTGCATTTCGCGCCACAATATTGTTGGAAATTAGGTCAGATAATTTATTCTCTTTTGAGAAAATAGGTCCATTAATTTATTCTCCTTAAGTTTCATTGGTGTATTGAATTACGATTGTGTATATAATTTGATTAGAAGGCTGCTAACTTACGATTAAAAAATGGTATTTATGACGAACTATATCATGTTATTTACTTTTAATTGTTAAAATAAAGTGTTTCAAATATTCAATTGATATTCTAATTTCTAGTTTATATTGTCTGCCAATGTCCTGGAAATTGGATCAGAACATCACAAGGTGATTGTAATCATGGGATAAACCCAATATCACATAATTTCTCGTGATATCATTTTATCGCCTCGTAGATATCAAATATCAACACTCATTCGCTTCGCTCACTCGTGTTGATATTTGCTATCAACTCGGCGATAAAAATGATATCACTCAAAATGATGTGATATTCTGTATATATTATTTTCAAAATAATATCAAAATTGTGTTTCAGGGCAATCATGATTCAAATATACTTAAAAAATGTAGAAGTGTATAATCACACGTTTAATTAATCATTTAACAAACTTAGAGATTTATTCATTTTAAAGATTCAACATCTACATTATATTACATTATTTGATTATTTTTAAAATCCGCTCACTTGGTTTAGTGTTAAGCATCGTGTTTAAAATGTTAATAAGAAAACAGAGAATATTGATACTCACATATCGTCGCGGTGACAATCAATACAGTATGTCATACTTTGACACCGACATTTATCTCTGTTTAACCTTGACATTCGTCCTTTTGCTTTACCACATAGTATACAACTATTGGCATCTGTCACCAAACGATGTGGCTGTAAAATACAATATACCCGTTTGTTTGAGTATTTTCGAGCACGTCACATGGGCAGACAATTAATGAGACTTAAAATATTCTGCCTTAAAACTTCAAATCATTTCGACATCAGGATATTAAAACATAGTAATTGGCCATTTAGTTCAATCTTAATAACAGATTTTTTATGAAAAGTTACGAATTCACAATGAAGCAACGGTGTATCTTTCGGAATTAATATTCTATAATGAAGTGTATTTTTAAAATTTAGATCTTAAATAAAATAGGATTAGCGTCAGAATGAAATGGATTACATACGCTATTATGATTTAATAAATGAGAAATATAGGAACAGTATATCCTCTTTTATGATCAACATTGTGATCAATCGTGCTGAGTTTTGGCTCATATGGACAAACATCATTTCATCCGAATATTATAGTAATACTAACTGGCCATTTAATTCAATTTTTTATAATGTTTTTTCTGAAAGGTTACGAATTCACATATCTTTTGGAATCAATATTTTATAATGAAGTGTATTTTCGAAATTTAAATCTTAAATAAAATAAGATTAGTGTCAGAATGAACGAGATTACATATAACAATTAAACAAAGGAATGAAGGAAGTTTTACTCTTTTATGATCAATATGTGATCTTGCTGAGTCTTGGCCCATATGGACAAACTAGTGATAAAAACAAATGCTAAGTTAAACTTAATTGACATTAAAAGTTAATCTTGCAGCAGAATTTGAAAGACATATATGTTATTGCAAACAATTTTAGACGGTTATATCTTGGATTATAACCCTCAGGCTGACCACGATAGATAGGCATATTTTTAAGATCCATTCATTATCCGAAGGAAATGTATGATAATTAAGTCAATTATATATAATCCGGCAGATGTGTATATCTACAATAAATGTATTCTTTTAGCATCTATAAGAGAAAGCGTGGCCGAGACTTTTGCCAGTGATGTGAACCAACTTTCATCATTTCCAGTATTTTTGCAGTGGCCCAAATTGGCATTCTTATTTCGTTTAGGGTAAATGACAAAAACCCGGGTAAGGCGTTTTACAAAAACCGATCGGTTTTACACGACACTCCAAAAGCGCCTAACGATATAAGGCGTTTTTCAAAGACTAGGGTTCTAGAAGTTTTGAAAAAGCGCTTTTGTAAAGCGGCAATCGTAATCACAACTATTTTTCAAACGGGTTAAAGGCGCGCATGGTGTAATTCCAGCAAACCTTTTTTACTTAATATAATTGTTCAAGGATTTTTTCCATTCATATACCTATTTGTCATCTTCAATTGCTAATTCATATGAATTTTTTATTGTTACAGGGGGCACCATACACCTTTCAGTGGTGTCTCGCTCCCTTCATCAATTTTGTATTGTTGTATGCATATATATTTAATAAATTGAAATTGAATTTAATAAATTGAAATTGAACTGAATTAGGTATTGCGTGCGGTGCATCTGCATGAACCCCACTTGAGAAATCCTGGCTACAGGCCTGGCTAATCAAACTTATAATTTCAAGACACATCTAAAACAGGTAAAACTATGTTAACTTACCTCAGCACTTACTACTACGGAGTCTAACTTATATTATGCATACTTCACTAAACTTTACAGGGGTCGAAGCTCACAATTTGTACCTGGTAGCTATTTCGCTACTTGCCAAAAAACTTTTGGGCCCCTAAAACCCAAAAGTGGGCCTAAATTTTGAAATTTTAAGGCCTTATTTAAGAGACTAATATTTCTTTACTTTAAGAATATATTTTTATTGCATCGAGTACACCAGTCCTAGTCACGTTACAGTAGAATGTAAATGTCATCCATGTGTCATGAACTCCTCTTTTGAAACTATTCTTCAACAATTCCTAGGTGTATGGTGTCCTATAATTTAGTTATTGCATTGAGGTCCTGATTGCCAGTGATGATACCATAAGGACGTAGATGATATGTAAAAAAGTCTAAATGATACATCATTCTGGGTTTAACGTAATGGAATGAAATTGAATAGTCGCTGATGTTTCCGGGACCCTGGAATGAAATAATTCATATTAATCATTAATATACAAAACAAAAACACATTTGAAACATGGTTATAAGGTTGAATAGCCAAATAGATGTAATGTATTCTCATCCTAAATAACACCAACATTATGATCCATTATATGCACTACAACTAATACAATAATCAGACTGACTGATATAACACTTCCTTTCTTCAATAAAATGGGCTTGAGAAAATTGTCCATGTAGAAAAGGAACAAGTAGTTTGTCAAATAATAATTATAATCATTCTTACATACGTAGCCCCATTGGCATCATACTTATGGTACCAATCAGGATATCTTCCCTCAAGATGGGCAGAAATATCAAAACAATGGAATCGACTTCGTCCCATAGCGTCCCTCGAATCTCCCACAGCAACCCCTAGGTATTCCATGCACTTCCCCATCTCAACGTCCTCTGCCCCTCCATCCTTACGACAGTGTTCAGGATCTTGTAATCCCTTCTCAGCTAATCGTCTCAAGGCCTCATGAGATAAAACATAACCGCCGCCACCACTCATATATCCCTGTTTTACGTTTGCTTTGAACTTATGTCCAAAGTATATGGGATCCGTTCGTTTATAACTTAATAGCAAATATCGCAGATTTTCCACAATGACGAACGTATCATCGTCTGCTTTAAGGAACCAATCAGCTTGATCTTTGTAGTTATCCCAGCAATATTTAAATGCATTCATTGTCTTAGCAGTAAGATGATCCCGACCTTCAGTTGTGTTAATGCCCACTGTAGGGAAATCTTTATTTGTCTCTGAACTTATGAAGATAATGATATTGCAACGTTTAGCCCAGGTGGCACGGACATGTTGAGCTTTAGTTTTCAAGTTTTTTGGAGAGGTCATGACCCAACAGAGTACCCGCACTGTTTTATAAAGGGTGTCTGCTGAACTAGTATTATCTGAAACAAACGCAGATGCATATACAATCGGACAAGATGTAAAATAAGACTCGTCCACCTGCTACAGCGAAAACCCCAATAGATGGTACTTAGTGTAATATACCATTGGAAAGGTCATTCAAAACTGGATTTGACCTCAGCGATACGTCAAAAAGTGTAAATACGCTAAATTGTGTCATACGTGAAAAAGATTTAAGTACCAGACTCTTTATGTGTGCTTTGTCTGAGTGTGTACATCACACGTGGATTATAATCTAGTATTAAACCCCGACCTAAACGGTCTTGGTTTAAGAATTCATCTGTGATATTTTAACAAGGCATTGAGTAAAACAATATATTTTTAAACTAGCACTGAATAGGATTATATTGCAAATCTCATTGATATATTTCGAGCACCAGCTACCCTTTTGTAAAATACATACCAGTGTTGGAGAAAGTATGACATATAACCAATGGCTAGTTATGATCTGATTCTATGATATATAATATGTATATCTTATATAACTATGATATATCTTATAAAAACTTTACATTTACAGTTGTTCTCGGTTCAATGGCATGTACTATCTCAAGTTACTCAATATTCAAAATACGGTACGAGCCTTCAAGTACCATCATTTGATCAAGACTTGAGTGTATACAAATTATAGACTGTGATCTGTTAACAATGATGGTTGAGTAGTAGAGGCCGATCCCACGCTGCATAAGAATACGAGGCTTTTCCAAACAGAACAGAGGAAAATTAGTGAGAAATTCAAGAATCCAATTCTATAATGATTTACATTACCTCGATGATTATGCCCATCCTCATATCCTAACGTTTTGTCTTGTCTTTTGATGGAATCAACTCCTCTGTAAAATTGTGTTTGTGAGCGTGTTGCTTGATATTCCGAGCTGTTGCCAAATAAAAGTGTAATGCGAACGGATTCCTTATCCATATGCAATGTTACAATATTATTCACAAAACTGTGAATGAAAAATCCCAACATAAGCCCTACGATCAGAAACAAGAATCGATGACGGTGCTTGATCATCTTAAACAACAGTTAATTTAATCGTAAATACGCAGCTAGCATGACGGGATCGAACCGTTTGTGTCAACCTCCAAGAACACTGTACTTCGTCTCTGAATGTGGGTACAGCTACCATTACATAAGTGTGTATGAACAGGATCGGGTTAAGCCGACAACACACATTTAAAATAGCAGTACAAACATTCGAGTATTATTCAAAATGATTGCCTGTTCGCGCTTTTAAGCTGTTTAATTGGGATTAAATTTAAGAGGGAATAAATACAATATCTAAACTGATCAAATCTCGTTGTTTGTTCATCCCAGATGTGAATTGCATTGAACATTTATTTTAATTAATTACCTACTTTGATCTAACGACGTTTGCGATGTAATCAGTGGCGCCCGAGGTGTGGAAAAGGATGAATATAAAATCTGTTATCCCATGGTTGCAATGATATAGATCGAATATCACATGAAGATATATTTGATATGTGAATCAAGATATCATATTTTAGCAAAACATTCTCAAACCATCAAATATCACTTTTTTCACGTCTTAGAAGTGATATTCAATGGATTGAAAGTGATATTCGATGGTTACGTATTTTTCAAAAATATTTTTTTATTACATTTTTAATTATTTTAAATTATTTTTCTATTTTTCACAATTTTTGAGAACTTGTAGATGATTTTGAAAAAATTGGTCAATTTGTAGATGCATGTTGAGAAGACATTTTTTACCTTTTTTTAAAACTTTTTTTACCTTTAAAAAGGTCATTGAAGGTCAAACCTAAAGTCAGATTTGACATTCTTAATTAGAACTTGAAGATGAAGCAAGTTGAGAAAGACCTTTTTGAAATTGGGAAGGTCATTGAAGGTGAAATCTCAATTTAATGTCATATTTCAACATCTGAGAACTTATATGATTTTGAAAAAAATCGGTCAATTTGAAGCAAGTTAAAAAAAAGTATTGTTAAGTAATTGAAAGTTGTAAGATTTGTTACAGACGCCGATCGCCAACCGCCAACCACCAACCGCCGATCACCGTCACAAGGTCCTGGTCCTTTGGCAAAGCATTAGCAAATATTAAGTAGACCAAAGCTATAAGCATATTTTCAAAATCATGCAGTTTTTCAGCATTCTGAGCACTTTCGCATGAATTTTTGCCAAAAATGTCAGCTCCGCTTGGCAAAAGCTGCGCCCTTGGTAAAACCGCTCCCCCGGTAAATCCTGGCTACGGGCCTGCATTCTGTACAAAAGCCACAGTGGCGGGCCGAACAGAACATTTCAGCCCAGTGATGTTCCCCGGGAAATGGGATATCGTTCAGTTCGTATTATTGTCATTCAATGGGAGTCAGTTTTTCTTTACCCTTTGCATTCGTTTGACTTCACTTCTTAAAAGAGAGCTTCGTCTTCACTCTTTCAAACTAAAATAAACCTGTGAACTCACCGCGCCAATCAGTGTTCGTCGGCCAAATTTGACCGACGTTCTATATATGGTCAGTCCTTCTGACGTCGTCGTTGAGCCCGGAATTGACCAATGACACGCGCATATTTAATTAGAACGCATTTGGAGTATGTTTCTTCAAGCTCGCTGATTGGTGGAAGAAAGGTCAGCGCGTACATAAGTGATTTATTACCCAAACTGTCACCGGTGCCCGTCGTGGGGGTGGGGCTACTAAACTGTAATATAGTCTCTACTAGGCAGAGTGTAGTTTAACTAGACTCTGCACGCAGGGTAGTTTTTCTTATTTCAGTCCTGACAATTTATTTTATAATTCATATTCAAAAAAAATATGAATTATAAAATAAATTGTCATGCTCCATGCAGTGGTTACGTCAATTGTGGTTAACCTTTACGTCTTTTAAGAGTTAAAAGCTATTAGTGGAAACGGCATCAGCGTATCGCAAATCAATATAAAATCAAAACATGTAATTTTTATTATTTCATCACGTTAAACCTATTTAATGTCACAATATGCTTACTTGATATATTTACACATGCTTTCATCATGTCCGCTATGGGGGATTGACGACGGGTATCAGATATTATTGCAGTTCATATTTGTAACATGGCTTATACAAGAATAACTACGTAATTTATAATCCAGACCACATACAGTATACATTAGGCCCCTCCCTAAACGTTGACATCTTCTCTTTGTTTGCAATTTTAAAGTGTTAAATAAAAGTATTTTTCTACACTTAGCTTGGTGAATACTGTAGAATACTGAGTTCCTAAACTGCATTACATATTAGTGATAAAAAATAGAAACCTACTGTGGATGCCTTTTTGAATTTACGATTTCAAATGGAAATCACACCAATCTTATTCAAAACTGTCATTATGTCATTTTCTTTCCTGTTACGTTTACGGCTTATGTATGTACATGTATGTTAAGATTATACAAGATATATGATAAAATGCTTGAAAAGGTATTATGATAAAATGATATCTACAAGGTTTTGATCTTACCTTCAAATGAATTTGATATATATCATATACTAGTATAGATGCCACTGCAATGACTTCTGCCGATCCCGTAGAGATGACAGCAAAAATGATAATGACGATGATTAGGAACTCTCCGAGCTTCCCGAACAGCCTCTGGGCAACTATAACAGGCACGAGACCTAAATAGAAGTTCAACAAAGATGAGTCAATGTGGAATCCAAAGGGTATTGCCAGGTGTGAGAGAGGCGAGGCCAGAATAAAATAAAACAAAATGAAATAGTGCCACTGGGAATAAACCCATATTTAATCCATACTAGGAAATAAACTTTACTATCCCATGATAGTATTCATTACTCTATTCATAGAATCATTAGTTCAAAATCTATAATTTTTGTCTCTAGCAAAACCAGACTTTATATTTAGTTTACAAAATATGACTCAACTTAATGACATTTTAGAAATATAAACATTTTATTGTAATGTGGCGAATTTTACAATCCGATATTATTGTAACCTTACTTTTTCAAAGCTGAACACCCATATATATGATCAAAGTTAATTATTAAACAATAAAGCCAATTGCAATCTTGTCACAGTATAACATCAACATTCGAATTCGCTTGTTCAAACAAAATTCGCTTGTTGTAAAGATTTCTATGACGTTGACTGTCTTTGTCAGAGCATGATATGAAATTACAATGTGCCTATATATAGGCGTTCATAGCTGTAATAAATACTTCTTACGTTTCAAAGTCAATATTTTCAATAATTTTGTTTGGAAAATATCGTTTCTCACATATCATTAAAGCACGCTATATCGACATAACTGAATGAAATAGAAAGGTTTGTTGGCAGAAATTATATGTTATATATGTTATATCCACGCTGTGTTTTCTATTCAAAGTAAGTTGTCTACCTAATGGTTGTCATAAAAGAGTGTTGCTGTGAACAACTGAATTATATTTAAACTAATTTATACCAAGGGAAAGATCAATACCCGGTGATTTCAGCGGGAAGTGGCGTTTCGTTCAGTGGATGAGCTGCGCGCGCACGCATAAATGTGATTATCCAATATAATTAGGGGAGGGCTATTTGAAATAGTTTTTGGTCTCAGGCGCGACCCAGGGCTGTTGTCTTAAGGACATTTCGTTGAAAATGAGCCATTCGGCTGATAATTGGTAAGAGTTTGCGATCTTACAATGTATAACTGTTACTCAGACACATATTTTGACACGATGTTGGAAATAAGCTTTGAACCGAGAGATATTCACGATTGATATGCACATTTTTGATTGTGCCATTGCTTTTCCATTGCACAATCCATGTATTGATAGAAGAAACATTAATAATGCAGATTGGTTTACCTTCAATACATGGCAGACACTACATATCGGTCTATTAATACCAGTTTGTGCCTAAATAGTTTTATATTTCCATCCACGGCCTAGAGCCTGGGTGTGTTTGTCTCTTATGTGTATGCTTGTGCATGGACTTCTAATCACTAGCAGAATTTAACATGATGCAAACTCGACATTATAACTCATGCTGTAACATTTTGACTTCGCTGGAAAACAATAGGAATTATTTTTCTTGCCAATCAATCATGAATCACAATCAAAATTTCAGAATGATCAATCAGGCAATGGTCCAAATCAAGTTATAACATTATATGATATTCAGCAAGAAGTCCGGTAGAAATACAGAATATTCAAACATCAAAGCTGAAAGTTAAAAGCTAATCTGTCAATTTTCTGTCTGCAAAAGAGCGTTTACATTTGACACAATAACAGACTGAGGCTTTGAAATCTAGGATTCCCCAAGAAAATATGACGTCATACTAATTAGCATAAGGATTTCCCTATTGGTCTGGGTCGAGCCTTGTTCGAAAACACAATCCATAAATACATGCTAATTTCTAAGGAGATAGGAAGTGTATAACGTGTTTATCGATTTTGTTTAAAGATTTAATCAATTATCAAATTGTTTAAGTGGATAAAGTGGTCACACTTGCTTCAATTCATAGCGAAATCGACGGATAGAAACTGACCGAATTCCCGATATCCTACCCCGTATTCCTGTAGGCTATAAGCACAGTGACCTACAGAGGGCGCTATCACAAACAAGTACTGCACAAACCGATAAATTCCCGGGTATTGTAACGCCCTTGATTTATACCCCATCCCTTACTTAAAAATGAATACATAGTGCAAATGTGATCAGGTGCAGCAATATCGGTCCCACTTATTTCACTTATTCCACTCTATCCTAGATGGATTAACTTTGTGAAGTGATATCCACAAACCTTATTTTCTAGCCGAGTAACGATATCGGGCCTTATCAAGAATGCTATCGCAATCAAATGATGACATTTCAATATAAAACAAATTAATACAAGATTCAAACACGTTAAATTAAATACAACTCTCACCTTCATTAACTTGGTCAGCACACAATAAGCTCTCCCCCGCATGGGTTTCCATGGCGATGTAACTAAGGCCCATTGTTGTGGCAAATACGAATGGAATTGCAAACCAAACTAATCCTCCTATGAGAAATCCCCAAACACCTTGTTTAGGCTTTGCTGCTACGCCACTTTGCCAAAAGCTTTGGTCAACAAATACTGCTCCAAAGTTCCCTGGTAAAGTTGTTAAATAAAACAAAAAACTTTCTTTAATTCCATATCATGATTAAGTTGAATTTATTCATATAATTCTAGGCCACCATTCTTGATCACATATATCTGAAGGCTGAAAACGAGGTGGAAGGAATGTAATCTTTACGTCGAGAGGAGGTTTAATGTTAGCTGCGTCGTCAATATAGAATGAAGTACACAATTTATTTCACAATTCCCTTAATATTAAGTATTTATATAAGTGGTAATAAAATGGTAGCCCGAATCCTTCATTAATTAGCTCCTTAGAACACAGAGCAACACCTCAGACGTTTTAACTGCAATGCTAGTGTTGTTACGCTACAAAACAAAATTTAACAAAATGAAACTGTCAATCTCCTAAATATTATTTTGAAATAACGGCAAAATGTTATTAATTTGCTGCAAAATACAATACACAAACTAAGGTTTGAGAAAATCAAAAATATAGTTTCACTTCTGCACGTATTTCAGGAACAGTAAAAATCGTTTCGATTGATTTAGATTTAAAAAATCATTCCTTACAAATACAAGAAATTGTTTGAAATGTAGGACAGACAAAAGTAAAAAAAATATGCACTCGTTTCGCATTTGCACGAATTTCAGTAACAATGAGAATTTGTTTTAATTGATTAGAAGTCAAAAATACATTCTTGAAAGAGCACTGCAAACTTATTCATAATACAAATAAAAGAACTTTGAAAGTCGCGCACCACCATTTCCTAGCTCCAGAACATATTTCTCCACTCGCGCACAGAAATCCGTACTAGCGAACCACCACGCATGTACAAGTGGTTCGCGAGCTAGGATCTCTGTGTGCGAGTAGAGAAATATGTTCGGGAGCTAGAAAATGGTGGTGCGCGACTAACGATTTCACGTTCGCGCGGTGTGAGAATCGTGGTTCGAATGCAAGGAACGTGGTTCGCGAGGTCAGAAGTGATGTTCGCATTGGTGGAAGTCTAGAAAGCCTATAGGTGTTTGCCTTTGAATACATTAACGTTTCAACTACGTAATGTACGTGTGCATGCTGATTTGATTGTAATCTTACCAATTATATTAATGATACCAAACATAAAACCTTTACTCGACACCATAGTCAAATAACTGTTGTCCAGATTTTCAGGAGGTCCTATTTTGCAGGATAATAGTCTATGTAGTGACGCTATAGAGCCTATTAATGAAAAAGATATGAGTTAAAAGTTTAATACATTCTATGCGATTATTTCTTAGTGCAAATAATTGTTAAAATGGCAACCCTGTATTTTCCTCATATCTTTGTCATGTGAGGAAATAACTCCCTGATATTTTACACATCTGCACACATTGTTTATGACCCAACTGCAATCCTGAGTAGGTATGGCCTGAATGACAATTATTTTTGAGGTCTGCAATCATTTTTGTACACTTTATCTTTGGCATATCCCATAGGTAGAAGTCAGGTATGAACATTTTAGACGGCGGGTGGAGGTTTGCCCGCAGCGCAATATTGTCCTTTGGAGCATAATATTTAAGGTGCTGTAACATTGTAACTATCAATCCGATGGTCATGAAATATTGTAGGCTGGTAGGAAATTGAATGATGTCCACATGATGTACCAAATATCAGGAAGTACTTTTCTAAAATGACAAAGGCATGAAGAAAATAGCAGCAAGGTTGTCGTTTTATTTGACCACCCTGTACTTGTATTATCGAATAGCTGTACTAGCGCATTTCAGATTTCATAGAAGAAACAATCAACCATTCAGACTTACCTAATGGGTTATCGGGGTGAGGGTCTGGATTGTTGTAAACTCTACTCATAAAAAGTAACATTACTACAAAAGTAACGACATTGTTGAAATAGGAGATATAAAACGTAGCACCGAGACCGCCAATGAACGTATTGATACAAATGACTGAAGTCATCATGGTAACTGCAAACGGAACACTAATTTCTTTGACGAGCGTTGTTAACACAACAGCACCTCCTAAACAAAAAATACATTATCTGATTTATAGTTGCCATTAAATATGATCGTACTACTTTATTCATTAGAAGATTACCGATGAACAGGACATTGAAACCTAGCGCCAATGAACTAATGAGAGCTCACTGCGTGTATTGCTCAGTATTCCAATTAGAGATCCCTTACCATGTTTAAACGTAAACCATGATACCATGGTTTACCATGGTGTATCATGATCGGCAATGAAATTACCATCAACTCTGACCATGGTGGCAATATTGTTTTTTGGTCATGGTATACCATGGTATATATAGGTTATTTACTGGGAGGGATTGAAAAGGGTTTTATTCCGAGAGACAATATGATATTGACCAAAGGGTAATATGATATTGACCGAGGGAGCGCAGCGACCGAGTGTCAATATCATATAGCCCAAGGTCAATATCATATTTTCCGAGGAATAAAACCCATATTCAATCCCGACCAGAAATAACCTATTTATTCCATAATACACCCCTCTAAAATGCTACATTTGGAAAATGCAGATAACTGGGAAAAAATAACCGGGAAACCGAAAATAGGTTAATATGCTCCAATACGATTTTTCCCGGGGACAATACGATTTTTCATGTAATACGCTCCAATACGATTTTTTCCCAGGGACAATACGATTTTTTCATGTAATACGATTCAATACGATTTTTATTCCTTCATATTTCCCTGGGAAAACAGTAGTATTATGGAATAAATCATGTTATTTCATGTTCAAAGTTAACCATCAAATACCATGGTATTATCATGGTATTTCATTGCCATGTTCCTGACCATCATTTACCATGGTATCACAATGGTATATCATGGTTGATTGCATTTCATGGCATTTCATTGTAAGATGTGACAATCAAATACCATGGTATTTCAATGCCATGTTCCTGACCATAATTTACCATGGAATATCATGGTTGATGGCATTTCATTATAAGATATGACAATCAAATACCATGGTCATACCATGGTATTTCATTGCCATGTTCCTGACCATCATTTACCATGGTATTACCATTGTATATCATGGTTGATGGTATTTCATTGTATGATATGACAATCAAATGCCATGGTCATACCATGATATTTATTTTATTGTACCTGACCATCATTTACCAGGGTATAACCATGGAATATCATGGTTGATGACATTTCATGGCATTTCATTGTACCGTGTGACAATCAATTACCATGGTCATACCATGTCATTTCATTGCCAAAATCATAACTCTCATTTATCATGGTTTTCTCATTGCATTTCATGGTTGGTGGTATTTCATGGCATTTTATTGTCAAACCTGACCATCAAATACTATGGTCATACCGTGGTATTTCATTGCCATAATCATAACTCATAATCATTTATCATGGCATATCATTTCAATCCGTGGTTGATTGTATTTCATAACATTTTATTGTCAAACCTGACCATCAAATAACATTTTTTTGTTAAACAAATATGCTTTACTTTTTTTGACTGTTGTCGTTAAAATAGGAGATCAACTTAATAATTTGTAAGTCCAACATCCAGTCTTCGATTAATCATCTTGACTGTACTTCATTGCATTTGATGGTTTGCAACCATGAAATACTGCCAAATGGCAGATACTGCCAAATGGCAGTATTTTTAAATGCAAAATTCTAAGTATACTGACCATGGTATACCACGGTAGATCATGATAATTAGATGCCTCCATTGCATATCATGGTTGAATGTCTAGACCATGATATAACTGCATTTGATGGTATTTGACCATGAAATACTGTTAAACGGTGGTATTTTTTAGATACAAAATTACATGTTAATTGACCATGGTATACCATGGTATATCATGATCGTTAAATGACACCATTGCATTTCATGGTCAGGAGCGCTTTTTAACATTGAAAAATACTGCCGTTTCGCAGTATTTCATGGTCAGAAACCATCAAATGCAATGATATCATGGTCAAAAACCCATCAAATGCAATGATATCATGGTCGAGAACTGCAATGAAATGCAATGGTGCCATTTAACGATCATGATCGGCCATGGTATTACCATGGTATTTCATTGCATTCCATGGTCCATTTCAACATGGTAGTGTTCATCTTCTGTTAGTAGTTGATGGTTTTTAGTATTTCGTATTTTGATATGAAAACACAATTTAAGTATCCCAGCCAGAAATTTTTATTATCTATCAAAACATTTGAATCATAAGTTGTTCAAGATAATTTGAAGAGTTTGGGCGAGAAATACAGTACTGAAAAAACATGCAATTTATTCAACATACCGAGCATTAGCATGGCGGTCACGATGATATTTGTAATCAAGGCGAAGATGCAAAATACAATATGGGTCCTCCCACCAAATCTTGCCTTGATGACCTGTAAGAAAGTCTTTGCTCCAGGTGCCCTGGTCTTCAACTGTACTGTTATCATCGAGAACATAAAAATCTGAATAGTCGCCCCCGCGGCATACCAGAATGGACCACTAATGCCATACTGAAATAAAAACAGAAGTATTTCAAGAGGCTGATGCTTATGTCAAGCATTCTACTAATACCTATATTTTAGCATTAATAATCGAGCGTTCGACAACATATCTTGGATTTGTCAAGATTGAAATTGGGAGCCTCGACTATGGCTTGTACAGTCCCATCACAATGTCACAAGTGCGAAAAGAGGCCTTTTTAAAAGGGCCTTTCAGGTTCTGCAACTTTTTGTTCACATTCACTATGTAAGGTTGACCTCTAGATGTTCATCATGACCATGATTATATCATAATCACGATTAGTTACCTTGCTAGCCACTGCCGAAGATTTCAAGAGCGTCGCCGTCCAAGTCCATTGCGACACTATAGTGGTGGCTGTAAGACCACTGGATACCCTTCCACCAGCGTCAAATGATATGTCCAGATTTTCCTTCAATGTAATGACATAGTTACAGCGTAACCGTTTATTCTGTATCATAACTACACAATGAATAATAAGCAGACAAGAATTTATAACTCTAGCTCTCACTGAAAAATTCAGCTAGAGTTATGGAAAATAGAGCGATCTCCCAAAGCGGGTTCATTTTAGATCTCTCATTTTGCAAACCCAGTGATAAATTATTTTGTGATACATATCGTTCCTCCACTTTTATAAGGTTCTATCTTCCAAAAAGGACCAAATGCATATATGTGAAAGTGGATTCCTCCTAAAGTCGCTATGCTGTTTTCATATACGAATGTTTAAAAGCTGTATCTCCAACAAAAATATTATGTTTTCAAAGGCAATAAGGTTTGATGAACATAATTACTGCTACATGATTCTACAAGTTATTGAATGATTTGAAGTGCAATACAGGATATATTCTGTTCGAGAAATTCCGTATTGGAACGAGACGAAGTCCAGTGCCAATACATAATATCGAGACAGAATATATCCTGTATTGCACTTCAAATCATTCAATAACGTTTTTATCGTTTATTTTTGTATTGCTACTGAGATTGTCTCCTCCGTACCAATATTTTCTGTATTGCGACGGAGATGATCAACGGGGACAATCTCAGTAGCAATACAGATTGGTACAGCACAAGAACTGACCAATCAGAGGGCTTCATTTTACAGATCATACGATACTATTTCTTATTTCATACTTGAGGTTAAACCTTTTTGTCTGTTTAAACTCCAACTTATTCTTTAATACTGTATAATCATACTTCATGGAGCAGCTCATACAATAATATAAGTTATTCAATGATTTGAAGTGCAATACAGGATATATTCTGTTCGAGAAATTCCGTATTGGAACGAGACGAAGTCGGTCATTTCTTTCAACATGAGTACTTTCTGGGAATAAATACAGTGGTTTTTATTCAAACAATATGTTTTCTTTCAAGTGTATAGCATCATTTTTGCTTCTTTATTCATTAAATTCAAATATATTCGATATATGAAACATTTATATTCGCTAAATCATTTTTCCATTCGGTAAAAACGTTTATATGTTTGTTACAGCAAATTAAGTTTTCAAAATAGCCAATCACTTAATACTATGTGCATTAAATTACATATTTCATTCGTTAAATGATATTTTTTGCGTAAATTGTTATGGTATTCCTTAAGAGTAACACATTATATGCACAATATTGAATTTCTATTTGAACCCTACCGAAATAAGTTTGCCTATATTTTCCAAATGGTTTATTTTTCTATGACATAGTTAATGCATTTTACCGAAAGCTAATTTGCTATTTACCGAATGCAATAAAGTAATATTCGATAACTTGCGTTGTTGTTCGATATTTTGTCACGTGACTTCGAGATTTGCAAAATGGCCACGCAGCTATTCTACATCGTACAAATATATCACGTGGCTGAAAGTCTCGTAAATTATCGAAAAATAACGAAATTTATCGAATGTGGCATTCGGTATTTACCGAATATAAATAATTTAAATACCGAATGTACAAATAATTAATTGAATTATACGTGCGTTAAGGAAAACAAATTGATTCGCTGCATCACACAAATACATGTATCAATATCAAATGTGAATTGAGAGGTTAAGCTTTGCATATATAATCGAAACTGAACCTGTACGTATCACTCGACCATATACAAATTCATGTAGCCTTCTCATATAAATAGCCGTTCAAATCCAGTGTTTGTTTAGACTACACCATAGCGTGTAATGATTCTATAGTATGTCATTGATGCGGTTTTATAGCTGGTTTTCTAATACATATTTTAAACGAGCTCGTTTCGTAAGATTTTTGGCGCTAAATCATGCATGACATACATCATCGTGTTCAGCAAGAATTCAACTGTGCATCGAAATCAAAATTGACAGCATAGTGTTCAATAGACACGAGTAAAATGGTTCCCGTTGACCCAAACGTCAAATTTCAAAATCTCCCGTTCTAAACCCGAAACTCTGAAGCTGAAAGAGTATCTGAAGTAGACTAAGCGCGCATAAAACTATGAGCGCTCGATACATTCCTTTGTTAATTTTTGTACTTTGCGTTCACGGTTACGTTGTGAAAAACATCGTTAGCTTAACCTCTCCAATGTCAATACAAAGAACGAGTGAAACTATTTAGCGAATATAAATTGTATAGATTATTACATTTGATAAAATAAAAAACACATTCGATAGATTGGGTAAAGGTTTGGTAAATTGTTTGTTTTATTGGGTATTTATGGAATATTAATGTACCGAATAAAGAAGCAGTTTAAACACCATACAAGTGAAGTACCCATGATAATAAAAATATAAATCAAACAATTCGAAAAATTATGAATAGGGACCCCATGTCAACCTTTTTTCAAAATATTGAACCTATTTACTCAAAAGAGGATCTGACTGAGGATATGACTGTCTAAAATCACTTGCCATACTGCACGTGGTCTTTTGTAAACAAGCTACAGTATATGAACTCATTTATCATGTTTGATCTGGAAAGATAAAACGTTAATCTTCACAATAGTGTGGTTTGCTTCTTAAAAGCTTCGTCTCATTGACTAGCCCTGTATTCCAGGGTAATAGAAGGTTCTATATTCACAAAACTAAAGGTTCTTAAAAATTCTAAAACTTCTAAAATGTTATGCATCATCACATTGCATCATGAACAGTTGTGTTCGGTTGAGTTCGACAACTCTTAAATGAAAATGGGTCGAACGAGAAATGTTTGCTGTCACTATTAAAGTTAAATTAGTCATTTTGATCTACATATGACATTACATATTAATTGACCGCAAACCTTGAAACTCGGGTAGCAACTGTCAGCTATCGGGTTTATTGTAATTTGATTTTTTAGATACAATAAGTGCCTGCCATGCATTCCAATGGCTACAAGCTATCGAGTCAAACCAAGTCGCCTAACTTAAGAACGTGTAAACATAATCTGCCTATTTAACAGCTTTTAACACTAACTACACCCAAGTCACATTTGTGGTATGGCAGCCGTACGTCAACCGCAAATCAATTAAATCAGTGAATTTCTACGGAGAATATAGGCCGTAAACTACAGTCGCCTTGCGGTCTCCGTACGGTGTATCCAGTTTTTACAGGCCGCAAGGTAGCCGTAGATGTTATAACTCGGAGTTATACTTAATTTTTTGTTCATTTCTGCGGTCCTCGTAGAAATCAACAGGCCGTTGCCAGATCTCAGAACGGTCCCATGGAGGTCGCTCGTCGGGCTTAGTACGTTGGCTTGCCTCTGCCGTAGTGCTTTAATGGGTTATATCAGACTGGTTATATATATACCTTTGGAAAAAAAATTTCGGGTCAGGTTTGCTCTAATATTTTTGCAGTGAACACAATGCAATAGGTATACTGCATGTACTAATGTAAATAAAATAAAATGCAATCGCTGAAGGAAATGTGACTGCAAATTAAAAAGTATCCTATCGCAGAAATTCTACGGGGAGTATAGGAATGTTACTGATTGCAGAAATGATAGACCGTACGGTCACCGTAGGAAATGTGACAGGGATGTAAGTTAACTCGCTAAAGTTAGTTCGTTATTTCAACTTCAAAGCGACGGTTTTAAATTAACGCAAAACAGGTTGCCTTCGAGATTTCTAGCTTCTAGGTAAAATACAACTTAGTGAAATAACAAACTACCATTAAAAGCTTTCAATGAGCTAGTTACGCTCATTGAAACGAAGACTCAATGAGTTTCGAGTTACATTTCCAGAGAACAATAACAGAAGAACAAAATATAAAATCTTGGTGGAACAATCTGATATCTGACATGTTAAAAAGAAATCACGCAATGCGAAAAGTAAGAATAACCGAGTAAGCCCGAAGTGACTTAGAGGTTCAATAAACATTGCCTCTTTTGAAAGATTACAGTTACATTGATCAGGATAAGACATTTTATATTTCGTTATAAATCTTATAAAATGATTTACTTCAACGAATCTCCGTTAACTTGTGATTGAAACTTTTTTGCCTGTGAGTACTCAGATGATCGGACTTCACTTAATCTGTAGATTTTAAGGAGATTCACCATATGGTCTCAATTATAACCCTTTTCAATCCTTCATCATGACTCAAAATTAGAAATCACCTTCTAATCCGAGCATGTCTGGGAAGTTCGTTTAAATATACCATAGAAAGTTTCAGCTGCATGTACGTTCATTTCATTCGCACAGAGCTTAAACCCAGTTCGGTAACCCTACTATCACACCAAACTAGTTCTCACTACGTTCTCGAACACGGGCTTAGACTGTGCACGAACGGATTTGACGTACTAAGAACCAACTAAGAACCGTTTTGGATCTGTTTACAAACTTCATGAAACTACTAGAACGAGTAGGTCCTCCAGAACTAACCCCCCTATCACACCAAACTAGTTCTTACCCGTTCTTGCCAGTCCTACGAAAACGTCGTCAAACGGGCTCAATCTGGCTGTGGTCGTGAAATATGTCTGAAATAATTAGCTTCTTCGTTCTTAAACAGTCTTCAATACGTCCATCTCGTTCGCAGTTCGTTCAGGTCGCACCACGTCGGAGTGCAACGTCGTAGAACGCGTCCCTTAGTCTAGAAGGTCAACATGACCTGATTACAGAACGGTATGGTCGTCATCGAATTTTGAATCGATTCAAAATTCTAAAATCACATTCCCGTCTGAGAACGTTCATAAAGTTCGTAAATAGACCTTAGAAAGTTGCATCTACGTTCATTCCGTTCGCACACAGTTTAAAACCGGTTTTGAAGAACGCAGTGGCAACTTGTTCGGTGTGATAGCTATATTTTTGCTAACTCGTTCATAAGCAGTGTTAAATACGTTCTTAATCAGTTTAAACCCGTTTGCAATTAGTTCTACCTCGTTCTCAACACGTCCGCAGACAGTTCAACTCGTTGTTAAAACGTCCCTAGTAGGATTGAAGTACGACGGTTCCGTTCGTAGTACGTCCAGCTCGTCGTT